CAGCTCCTTGGAGAATGAACTGTCAAAGCAATTTTGGAATTGAAAATTTTGAATGAAAAATTATTTAATTTTGTAAAATTTTTGTTAAAAAACCAGTTCCCATCTCTGATTTTGTGTGTATGCAGGGGATTCATGAATATATTTTTTGTCAAATGTATAAATTTGAAAAAAAAATTGTAGACAAAGGAATGTAATGTAGGATTGAAGGTTCACGCTTTGGACCGACACATGAAAAGTTCAATAAAACTCTGAAGTATTAAGGATAGTTTAAAACAAGTAAAAAAGCTGTAAGTTCGGCCTGGCCGAACTTTGAATACCCTCCACCATTTGGTACAAATTTGGCATTTTTCAAAAATTAAAATCCATTAAAAATTCTGTTAAAATCTTAAAAATACCGAATGTAGCCGTATATTAGGGTCTATACAATCATCAAAATACCGAATATCGACGGGAACCGTTATATGGGAGCTATACGAAGACGTGGACCTACATGGCTCATTTTCAGTATTATGCTGTAGTATCCATTTCAAACTTCAAATACCAAAATTGAAACAATTCCGGCGATTAATGTCGCTAAAATCATCAAAATACCGAAAAAAGGGAGGTACAGTTATATGGGAGGCTATACGAAGACGTGGACCTGCACAGACAATTTTCTGTCATAGGCTGTAGTATTCATTATGAACTTCAAATACAAAATTTAAAATAGTTGCGGTAAATATTGTCACTAAAATCATCAAAATACCGAATATTGGGAGGTACCGTTATGTGGAGGCTATACGAAGACGTGGCCCTGCACAGACAATTTTCAGTCATAGGCTGAAGTATCCATTACGAACTTCAAATACAAAATTTAAAATAGTTCCGGTAAATAATGTCGCTAAAATCATCAAAATACCGAATATCGGCGGGAACCGTTATATGGGGGCTATACGAAGACGTGGACCTACATGGCTCATTTTCAGTCTTATGCTGTAGTATTCATTTCAAACTACGAGTATCAATTTTGAAACAATTCCGGTAAACGATTTTGCTAAAATCATCAAAATACCGAATATCGGCGGGAACCGTTATATAGGGGCTATACGAAGACGTGCACCTGCACAGACAATTTTCAGTCATAGGCTGAAGTATCCATTACGAACTTCAAATACAAAATTTAAAATAGTTCCGGTAAATAATGTCGCTAAAATCATCAAAATACCGAATATCGGCGGGAACCGTTATATGGGGGCTATACGAAGACGTGGACCTACATGGCTCATTTTCAGTCTTATGCTGTAGTATTCATTTCAAACTACGAGTACCAATTTTGAAACAATTCCGGTAAATAATGTCGCTAAAATCATCAAAATACCGAATATCGGGAGGTACCGTTATATGGGAGCTATACGAAGATGTGGACCTAGATGGCTCATTTTCAGTCTTCGGCTTTAGTATCCAATACAAACTTCAAATACCAATTTTGAAACAATTCCGGTAAACAATTTCGCTAAAATCATCAAAATGCCGAATATCGGGAGGTACCGTTATATGGAGGCTATACGAAGATGTGGACATACATGACCCATTTTCAATACAGTATAACAGTTCTGCAGACATAATACACATCGGAGTAAATTTTTATCAACTTACTTCATTTCGTTCGGAAGCTAGAGTGATTTCCGCAGACGGACGGACATTGTTAAATCGACATAGAATTTTATCCTGATCAAGAATATTTGTACTTTGTGGGGTCGAAAAAGTATATTTCGAGGTGTTACAAACGGAATGACAAACTTAATATACCCTCCATACTATGGTGGAGGGTATAAAAATAACGTTTATACAGAGTGAGATGAAAAAATCTGCAACCAACTTTAGGCTGCTGTCATTTCTAAGCCACTCGTCCGACAGCTGCTAAAATTATTCCAGTGACAGCTCATTATATTGTTTACAAGCGTACAAAAGCATTTTTGTGAGAACTTTCCAGAAAAAAAAAGTTATTCGCCATGGAAATCAAGCGTGATAGTGTGATTTCTTTATATTTGGCTGCAAAACCACATGTGGATATCCGTAGAGCACTCCAGCATTTAAATGTGAATAAATCCTTTGTATCTCGTAGTCCGACGGCCCGGCGTCAAGGAAGTGGACAACAGCAACATCAGCAGAAATGATTCGAAAAGTAAAAAAGCGACTTGATCCAAAAACCCGCGTTGTAATGGCCGAAAAATGGCTCGTGAGCTGAACATATCGCAATATTCCATTCGGCAAGTATTGAAAAATGAGCTCGGGGTAAAGCCATTGAAATTCCAAACTAAATTCCTTCCTGCACTTAAGAAAAGGCCAGCTGATGACTTAACCCTCACCAAAATTGCTAAGCATCAACGAGAATATGGTTATCGCTCTCAATGGCTATTAAAATGGCGCCCAATGATCACAAAATGAAACATTGTTGAGTTTTCCATTGAATTTATTCGTTCTCTCCATTGTTTCACTCATATTTCCCAAATGATTATTATTATCAAAAACACCGCGTTCATAGCTAAAATAGTAATTGGAAATTTATTAACTCAATTAATTTCATAAAATATGTTCTATTTATGGTATTTGTTTTAAAAAAATTGAGATCCACAGAAAAATTTTGCACAATTAGTGTTGGTTTTAAAAACACCCCCTCCTCCTCCTCCTCCACCACCGGCAGCCTGCGTAACATATATTTGAACAATTGCAAATACAACGCAAATGAGCAGAATGCGAATCTGTACCAACATGATCAACCCTTCGTACTGATACTTTGGTTATGAGTGCGAAATAGATTTCATTATTTTTTGTTTCTTAATCCGACTTATTCGAATCGGTCACCTTTGTTCGAATTGGTCACCTTTGGCCCGAATTATGGCCTTCAAACGGCCAATGAAACCGTCACACGCTGCCCAAATGTTGTTCTGCTGCATTTTGGCCCATTTCCGGCGAAGCGCTTCCTTGAGGTGATCGATCGACACTTTGGTATTTTTTAGTGCCAACCTTGCTTTTTAAAACACTCCAGACACAATAGTCCAACGGATTGTTATCCGAAGATTTTGGTGGTCATTGTGCGCTGGAAATGATGCCAGGAACCTCATTTTCTTTTCGATGGTGTTGAGTCCTGTTGGAATGTCCAAGGTCTGTGGCCAAAATGTTTCCATGCGAAAGGCTTCAATACACACTCCAGAATATTTTCGCGATAATATTCGGCACGATCGATTAATACGAGCGGATAGCGATCATCGGCTGTTACGGTTGCCCACACCATCACAATGCCCGGCGCTTAAGTTATGGTGGCCAACCGAAGGTGCACATTTTCAGCTCACCTCTTTGGCAAGAAAATACGATCAATTTTTTTTTTGTTTACAAACTGCTGGACAACGAATGTTTTCTCATCGGAGATCGGAGAAAACCAAATTCGGCAGTTCACAACTTTCGGCCAAGCGAAGCAACACTTTAGCTCTTTTGAGTCTATTATCTTTCTGTTGTGGTGTAAGTACGAAGACGTGGACCTGCACAGACAATTTTCTGTCATAGGCTGTAGTATCCATTACGAACTACAAATACCGAATTTGAAACAATTCTGGTGAGTAATATCGCTAAAATCATAAAAATGCCGAAAAAAGGGAGATACCGTTTATGGGAGGGTATACGAAGACGTGGACCTGCACAGACATTTTTCTGTCTTAGGCTGTAGTATTCAGTACGAACCTCAAATACCATAATTGAAACAATTCTGGTGAATAATGTCGCTAAGATCATAAAAATACGGAATATCGGGAGGTACCGTTATATGGGGGTTATGAGAAGACGTGGACCTGCACAGACAATTTTCTGTCATAGGCTGTAGTATCCATTACGAACTTCAAATACCAAATTTGAAATAGTTCCGGTAAATAATGTCTCTTAAATCATCAAAATACCAAATATCGGGAGGTACCCTTATATGAAGGCTATGAGAAGACGTGGAACTGCACAGACAATATTCATTACGAACTTCAAATACCAAATTCGAAAAAATTCCGGTGAATAATGTCGCTAAAATCATCAAAATACCGAATATCGAGAGGTACCCTTATATGAGGGCTATGAGAAGACGTGAACCTCCACAAATAATCTCCTGGCATAGGCTGCAGCATCTATTGCGAACTTCAAATGCGACATTATTAATAATTCCGGTGAATAATGTCGCTAAAATCATCAAAATGCCGAATATCGGGAGGTACCCTTATATGGGGGCTGTGAGAAAACGTGAAACTGCACAGATAATTTCCTGTCATAGGCTGTAGTATCCATTACGAACTTCAAATACAAAATTTGAAACAATTCCGGTAAATAATGTCGCTAAAATCATCAAAATACCGAATATCGGGAGGTACCCTTATATGGGGGCTATACGAAGACGTGGACCTCTACAAACAATTTTCTGTCATAGGCTCTGGTATTCATTGCTAACTTCAAATACCAAAATTGAAATAATTCAGGCGATTAATGTCGCTAAAATCATCAAAATACCGAAAAAAGGGAGGTACCGTTATATGGGAGGCTATACGAAGACGTGGACCTGCACAGACAATTTTCTGTCATAGGCTGTAGAATTCATTACGAACTTCAAATACCAAATTTTAAACAATTCCGGTGATTAATGTCGGTAAAATCATCAAAATACCGAATATCGGGAAGTACTGATATATGGGGGCTATGAGAAGACGTGGACCTACATAGCCCATTTTCAATACCAAAAGTCCTGCATACATAATATACATGTGAGTAAAATTTTATGCTGATCAAGAGTATATATATTCTTTGTAGAGTCTAAAATGTATATTTCGAGGTGTTACAAACGGAATGACAAAATAGAATGGAGAAAAAGATTTTACTCTTCACTCTCTGCTCTACAGTATAGATTTACATCTGTAGGCCAGTGTAACAAAATAACTGTTACAAACAGTATAAATTGGCCTCAACCTTGCCCACAGCCTCTCAGTTACAAGCAGCGATCATTCTTGCCTCACACAAACCCTTTACACTGCACTAATCACAAAAAAGATTCAAAATATAGAGAAATGGTAGGTCATTTAGAAAATGTATAATCTTCTAATTATATAAACCTTTTAAGCACTATAATTCTATTATATATTTATTAATATTCTTATTCTGTTAATAATTCTCCACATAGGCAACACCTTCTGTAGTACACTTAAGGCTTATTTTTCTTGTTTTGGTGTTGACATGCTCCATTTACAGCACACTTGCTCAAGGCGGAGCCTCAGGAAGAGGGGTTGGTGGTGCAGGAGGAGGCGGAGGTGAACGAGGAAGCAGTGGAGCTGGCGGTGGTGGTGGAGGAGGTGGTGTGGTAGGTGGCGGCGGCAGCGCACATGTCACTCAAACCTTCCTAAATTGTGGAAAGTTCTCATGTAGTGGCGGCGGCGGAAGATAGTGTTTATAAGCATTTACGTTCATTCAGTTTATCGGATTTAGTAAACACAGCGGATTTAAACTGTCAATTCCATTGCATATACATCAAATAAATCTTTTCTATAGAAGGTTAACCTAGCAAAGAGCTTTAATGTAAACATACCATACTATAAGATTGTGTCATTGTAGAAGTATACAGGTAGATGCATCAACGCGCTTGGGAACATTGATATGTCAAAGATGTTAAAATGTTCTATCAAATATAAGACGATTTTGATATGTTTCCTTATACGACGCCAATTGGTGGTTGTTATAACATGCGTTTTCAAACCAAAATTTGAATAATTTTTCATTCTTAATTTTCAATCTCAAAATTGATTTGACAGTTCATTGTCTCAACAGCTGTGTCAATGCCACTACCTGTATTCTTCCACCATGGATTGTATTTAAAACAATTAAAAAAACATTAAGTTCGGCCGGGCCAAACTTTAAATACCCTCCACATTAAGGTAAAAGAAACATTAGAAGAAATGTGGCAAAAACCATTAAAATGCCAATTATGGGGATGTACCGTTATATGGGGGCTATACCAAAACGTGGACCTATAATTACATTGTTTCGCCACACGAACTAGGACCCATTATGACCCACAAATACCAAATATTTAGACAAATCAGTGAAAAAATGTGGCAAAAACTATCAAAATACCGAATATCGGAAGGTACCGTTATATGGGGGCTATACCAAATCATGGATCCATACATGCAATGTTTCGCCACCGGAGCTGGAAACCATTATGACCCACAAATACCAATTTTTAGACAAATCCGTGAAAAAAATGTGGCAAAAAAACTAAAATACCGAATATCGGGAGGTACCTTTATATGGGGGCTATACCACAACGTGAACCTATACATGCAATGTTTTGCCACACGCTCAGGGACCCGTTATTACCTACAAATACCAATTTTCAGACAAATTCGTGAAAAAATGTGGCATAAATCAACAAAATACCGAATATCGGGAGGTACCTTTATATGGGGACTATACCAGAACGTGGACCGATATATCTCATTTTCAATACCAACCATCCTAGACACAATGCAAATAGCTCTGCTAAAATTTGGCGCTCTACGTCAACAGACAGACAGACTGACGGACATCGTTAAATCGACTTAGAATTTTATGCTGATTATGAATATATATACTTTATGGGGTCTAAGAAGAATATTTAAGGATGTTACAAACGGAATAACAAAGTTAATATACCCTCCTTTCCAAGGTGGAGGGTATAATGATAAGGAACATATCATATATTAAGTTCTGCGTAGTTTAAATTTATAGAGTTATAGTACGTTTACAAATTCCTAAATGTACTAAGTCCCATGGTAGAAGAATTAAGGTAGATACAGGGACACTTGGGAACAACATTTATATGTCAAAAAAAAATGTTCTTTCAAATCTAAGTAATTTTTTATACGTCTTCTTATGCGCCGTCATTCGGAGGTTATTATAATTCGCATTTTTCAACAATTTTTACCAATTTAAATAATTATACCCTCAGCCATGGTACAATGAATTCAAGGTAGGGCAGAACTACCATATGATTTCAATTTTTTATTTTCTTGGCTTAATATGTCATCTTTATTTGTTTATGTAAGTGTTTTCTTTTCAATAACAAAAAAATTGTTCAAAAAATATTCAAATTCGGGTGTTTTCAAAATGTTTATATTCAACGTATGCATCGACAAAATCTAGAGATTTTTTAGCGAAATAATCCTTTAGAGATATATAGTACATGATTTTGAAAAGAAGTTCTAACCTTTCGTTCAGTTATCGCGTTTTTCAATTATTTATTCAAAATAAATGCAACAAGTTGTTTGATTTTTTATTGTTTTGATACTAATTCTGACATTACAAGCCAAACAGGTAGACCTCTATACTTGCAATTTTTTCAAAGATGACCTACCTTCTCTTCATTGTACCATGCCCTCAGCCATATGGCTACAGAGGGTATATATCATTTGATAACTCTTTTAAAATGTGATTTAAGAGCCCGATTGTCTTCAAATTTCACACACACACCAATATTTTTGATTAACCGAACATCTGACGAAATACATATATCGGTCCACTCCTTCTGGTAACTTCTCCACGAAAGGTCGGAATTTTCAAAAAAAAAAATCTACACAAAAAGAGAAAGGATGATCCGATTTTGCTCCAACTTTGCAAATCTTAATGTTTTCATCAGTGCTAGGTCAGGTGTGGAAATGGACAATATAGTTCCCATTACGAACTCTAAATACGTAATTTGAAACTACTGAATAATGACGCTAAAATCACCAAAATACCGAATATCGGGTGGTACCGTTTATTGGGGGCTATACGAAGACGTGGACTTGCACAGACAATTTTCTGTCTCAGTCTGTAGTATTCATTTCGAACTTCAAATACCAAATTTGAAATAATTCTGGTGAACAATGTCCCTAAAATCATTAAAATACCGAATATCGGGAGGTACCGTTATTTGGGAGCCATACCGAAACGTAGACCTACATTTTCAATACCAAAAGTCCTGCAGACATAACATACATTTGAGCAAAATTTTATCAATCTACTTCAATTCGTTCGGAAGCTAGAGTGATTTCCACAGACGGACAGACGGATCGCTAAATCGACATAGAATTTTATGCTGATCTAGAATATATATACTTTGTGGGGTCTAAAATGTGTATTTCGAGACGTTACAAACGGAATTACAAACATAATATACCCTCCATACTATGATGGAGAGTATAATAACAAGTTAAAGAGTATCTGTCGGTTTTGCCGACAGATGTATACCCTCAGCCAATGTTCGAATATTTACAAATATTTTGACATCTGTTATGAATTTTCTAACTCTTGACCCTCTATGGAGTGGATTTGGAAAGAATGGGTCAATAGATTCTGGATGAGAGACATATATTTAGATATAGCAAGTTGTAAAGAAAAGCTGAGTTATTTCGCAATTTATGACAGATACAAGTTTTGAAAGTGTTGTCCCTTTGTAGGTGAGGTACCAGGGTTCGCAGATATATAGCATCTTCAAAACAGATCTTGTGTTAGAAAAATGTTTGCATGTGTGAAATTTTTAAGAGAGTTGGATTTTTTTGAAATCTATATGGGGCAGGTAGCAAAAGAAATGGTCCGATCTATACAATCTTTATAACAGATCATGTGTTGATGGAAATATTGTGATGTACCATATCTGGAATGGAATCGGATGTTGATTTCGCTTTCTATGAACTTCATGGATATTCAAAATTTTGAGCGTTTGTGGGGGAGATACTGGCAGGAGTAGACCGATATTGTGCATCTTAACACCAGAACTTGGGTCAATATAAATATTGGCATGTGTGAAATTTGAAGACAATCGGAATCTTACATCACATTTTATGAGAGTTGTAATTATTCAAAATTTTGAGCCTTTGTGGGGAAGGTACTTAATGGAGTGGACCGATATTGTCCATTTTCATACCTGACCTAGCATTGACGCAAATTTTAGGATTTGCAAAGTTGGATCTAAATCGGATCATTGCTTCTCTTTATGTGCAGATTTTTTTTTTTGTGGGGGAGGTACTAGGAGGAATCGACCGATATTGGGTATCTTAACACCAGAACTGGGGTTAATATAAATATTGGGATGTGTGAAATTTGAATACAATCGGAATCTTACATCACATTTTATAAGAGTTGTAATTATTCAAAATTTTGACCATTTGTGGGGGAGGTACTTAATGGAGTGGACTGATGCTATCCATTTTTGCACCTGACTTAGAACTGATGTAAATATTCGGATTTGCAAAGTTGGATCTAAATTGGATCATTGCTTCTCCTTCTGTGCAGAATTTTTTTTTCAAAATTTCGACCTTTTGTGGTGGGGGGGTACCAGAAGGATTGAACCGATGTATTCCACTTTTACACCAGACCTTGCTCTGATGATCCTTTCTCTTTCTGTGAAAAAAAAATATTTTTTTTTTCAAAATTTCGACCTATTGTGGGGAAGTTACCAGAAGAAGAGGACAGATATTGCCCATCTCCAAACTCGATCTAAGTTTGACAAAAATATGACTATGTACCAAGTTTGGACCAAATCGAATTCTCCGTTAGAGAGTTATCGTGCGCACCAGCCAGCCAGACAGACGGATGGACATCGCTAGATCGACTCCAAATGTTCTGAAACGGATTTGGTCCAAAGAGACCTAGGGTCTAAAACCGTTATTTCGACTAGGCACGTTTTGACCTTATCAAATTGTGTATACCCCTTGTAGCTATATGACTGAGGGTATAAAAAGCAATACAAATTTCATATTTTTAAATGCGTACATCCAGCAGCAAAACGATGAAAGAGAACAATTCCAATTAACTATACTCAATCGGAACTATTCGCAATCAAAAAAAAAGTATTTATTTTTAATTTTCGAACACATTATTAATTTTAATCAGGTTAAAAGTAAGTAACTTTTTTTACTACCACGCTTTTGGCCCACGAGCACCACATCGGAACTTTCCACAGTTGGGAGCTGGCTCCATGTGGTTATTTTCAAGCCTATGGTCTTGATCTCCAAGTTTAGGTTTCCCCCATATCGCCAGCAGGATTAAGTGAAGGGTTGCAATAATATTTACAAAATTGAGTTGCATGATGTTGCTGCGAGGTGTTTTCGTTTTAATAACTCAGTGACGATTAATTGAATACCGCTATATAATGAAAATCAATGAGGTTCAATTAGTAATTGAAGCAAATTTAATAATAAAATGCAATAAGTCACCATCTGTAACCACATAATTCAAGTTCTGATTCACTTACTAGATTTAACTTAGATACACATTGATCATTGATTTCAAAGCCCTTGTTATAGGTAAACAAGTAAAAAATCTGAATACCCTCCACCATTTGGTAAAAATTTGGCAATTTTCAAAAAATAAAATCCGTTAAAAATTCTGTTAAAAGCTTAAAAATGCCGAATATTAGGGTCTATACGACGACGTGGACCTGCATAGGCGACTTTTGTCACAAGCTATTACAATACTCAAATGCGAAACTAAAAAAAAAAATATGTTTATAATGTAGCTAAAATCATCAAAATACCAAATATAAGGAGGTACCATGGGGGTTATAAAACGTGGACCTGCACAGACAATTTTCTGTCATAGGCTGTAGTATCCATTACGAACTTCAAATGCGAAATTTGAAACAATTCCGGTAAATAATGTCGCTAAAATCATCAAAGAACCGAATATCGGGGAGTATCGTTTTATGAGGGCTATACGAAGACGTGGATCTACATGGCTCATTTTCTGTCTTAGGCTGTAGTATCCATTACGAACTTCAAATACCAAATTTGAAACAATTCCGGTTAATAATGTCGCTAAAATCATCAAAATACCGAATATCGGAGGGTACCGTTATATGGGGACTATTCGAAGACGTGGACCTGCACATACAATTTTCTGTCATAGGCTGTAGTATTCATTACGAACTTTAAATACCAAATTTGAAACAATTCCGGTAAATAATGTCGCTAGAATCATCAAAATACCGCATATCGGGAGGTACCGTTATATGGGGGCTATACGAAGACGTGTACCTACATGGCTCATTTTCAATACCAACAGTTCTGCAGACATAATACACATTTGAGTAAATTTTTATCAACTTACTTCATTTCGTTCGGAAGCTAGAGTGATTTCCACAGACGGACGGACATTGATAAATCGACATAGAATTTTATGCAGATCAAGAACATATATACTTTGTGGGGTCTAAAATGTATATTTCGAGGTGTTACAAACGGAATGACAAACTTAATTTACACGGCAAACACCTGATTTCCGTTCCACTAAAATCAATCAGAACGAAAAATTGTGCGAACATCAAAGCAAATTTCAAAATCAGTCACTTGCATGTCAGTCCGTACGTCCATCCATCTGTCCATGTATTTTTGTGAATAAAATGCATTCCAAACAATATTTGTTTGGCTCAAGGACGAACCCTATTGAAATTGGGGAGAATCGGTTCAAATTTAGATATAGTGCCCACATATATCTTCAACCGATTTGCGTTAATTGTGCACCAAATGGCCAATATCAGTCCAAATAACCTGAATTTTGATACATCCCACCGAATTCAGTCTAGAAGCAAGTACATCAAATTTGAATCAATGAATGTTTTCTCACCAGAGAATACCAAAATCAAATTCGACAGTTCACCACTTTTGGCGAAGCGAAGCAACTCTTTAGCTCTTTTGAGTCTTTTCTTTCTGTTTCTTGCACTTTTTGGAATTTTAATGGCTTTACCCTGAAATATTTGCCGAATGGAATATTGCGAAATGTTCAGCTCAGTAGTCATTTTTCGGCCACTGCAATGCTGGTTTCGATCAAGTCGCTTCTTTACTTTTCGAAGCATTTCTGCTGATGTTGCTGTTTTCTTCCATCCAGTTCCTACGCTACCAGTAGGGTACCGGTACGAGACACAAAAGATTTATTCACATTTAATTGCTGGAGTACCCGAAGAAATCTCAAGTACCCGAAGAAATCTCAATTGAGTTCCATCACGAATAACGGTTTTCTGGAAAATTCTCACCAATCCACGAATTTGGTGCGCTTGTAAGCAATATAATGAGCTGTCACTGGAGTAATTTTAACACCTGTCGGACGAGTTTGGCTTAGAAATGACAGCAGTCTGAAGTTGGTTGCAGTTTTTTCATCTCACCCTGTGTTGGCCCGGAACCACATATAGGGTTTTTATAGAGAATATTTATTCATGATCTCTTACAATAATAATCATCGATTTTTTGATCGACCATCAAAGCGTCATGACCAGCAGACTAATTTTATTGTCAGTGTACCTTTTTTTTATAGAATAACCTCAAGAACCGCAATTGTTTTTATTTTAGCAAATGCATTTTTTCTTGAATTGTAGTACCACAAAAGTTAACCAAATGCAATCGAATAATCATTTACGTATCGCTTTCTCGCAGTGGAAGACTTCCACAAAATGGCCTTCCTAATAACACTGGTGACACCTCTACTCTTAGTTGGATTCATGGTAATAGAGCGTTTACACACAAATTCTTTACCCAGGTTAACCTTGATAATTGATCAATCACAATAAAAGAAATAAATTTTCCATCTGTTTTGCATGGTCGAATTTATTGTGATTGGTCAATTGTCAGGCTTTAATAACAATGTAAAGCTGAGAATACATAAAACGCTTTTTTTTGACTGGCTTAAGTCATCGGCTGGCCTCTTCTTAGAGAAACAAAGGAGTTTTAGGTAGCCTTAGTTCGATTTTGGCCCTATGCTTTTTTGTTCTTTTCCAAAGAAACCTGCCAATGAATTAAGTAAGTCAAAAAGGATGAAGATGAAAAAACTGCAACCAACTTCAGTCTGCTGTCATTTCTAAGCAACTCGTCCGACAGCTGTTCAAATTATTCCAGTGACAGCTCAGTATATTGTTTACAAGCGTACAAAAGCATTTTGGTGTGAATTTTCCAGAAAAAAGTTATTCGTGATGGAATTCAAGCGTGATGGTGCGATTTCCAGATATTTAGCTGGAAAACCACAAGTTGCCATCGTTAGAGCACTCCAGCATTTAAACGTGAATAAATCTTTTGTGGTTCGTACCATCGCACGTTACCGTGATACTGGTAGCGTAACCAGACGTCATGGATGTGGACTGAAGAAAACAGCAATATAGCAGAAATGGTTAGAAATGAAACAAGTTAAAACGCAGTAAGTTCAGCCCTCCACCATTTGGAACGAATTTGGAAATTTTCAAAAAAAAAATCCTTAAAAATTCTGTTACAGATTTAAAAATACCGAAGATAGTAGTTATATTGGGGCGTATACGACGTGGACCTACATAGGCGTTGTTTGGCATAAGCCATTAACATATTCAAATTCGAAAATTGAAATAAACGGTCAATAATGTAGCTAAAATCATCAAAATATCGTATATAGGGAGGTGCCGTTATATAGGAGCTGTGTGAAGACCTGGAGCAGCATAGACAATTTTCTGTCCCAGGCTGTGAACTTCAAATACCAAATTTGAAACAATTCCGGTTAATAATGACGCTAAAATCATTAAAATATCGAATATTGGGAGGTACCGTTATATAGGGGCTATATGGAGACGTGGACCTGCCCAGACAATTTTCTGTCCCAGGCTGTGAACTTCAAATACCAAATTTGAAACAATTCCGGTCAATAATGACGCTAAAATCATCAAAATACCGAATATCGGGAGGTACCGTTATATGGGGGCTATATGAAAACGTTGATCTACATGGCCCATTTACGAACTTACATGTGTACAAAATTTTAGCCTTCTCTCTCAATTCGTTCGAAAGATAGCGTGATTACAACAGACAGACAAACTTCGAAGTGGCCGATAAAATGGCTCGTGAGCTGAACATATCGCAATATTCCATTCGGCAAATATTGAAAAAATGAGCTCGGGGTAAAGCCATTGAAATTCCAAAATGTGCAAGAACTTACAACGCAACAGAAAGAAAATAGACTCAAAAGAGCTAAAGAGTTGCTTCGCTTCGCCGAAAGTGGTGAATTGCCGAATTTGGTTTTCTCCGATGAGAAAATATTCGTTGTCCAGCAGTTTGTAAACAAACAAAATAATCGCGTTTACTTGCCAAAGAGGTCAGCTGAAAATGTGCACCTTCGGTTGGCCACCAGAACTCAAGCGCCGGCCATGGTGATGGTGTGGGCGGCCATAACAACCAAATGTCATCGCGAAAATATTCTGGAGGGTGTATTAAAGCCTTGGGCACGCAAACATTTGGCCGCAGACCTTGGACATTCCAACAACGCACGAATGGTTACAAAAGGCGCACAATAGACACCAAAATATCTGGATACCAATCCGTTGGACTATTGTGTCTGGAGTATTTTGGAAAGCATGGTTGGTACTAAAAAATACCAAAGTGTCGATCTGCTCAAGAACAACATTCGGGCAGCGTGTGACGGTTTCATTGGCCGTTTGAAGGCCATAATTCGTGCCAAAGGTGACCAATTCGAACAAATCTAAACTTATTTTAAAATTTGATGCTATTTCCGACATTTTTTTTGCTTTCATTCAATGAAATTAAAAAAAAAAAACTTTGTTGCAGTTTTTTTTATCTCACCCTTCTTACCTCACCTTCACTAAATCTTCATTTCCCTTTTGCAGTTCTCCCCCACTGTTGTGACATCTCGCTCCACAAAGGATGATGGCATCAGACACGTTGAAGTTTATCATAAATTTAAAAATTTCCTCACCGACGTTCAGCCCATTATTAAAGCTGTTCTCAAGGACATGCCTCCGGGCGATAGCTACAATAAATATCGCCAGGATTTGGAGGGCATTTTAAAGCGAATCAATGATAAATCGGCTGGCCAATTGTGTTTTGATAAACATTTCAGTAACTTAGATGAATTGGTGGAGCTAATGAAGAACTATCGCCAAACGGATGCTACCGAAGAAGCAAAAGCAGTTTTGAAACTAATCGTTCAACATGGTTTTCGTAAATATTTAAGCCAGCAATGGTTTCGTTTGAAAAAAATCGATCTGCCGAAATATAAGGAGAGTGTTGAAAAATTAGACAAGACCGATGAAAAATACAAGGTATTTTCGGAGAAGTGTTAATGCATAAATAAAGTTATGTGGAGAATTCGGCAATTCTCTAAAAAAATCTGTTAAAATTTTAGAAATACCGAATATAGCCGTTATATGGGGGTCTATACGAAGACGCGGACCTGCATAGGCAACTTTTATCATAAGCCATTACGATATTCAAATACGAAACTTTAAATACGAAAATCATCAAAATACAGAATATAGGGAGGTAGCGTTGTATCGGAGCTATACCTGGTCCTACACACACAATTTACTGTCATAGTCTGTGGGGAACCACGGACTCTAAATACGATATTTGAAACAACTCCGGTCGCTAAAATCATCAAAATACCGAATATCGGGAGGTACCATTATATGGAGCCTATACGTGGACCTATACTTACAAGGTTCCGCCACCGGAGCTAGGACACATTATGACCTACAAATACCAATTTTTAGAGAAATTAGTTGATGAATGTTCCAAAAATTATCAAAATACCGAATATCGAGAGGTACCGTTTTATGGGGGGGCTACACAAAAACGTGGACCTGTACATACAATGTTCCGCCACCGGAGCTAGGATCCATCATGGCCAACAAATTCCAATTTTTAGTCAAATCCGTGAAAAAAATGTGGCATAAATCATCAAAATACCGAATATTGGGAGGTACTGTTATATGGGGCTATACGAAAACGTGGACTTATATGTACAACGTTCCGCCACCGGAGCTAGAACAAATTATTACCTTCAAATACCAATTTTTAGATAAGTCCGTGAAAAAATGTCGCTAAAATAATCAAAATACCGAATATCGGGAGGTACCATTATATGGAGGCTATACGAAAACGTGGACCTATACATACAAGGTTCCGCCACCGGAGCTAGAACACATTATGACTTAAGAATACCATTTTTTAGACAAATCCGTGGGAAAAAGTGGCAAAAATCATCAAAATACCGAATATCGGAAGGTACTGTTATATGGTTTCTATACAAAAACATGGACCTGTACATACAATGCTCCGCCACCGGAACTAGAACAAATTATTACCTTCAAATGCCAATTTTTAGATAAGTCCGTGAAAAAATGTCGCTAAAATAATAAAAATACCGAATATCGGGAGGTACCATTATATGGAGGCTATACGAAAACGTGGACCTATACATACAAGGTTCCGCCACCGGAGCTAGAACACATTATGACTTAAAAATACCATTTTTTAGACAAATCCGTGGGAAAAAGTGGCAAAAATCATCAAAATACCGAATATCGGAAGGTACTGTTATATGGTTTCTATACAAAAACATGGACCTGTACATACAATGCTCCGCCACCGGAACTAGAACCCATTATTAGCCACAAGTACCAATTTTTAGACAAATCTGTGGAAAAATGTTGCAAGAAATTATCAAAATACCAAATATCGAGAGGTACTGTTATATGGAGACTATACGATAACGTAAACCTATAAATACCCTGTTTCGCCAACGGAGCTAGGATCCGTCATGGACAACAAATTCCATATTTTAGACAAATCCATGGGAAAAATGGGCAAAAATCGTGGACCTATACTTACATTGTTCCGCCACCGGAGCTAGGATCCATCATAGCCAACAAATTCCAATATTTAGGCAAATTCGTTGAAAAATGTGCCAACAATTGCCAAATGCTTTATAGGGTCTGCGACGAATATTTAGGGTTGTTACAAACGGAATGACAAATTTAGTATACCCTCCTTTTCAAGGTGGAGGGTATAATAAACGACCGCGAGTAGCCAGCCCCATTTCAATTTTTTGCTAACTTGGCGTCGATACGATCGAAGGCAACACTTCCAATGTCATTTATTGCCCAAGCAATTTTTAGTCTACATATATTTTTCATTGGCTCTCGTATTGCGAAATGTTGTGCAATTGGGGAATTAACCGCTGGAATGATCTTTCCAGTTTGATTTTAACACAGAATAATAACATGACGTAAAATGTTCAGTAGTATTTTAAATGTCTATTGGACAGGCTGAGAAATTGCTGTAGCGGAAAATGTTAAACAACCACCACAAGTGTGAGGAGTGTAACAAGCATAAGTGCAAATTTTGGAAAATCACTTGCGGAGAATGAAAAAGTCTGTTGGATTAATTAATAACGAGTAAAAAAGCAGCTAAATTCGACCGGGCCAAAATTTTAATACCCTCCACTATTTGGAATAAAATTGGGAATTTTCAAAAAAAAAAAAAAAAATCCGTTAAAAATTCTGTTCAAATCTTAAAAATACCAAATGTAGCCGTCATATTAGGGTCTATACGACGACATGGACCTGCATAGGCAACTTTTGCCATAAGCTATTACAATAATCAAATGTGAATATTGAAAAAAAAATCTGTGAATAATGTAGCTAACATCATCAAAATACCGAATATAGGGAGGTACCATGGGGGTTATAGAACGTGGTCATAGACTGTGGTATCCATTACGAACTTTAAATACCGAAATTTGAAACAATTCCGTTGAATAATGTCGCTAAAATCATCAAAATACATAATATCGGGATGTACTGCAATATGGGGAATCTACAGACGTGGGCCTGCACAGATAAATTCCTGTCATAGGCTGTAGTATCCATTTCATATCCATAAATAATGTCGCTAAAATCATCAAAATACCGATTATGGGGATGTACCATTATATGGGGGCTATATGAAGGCGTGGGCCTGCACAGACAATTTTCCGTCTTAGGCTGTAGCATCCATTACGAACTTCAAATACCGAAATTTGATACAATTCCGTTAAATAATGTCGCTAAAATCGTCAAAATACCGAATATTGGGGGGTACCGTTGACCTACATGACCCACTTTCCGTCTTAGGCTGTAGTATCCCTTACGAACTTCAAATACCGAATTTGAAATAGTTCCGGTAAATAATGTCGCTAAAATCATCAAAATACCGAATATCGGGAGGTACCGTTATATGGGGAATATACGAAGACGTGGACCTACATGGCCCATTTTCAATACCAAAAGTCCTGCAGACACAATACACATTTGAGTAAAATTTTATCAACCTACTTTATTTCGTTCGAAAGCTAGAGTGATGTCCACAGACGGACGGACACCGCTAAAGAAAATTTATATTTCGAGGTGTTACAAAATAGCCAACATTTGTTGCCTCGTTAAAACTCAATAAATAAACATTTTTCCCGTGCATCGTATATTTTATCATTTCGCCAACAGAATGAGGTATGCAACTACTATCAACATAAATATTTACATGTAGGTATTTGTGTGTATTTCTGTTAAACAAACAACAAAGGTGGATCCCTACATTTTTGGTGGGAAAGCACTCGACCCATGCCCAGACATCGGCTGGACTCAAAGCCTGACTCACAAAGTCTTAGTCAATGATAAATCACATTTGTCAGCCATCTCTTGGCTGTATTTAACCATCTCATAAAGGTTATTTCCCATCATTTTGATGGGATTTCCCCCACCCAAAGAGTCAAATGTATCGAAAACTAAATGTAGCAATCGTTATTATTGTTTCACATTCAAAAGACGACACAACGAAAATGAAGCTATTCCAAATTATGCTGTTGCTGTTCTGCATAATTTTCTGCCAACAAATTTCGAAATCAAGTCAAATTGTAATCAAAACTCGCCGAAATTGCAATCGATGGCGCTGTGGTGGAAAAAGTAACCCCCAACTTAACTGAATAACGCCTCCAGTTATGGGCTGTATGGTAGCTATGGAATCTTGTGCCATTGACATTGGCTTTTTCGGCGCAACATTGCTCTTAACCTGAAAAGACTGCAAATAAACGAATATCGAATTAAAAAAGCATTTTTTTATGTTTGCCTTTATTTAAAAGATAAATAAAATGTGAACTTTTATAACTTAATACTTGTTGTTGTGATTTATTTTCTGTGGTGGAATAATGTGGTAACTGTATCGGGTTGTTGAAATTATTTAAATTCATATAACAGCTGTGGGAAAGAACAAATGTTTCCGTTTTGGGTTGTAAAAAAATGCAATTGTATTCGGAACTCGATAATGTAAAAAATCCAATGCTTCATTTGTTATGGGTGAATTTGAAGTTGCAGGACTCTACCTTCAGAGTTGGGTTTTTCAATTTTAGGTATTCTGTTCCTTATTGTACCATGCTATTTACCATTGTATGGTGAACATAACAGCGTTCTCTTAAATTCGACGTAGAGTAGCGTAAACAGAGTGAGATAAAAAAACTGCAACAAAGTCAAACGCCATAATTTTTACTTTTTTGTAATTTTATTGAATGAAAGCAAAAAATGTCCGAAATAGCATCAAATTTTAGAATAAGTTTAGATTTGTTCGAATTGGTCACCTTTGACACGAATCATGACCTTCAAACGGCCAATGAAACCGTCACACGCTGCCCAAATGATGCTCTGCGGTATTTTGGCCCATTCCCGGCGAAGCGCTTGCTTGAGGTGATCGACACTTTGGTATTTTTTAGTGAAAACCATGCATTCGAAAATACTCCAGACACAATAGTCCAACGGAATGGTATCCGGAGATTTTAGGTGGCCATTGCGCGCTGGAAATTCATCTAGGAACCTCATTTTGTAACAATTCTTAGGTGACGCGTACTGAGTGCGGTGTTGCTGAGTCCTGTTGGAATGTCCAAGGTCTGCGACCAAAAAGGTTTACGTGCCAAGGCTTTAATACACCCTCCAGAATATTTTCGCGATAATATTCGGCATTTATTCTGATGCCTAGGTCGATAATGACGAGCGGAGAGCGACCATCGGCTGTTATGGTGGCCCACACCATCACCATGGCCGGTGCTTGAGTTCCGATGGCCAACCGAAGGTGCACATTTTCAGCTGACCTCTCAGTTTGTTTGTTTACAAACTGCTGGACAACGAAGGAGAAAACAGTTTCGGCAGTTCACCACTTTCGGCCAAGCGAAGCAACTCTTTAGCTCTTTTGAGTCTATTTTCTTTCTATTGCGGTGTAAGTTCTTGCACTTTTTGGAATTTCAATGGCTTTATCCCGAGCTTTTTTTAAATATTTATCGAATGGAATATTGCGATATGTTCAGCTCATGAGCCATTTTTCGGCCACTGCGACGCGGTTTTCAATCAAGTCGTCGCTTCTTTACTTTTCGAACCATTTCTACTGATGTTGCTGTTTTCTTCCGTCCACTTGCTTGACGTCGTCGGGCTACGCTACCAGTATCACGGTAACGAGCGATGGTACGAGACACAAAAGATTTATTCACATTTAAATGCTGAAGTGCTCCAACGATAGCCACTTTTCGGTAGATTCTCTGGTAGATTTCGCATCGGATTTCAAATCTATCAGGTCGTTAGAAGATCTATCTTTGCATGGTAATTTTGATTGAACAAATCCGGATTAACCAATAAGCTCTTATAATGTGGTTAATCCGGATAATATTTTTAATCTAAACGCGCTATAAATCTGGTTGAATGAATCCTAATAGGACAAATTTTGAGTACCCTCCACAATTTTGAACGAATATGGAAATTTTCGAAAAAAAATAGAATGTATTAAAAATTCTTTTAAAATCTTAAAAATACCGAATACTCGAAGTTTTTGGCACAGGCTGTAGTACCCTTTATGAACTGCAAATACGAAATTGGAAACAATTCCAATGAAGAATGTCGCAAAAACCATTAACATCTCCCAATACGAAATTTGAAACGATTCCGGTGAATAATGTTGCTGAAAGCATCAAAATACCGAATATCGGGAGCTACCGTTATATGGGCCGGCTATACTAAGACGTGGACTTGTATAAAAAAAAATGTAGTATCCATTACGAACTTTAAATATGAAATTTGAAATAATTCCGGCAAATACTGTCGCTAGTCATTAAAAATTCCGAATATCGGGAGCTACCGTTATTGGGGGCTATACGAAGACTTGGACCTGCATACAAAAATTTTTGTAATAGGCTGTAGTACCCATTGCGAACTTCAAATACGAAATTTGAAATAATTCCGGTGAATAATGTCGCAAAACTTATCAGAATACCGAATATAGGCAGGAACAGTTATATGGGGGCTATACGAAGACGTTGACCTGCACAGACAATTTTCTGTCTTAGTCTGTAGTATCCATTACGAACTTCAAATACGAAATTTGAAATAATTCCGGTAAATACTGCCGCTGAAATCATGAAAATGTCGAATATCGGGAGGTAGCGTTATATTGGGGCTATACGAAAACGTGGACCGACATGGCCCATTTACGAACTTAACCTGCCTACTGGTAAACTATGCATGTATGCAGAATTTTAGCCTTCTATCTCAATTCGTTCGAAAGATAGGGTTATTACAACAGATAGGGTTATTACAACAGACAGACGGACGGATAGACAGACAGACATCGCTAGATCGTCTTAGAATTTTACACTGATCCAGAATATATATATACTTTGTAGGGGTCCAAAATGTATATTCCGAGTAGTTACAAACGAAATTACAAAGTTAATATATCCTCCATAGAATGTTGGAGGGTATAAAAATAAAATTCGAACTATTCGAACTGGATAATATTAAATAGGAAAATACATTTTAAATAATTATTTCATATTTTGTTTCTTTATTATTTTTTTTTCTTAAACAATTTTTGTTTGTTTTTGTATTTTTTTTTTTTCTCTTATATAACTTCAATTAAAAAATAAAACCATGTTTTATTCTATAATTTGTTTGTGTTTTTGTAATTATAAACATTTTTATAGTATATTATAATATTTCATTGTTGTGGTATTTTTTTTTTTCTTCTTGTTGTAATAATAGTTAAGAATAATTTTTACAAGTTTTATGGGGGGGAGCGTATTTTTCGATTTCATTTACTTCGATTCAATGACTTAACCTAGCAAAAAGTAGTAAAACTAAAATTATATATTATTTCTTGCTATATAAAGTAGTTGGTATAAAGTAATTTATACTTTTTTTTTTCAAATTCCTTAAAATATACATTTCACAACTTTGCCATAGAAAAGAATGAAACAAAAAGTGGTGTAAATGAAAAGGTATGGGTTATGGATTAAAGGAGAGAGAGAGTGTGAGAATATGAGCAATGAAATAGTTTAATTTATGTCTAATTGTTTTAAAAAAAGGAATAAAACCATTATTCTTATAATCTAATTTAAAAACTGCAAGGATATTTCTTTTTTCAAAAACTTAGAACTATTTTCGGCGCTTGGTATTAAGTATTCACATGTCTGGGGGCAAGAGGGGAGAGAGAAGTTGATTTATAGGGGGATTTCTTCTTATTATTCTTAATTGTTTTTTGTAAAAAAGGAGTATGTTTTTTATGTATTTTATATATTGATGTGGTATCCAATATTTCGGTTTGTACTATTTTTTGTTTTCTTTTAAATATTAGTTTATATTTTTTATGTTAAAAATTATCATTATTTACAGCTTAATTTAATATTGAAGGATGTTTATCTTTTTTTTTTTTTTAAATAATTTTTTTTATTTACATACTTAAGAATGTATATAATAAAAAATGTTTAAAATAAATACTATATAGTAGGATTGTAATATTTATTTAAATTTTTTATAGATATTAAACAGTAACTATTGTAAGATCACCATCTCACCTCCACATTGGTTATTAGTTCAAATATATATAATTTTTTTACAAAAAAAATATTGTTTTTCTTGTTTTAATAAATGGAAATATTAACAGCTTCAAATAAAAATGTATTAACATATTCACAAGATTTTTATACATATTTTTCTGTTATCTATTTAAAATTATTTCATTATTGCTTCTTTTATTACAAAGTAAAAGTATTTTGTTAAAAAAAATTAGATATTTTATCTAAAAAAATTTCACACTCTTGGTTTTCAAATGTTGTTTTTCATAGTTTTGACAAATAACTTAAACAGATGGATGTTATTAAAAAAAATGAAAAAATAATTTTTTTGATCATTTTTTTGACGCCTGAAAGTAACATAAAGTTTCATTTTAGGCAGAAAGTTTTTAAAAACAATAATTATTCTACATAATTGTAAATAAAATAATTATGTTCAAATATCGTTCAAATAAAATTCAAATTTTTTGAACCACAATGTGATGTCTATACTCTGTTTGAAAATGTTTGTTTTTATTCCAAAAAAAATGTTTGTAAGTTTTAAAATTGATGTTATGACGTTTTTTGGTTCGTTTAAATAAGTTTCCACCGGACCATAGCAAAATATATTATCCAATGGAATGCAGAGCAATGTACTGTCCATACTTTGCATTTGAAGACATGTATTAAAAAATGTAAGGTTATGTTTGGCACCTTTTCCCAAACATTAACTATGCCAAACCCTGAAATTTGTTTTCATGGGACCAAGGCCTATATAAGGTCGGCCAGGAAAACTACTTTTAAATAAGTTCCCACCGGTCCATAGCAAATTATATTATCCAATGGAAAGAACAGCAATGTACTGTCCATACTTTACATTTGAAGACATGTATTAAAAAATGTAAGGTTATGTTTGGCATTTTCCGTCAAACATTGATAATGTCAAAGGCCTGAATTTTGCTTTCATGGGACCAAGGCCTACATAAGGTCGGCCAGGAAGACTACTTTTGACAAAGATTTGACAATAAACTTAATAGTTTTTTTCATTATTTTGATTTGACTCTCTTTGAATTGTGTTTTGGACAACAAACTTGGTTGGTTGTCAGATGGGCTTTCTGGCCAACCTTATGTAGGCCCGGCATGGGACTATTACCAAATATATAAACTACATAAAAGTAACTAGAATGAACTGTCTAAATTCTGTTTTCCAAATAAAATAAGAAAAATTTTAAGAAGTAATTTGAAAATTTTTCAAATGTCAAAAATCTTAGGGAGGGAATACATAAAGCTCGTATTTGGCTGGCTTAAGTCATCGGCTGGCTTCTTCGGAAATGAACAATATAGCCTAGGGCCAAAATCGAACAAAGTCAACCTAAAACTTTTTTGTTCCTCTCCTCTCACCCTTAGTTTCAAAAAAAAACCATATTCCAACAAAAAAATCATATTTTTGTATATTTTAATTTCTTTGTTCATCTACCGTTAGTTAATTTATAATTTTATTGATTCAAAAATTAAAATAAAAAGATTTTTAAGAATTTGAAAGTTTTTCAAATGTCAAATATCTTAATGTTTCAAAAAAACATATTCCAACAAAAAAAATGTTTGTATATTTTAATTTCTTCAAGGCCCTGCATAAGCAATTTGTGTCATAGGCTGTAGTAAATGTTCCGAACTTTATATACGAAATTTCAAACAAATACCGAATATCGGGAGTCACCGTTATATTCCGTTATTGAAAAATTTGGCTGAAATCATCAAAATACCGAATATCGGGGTGTATCTTTATATGAGGGCTATACAATATCGTGGATCTATTTAGACAATTCTCTTCCAGGGGGTAATGTACTCACAAGGAACTTCTTTTGTGGATTTTAAGACAATCCCATCGAAAAAAATTGGCTAATATCATCAAAATATCGAATATAGGGAGGTACCGTTATATGGGGGCTATGCGACGACGTGGACCTGCATACAAACATTTTTGTCATAGGTTATAGTAACCATTAACATCCCCCAATACGAAATTTGAAACAATTCCGGTAAATAATATTGCTGAAATCATCAAAATACCGAATATCGTTATATGGGGGGTATACGAAGACGTGGACCTCCATACAAAACTGTTTTTCATACCTATTGCGAACTTTAAATACGAAATTTGAAATAATCCCGGTAAATAATGTAAATAACGTTATATGGGGGAGGGGGGGTGATACGACATGGCCCATTTACGAACTTAACCTGCCTACTGGTAAACTATGCATGAATGCAAAATTTTAGCCTTCTATCTCAATTCGTTCGAAACATAGTGTGATTACAACAGACAGACAACAGACTGACATCGCAAGATCGCCTTAGAATTTTACGGTGTTCCAGAATATATAAACTTTGTATGGTCTATTTTGAATATTTCGAGGAGTTACAAACGGAATAACAAAGTTAATATACCCTCCATAGAATGATAATTTGTAAATGTTACCAATTACTTTGAACTGGAGGAAGTTGGGCACCAAACGTTAAAACAAATGAATAAATATTAACAACAAACCTTAAATGAGAGCAATATTTATCTACTCAAAATTATTTTTTTGCCTTCCCCATAACCAGACATATTTTTATGTTAAGAGCCCAAAACTTTCGATAGAACTTCCCGACAGAATTAAACAATTATAAACATAAGAAAATTTAAAGACAATACAAAGCGGTTCAAAGAAAAAAATCCATTAACATAACCAAACGAAAATATATGTAACCCTGGAAAAATCCCATTTGAAATAATGACTCAATCATGGCTTTATGTTTTGTTACACAATTCCAATATTTAAATTATGTTATTTGTTATTTTTGTTTTTTGTTGTTTTAAATAATAATAAAAAATTAAAATCTTACAAAAAAAGGGGTAATAAGAAAAATAAAAAAGAGAGTGTGTAGTAGGTGTGTGTGTGTTTGTTGTATGTATGAAAAAAGTATTACAGTATATATCTTTAGTAATAAAACTAGTTTAACGCAACTATACTAAATATCTCTCCGCAAGAAAACATACTAAATAAAAAAGAAACTATTAATAAGAATAATATTAAATGTGATAATTTACAGTTTTGTTTTGTGGGTTTGTTTGTATGTTGTGTATTTATGGGAAGGGGTAAGGAGGATATGGGTGGTAGGTAGAAATATCGTTTATACGATCTTCTAACGAATTGTATTTGTATTTCTTTTCTTTTTCTATGCTAATTTTTACAGAATTAAAAGAAAAATCATAGTAAGAAAGGGTATTATGAAAAACTAAAGATTATAAAACTTAAATAAATTTTAGAATTAAACATAAGATTATTTTTACATTATTCCATAAATGTATGTACAAGTGTATAGTATTTTGCTTTTCATTTTATAAACAAAAAATCAAATATGTGAGTGTGTGTGGGGTGGGGTGGGGTGTTAACTCGTTTGCGGCTAACCTTAGTTCTGTAACACATTTGGCAAAAAATATTAAATATTCAAAAATAAGAACAAGGTTTTCACCACACAAAGCTAAAACCCCTCTACGGTCCCAACTTCAGGGTGTATGTATATGGACTTTATGCAAGTTTTTTTTCATCTTTTGTATTTTAAAACAATCCCTGTATGTTCATTATGCTGTTCCGGTTTGTTTCCCAACAACCAAACATAAATCTCTCAAAGTAATATAATTTGGCATGTAACTCAAATTTGTGTTCGTAACTGAAATAGTTTTTGAGCAACTCGTTAGAACAATTTGTTACTAATTATTAATTGTTGAAGGGGGAGGGACGGCGGCGTACACAATCTCCTCTTCTTAGGCTATGTCCACGCTCTTTTTGCGTTCTAAATTTGTACTGCTACTGTTCTTTTCGCCAGTATTACTGCTACCACTGCTGGGGGCTGTTGTGGCCGAAGCCGTTATCACATGTTTGCCATGATGTTGATTCTGATGCTGCGGATGATGATGGTGATTTGTTGTTGTGTGTATGTAACGTTCGGGACTGGGTTCGCGGGATGAGGACATTGATGTTGATGTTGATGATATTTCTTCCAAACAATTATCCAAATAATCACCACCTCCAATACTGCTTGAAATACTAAGATTACGTTTTCCCAATATGCCCATGTCGTCATCATCTGAAAGAGGAAAACAAAAAATTAACAGATTTCAGATTAAATATTTTTCAAGGTAGCCAAGTTAATAAATATATAAAAATATCAATTTTTATTTTGAGAATTCCACGTTCTAGTTCTGTTTTAATCTACTGGGTGAGATGAAAAAACTGCTATCAACTTCAGACTGCTGTCATTTCTAAGCCACTCGTCCGACAACTGTTGAAATTATTCCAGTGACAGCTCATTATATTGTTTACAAGCGTACAAAAGCATTTTGGTGAGAATTTTCCAGAAAAAAGTTATTCGTTATGGAATTCAAGCGTGATAGTGGGATTTCTTTATATTTGGCTGGAAAAACACAAATGGTTATCGTTAGAGCACTCCAGCATTTTTTTTTTTTTTTGATACTGGTAGCGTAGCCCGACGTCAAGGAAGTCGACGGAAGAAAACAACAACATCAGCAGAAATGGTTCGAAAAGTAAAGTAGCGACTTGATCGAAACCCGCGTCGCAGTGGTCGAAAAATGGCTCGTGAGCCGAACATATCGCAATATTCCATTCGGCAAATATTGAAAAATTAACTCGGGATAAAAGCCATTGAAATTCCAAACAGTGCAAGAACTTACACCGCAACAGAAAGAAAATAGACTCAAAAGAGCCAAAGAGTTGCTTCGCTTGTGGTTGCTTCGAAAATGGTGACTTGCCGAATTTGGTTTTCTCCGATGAGTACAGCAAAGAGGTCAGCTGAAAATGTGCACCTTCGATTGGCCACCAGAACTCAAGCGCCGGCCATGGTGATGATGTGGGCCGCCATAACAGCCGATGGTTGCTCTCTGCTCGTATTAATCGACCGTGGCATCAGAATAAATGCCGAATATTATCTCGAAAATATTCTGGACGGTGTATTAAAGCCTTGGGCACGCAGACCTTGGACATTGCAACAGGTCTCAGCACCATCGCACTCAGCACGCGCCCCCTAAGAATGGTTAGAAAATGAGGTTCCTCGCTTCTTTTCCAGCGCACAATGGCCAACAAAATCTCCGGATACCAAACCGTTGGTTGGCACTAAAAAATACCAAAGTGTCGATCACCTCAAGCAAGCGCTTTGCCGGGAATGGGCCAAAATGCCGCAGAGCAATATTCGGGCAGCGTGCGACGTTTGAAGGCCATAGTTCGTGCCAAAGATGACCAATTCGAACAAATCTAAACTTATTCTAAAATTTGATGCTATTTCCGACACATTTTGCTTTCATTCAATAAAATTAAAAAAAATTGTAAAAATTATGGCCTTTGACTTTGTTGCAGTTTTTTATCTCACCCTTTTTTAAAACCCTACATTTTTTTACTAGTCATGATTTTCGAATACCTACCTCCTCTTCTAAATGAAAATTCAGTTAGACCCGTCGTTTCACTAAACGATGAATATCTTGAACGACTAACACCCAGACTTCCAACACCTGATCCAATACCAATAACAGCGCCAACTCCCAAAGCCAAGCCTTGTTTTTCTTTAAACGATTTCAAACGAGCACAAAGACTTTCTTGTTGTTTTTCCAGGAGTGTGGGTGCGGCATTGAATTGTCCTAGAACGGTAAAGAAAAATACAACAAAGTTAATAACAAAAAACAGGTCCAACTCATATCCCAGCCGTAAAACATACCTTTTGTAGAATCCTCTTCAGCTATGGAAGACGATTTCAAAAGCGAATCATTCAATAGACTGCTATTACTGGTGGAACTGCTGTTGCTACTGTTCAACGTATCGTAGGCATTTAAGGGTCCACCAGATGTCGATGATGAGGCAGTAATTTCCTTTTGTATTTGTGAATCGACGGATTGCGTTAAACGTTCCGGTGAATTCAGTGTACACTTGTTAATAACTGCCGGCGGGGGTAGTGGTGGTGTTATTGATTCTAGGGGTGTTGGAGGGGTGGTTGGTGTGGAAACTAGACTATTGCTTGATGGCATGTCATTTGTCGACGTGCTGCTGGTTGTGGTTTGCTGCATGCGTTTGCGATATTCATTTATTGAAAGTTTTCGTTTGGGCTGAGGTGGTGGTTCTGGGGCGGTCAGTTGTGGATTTAATCGCGGATCATGGCTTGCTGTTTTTGTAAGAATTTTCAAGGCAGGCGATGTTGATGCATTTAATGTTAGTGACGACAATGATGATGACGTCGCTGACGACAAAGTGCCGGATGCTGCTGATGATGATGAGGAGGAGTTGGAATTTGGTGTTGGCACCGGTGGTGCTGGCATTTCACAGCTTATTTCTTTTGTTAGAGAGCCCATATCTTTATTGGGTGTGTTGTTCAGGCCAAATAGGGCTGTATGTGTTACATAACCACCCAAACTATTTAAACTCTTCAATTTGGTGTCTAAATATTCGGAGAGTACACCTCCCGTGGATGAGACAGGAGGTATATTTCCAACTGCTGCTGCTGCTGCTGCTGCCGATGAGCTTGGTGATGATGATAGAGTAGTGTTTGGATTATCCAAAAGTTTACCATAAATGGTATTGAAGAAGGGCAAATGATTATTGGTGGCGGAAGTGGAAGATAGAGCTGCGACCGAAACAGAAGATGGTGATGAAATGCTGCCAGGACCTGCCAAACACGGATTAGCTGCTGAAGGGTGGGCTAACGGCGAATGCATGGCGTTGGTTACATGAACTGGAATGTTTTGTACTCCCGCTATTGGAGTCAATGGTAAAGAAGATGCAACCGCAGCAGGCGGAGGTGGGGTTGATATTTGCGCCAGAGTTGCTGCTGCATTGACAGTGGGAGGAACGGATGGATTTGGTGGAGCCAATAAAACATTATTAAAATGGGGTAATGTGGGATGCTCTTTTAAAATATTTATGGCAGGTGCCATGGCTGTCACTGGAGATGGTATTGGTAGCCTTTTCAGTTCCTCTGTGTGGGAGGAGAAGCCATGACTGGCATTGTTGGTTGGGAATTCAGAAGACTGTTGTTGCGGCTGCAATACTGCGGGTGTTGAAGATGATGATGACATATTCAGGGAAACTGATGATTTAGCTGAGGCGATTGTACCGGAAGCGATTGATACCGCAGCAACATGAGCTGGCGAAGCTGATGATGGTGGTTTCTTCTTATCTTCCTTTTCTTGCAATTTTTCTGCCGCCGAAGAATTGCCGCACATTGTAGACGTCTTGTGGTGGTGATTCTTGTTATGGGAATTTTTCGTTTCATCTTTTGATGATGAATCTTTACGTGCCTTTTTGGCAGAATTATGGCTACCGCCATTGCTATCTGAATCCTGTCTCTTATGCTTACCGCCGCTATTCACCGCTACACTGTTAACCAAATGCATATCCTTGGTTAGCTCCAACTCAAAATTCAATTGTTTTTTCTTGGTGGTGATGGTGGTGGGCGTGTTCGAACCAAATGGCACTGGGTGAGATGTGGTGGTAGGGGTCAACGATGATGTTGGGGCCCCACTACTGCTTGACGATGTTGTTCTCTGTCTTGAAGTTTTATCTTTGCCCACCTCAGAACTTTGTAATGCTGCTGTGGATAATAAACCACAATTAGAGGATGATAATGTTGAATTATTCGAAGATGTCGAAGAACCGGATGAAGATTTCTTCAAAGACTTCAATTTCTTTGAAGAAGACGAAGAGGAGGATGACGACGAGGACGATGACGTCGAGTTGACCACTGAATTTTTATTTGCCACTGCCGTTGAGGATGATATCTGTGACAACGAAGTTGTGGACGAAGTTTTATGGCTGTTCGACGAACTACTCGAGGTTGTTCGTTCCCTTTTGTGCAGCTTTGCTTTTTTCGAACTCGACGATCCTCCGCCTGTCGAAGAAGATGAGGAAGAGGAATTCTTATATTTTGAAGACGTTTTATCGCTTTTGTCTTTGCTGTGGTGGTGATGATGGTGGTTGTGATGATGATGATTACTGCCCGATGATGAGGAGGAAGAGTTACTGCTGTTCTTATGATTTTGTTTCTGCATATCATTGCTGACACTATTCAGGCAGGAGCTCATACTGATTAATTTCGATTTTTTATTTCGAGATTGAAGGAATAGTATATTCTCCTTGTGGAAATTGTGCAAACGTGCCTGAATATCATCATCACTTAGAGTGGCCTTACGATGTAGCGAAGGGGGAGTAGCTGATGAAGAAACTTGATTGTTGCTGGAAGTGGATATGGGTGGCGATGGTGTGGCAGGCGTAACTTTATCGGGTCCACCTGTAGAATAATTCAATGTTGTGCTACTATCAGCATCAACTTTGGTAACTTTCCTCGCCACCGAAGATGTGGATGAAGATACTTCTTCCGCAGGGGAGTCCTCCGTTTTGAATTTCTCCACCTTGATGACATCTTTCTTGGATGTTAACGAACTTTCAACCATGGATTGTGTTTCATCTTCTACTTTAATGTCATTTCCCATTCCAGCCTTTTTCTCTTCTTTCGAAGATGTTGCCGTGGTTAGGATGGTGGTAGTAGTGTACGCTTCCTCCAATTTAAATCTCTTCGGTTTTGGTTCTTCAGCATCAATTTCTGTTTTCGATTCCACGCTCTCCGTCTTTGTCGTGGCAACACCATCAATATAATCCAAAATCTTTGTTTTATTTTCCGTACTACTCTCTTCCTTTGGCAAAGTAATATCTTCTTTTCTGTTTTCCTCCTTCACCTGAGCCGATTCCTCGATCTTGATCGGTGAACGATAGACTTCTGTTACATTTATTTCCTGATGCGGCGGCATATACTTTTCATCCTCTTTGGATTCTTGTTTTAATATTTGAGGCACAACAACATCATCTGCTGCCATACTTTCTTCCTCCCGTTCAACATCTATTTTAACATCCTCATTGCCGCTGGTATCTTCGGGTTCAATTTTAACTAAATTATCTTCGGCTTTGATCATTTCCTGACCGGGGCTTGGAGATCGTAAAATATCAACATCATCTTCCTGATCATTGAATTCCGTTCCCATGTTCTCATCATGCGCCGCCTGCTGCTCCAGGTGTTCTTCTGCCTCTTCTTTAAATTCAGTTTTAATGTACGAACTTTCCTCAGTACTTTCTGGTGGCTCATGTTTTGTAACGATATCAGTTGGCTTGGAGTCATCTTCTTCACATGGCGTTGAGGTTACATCCACATCTTGTTCTGCCTCCAACAATTCAGTTGAGGCCATCATTTGTGGATTGGGAACATCATTTTGTTCACATTTCTCAACATCTACATCAACATCTTCTTGAGCATCCTCGAGAACATAATCCTGAGTTGTATGCTCTTCTTCCGCCTTAACAGGGAATGAAGGTGATGGATATACCTGTGATAAAGGTTGAGAGTTTTGTTCAACTTTTTCCTCTCTCGCTTCTTTGGGATATTCTTCCGATTGGTTGACAATCCCAGATGTTTCAGTTGCTACAATGGATGATGAAGTTGTATTGGCATCAATGGCAATATCGCCACCACTTGAATTAGAACTTGCCGCAGCTATACTTTCATCTTCCTCTCGATCATCAGTTAGCAAAAGACGTCTTTTCTTCAATGGTGTAGTAAAACCATTTGGAACATTATTCAGGGCTGGAGAAGAAGCTGGTGGTGCCGTTGTGCCCCCTTGCAACTGCTGCGAAGAATTACTGAAATTCGACTGAATTCCCGCCGCTGACATAACTAAGGGCGTTGTTGGTGATGGCGACATTGACATCGTAGATGAATTGTTACTGTTTTGAGCCTCTTCGTGGGTCTCTTCGCTGATGGCTTGGCGCAACCAACGTTTTTTCACCGACGAATTATTACTGCAAGTACTGACCTGTAAAGGCAAGTGTAAGTTTTTATGAGGCACTGCCGCTGTCTCAGTTGTGGAAGACTTCGTAAGCTCGCCACCATTGTTGTCACTAATGTCGGTGTGTTTAATGGACAAATCAACAGCTGGATTCGATAAAACTGCTGCTGCATACATTTGCTGTTGCTGCTGTTCATATTCATAGGAATGTTTAGTGGGTGGCGGTGTTGGTGGTCCACCCTCCGTCTGTTGGATAAACTCTTCCACACGCTGGGCAACAATACTTAAATTTTGGGGCATATCTCTATCGTGGGGCGTTTGTTGATTCGACTGATTGACATCGTATAAGGCAGCCTGTACCAAGGAGTCTAGACCCGTGGCGGCAGCGTGGGCGGTGGTTGTGGATTGTGGTGCAGCAGGTGATGGTGATATTTGTTGAATCGCTGAGGAAGAAGCTGGCGCCGATGTATCCTCTTCTGTTCTATGTAACCAATTGTTCATCATTAACTTCTTGGTTTTAGTTTGCAGGGGATACTTAAATTCAGCATCGTTCGCATGACCATCCAAATTCGTTTCCAACGGACCCACGGCAGCCTCAATTAGCAAACAAGCACTGCTTACATGGGACGGTGGAGTGGGTGGTGGTGATGCGGTAGCCTCATGAGAACTTAGCATATAATGTGTCGTTCTTTGTGGGGATTGAGGTTCTACTGCCTGTTGCGTCGCCGTTGCTGTGGTTTGAGGTTCAGTATTAGCCACAATTGGATTAGCAAAAGCCATTAGAAGTCCAGCTGCCTGATCTACATTGTTAGGTACATTGTTGCTCTCGCTACAGACGGGCAGACTCTGTGTCAACTTGGGACTAACTTCTTTCCTTGTCGAGGCCATAGTTTGTATGGGTGGGGAGAGCATTGCTGCACAACCATCCGATTCTGAGGTAATAGCGGCATCATGATCATGTGCAATACCACCACTGCCACCAGCACATCCCTCAATCGACTCTTGACTATTGATGCGACTTTGTCTGCGTTTTCGTTGATTATTATGCGAAGAACTTCTGCTGCCGGCCTTACGTTTCTTTTTTGCTCTCGTTGCCGAATGGGAATTGGAACGTTTTGTACCCGAACTGTCAGCCGAATCGAAGGTTTTATTTGGCGAAGTAGGTGTCGTATTGTGACTTCCACTTGAATTTTGCCTTTTTGCCTGTTTCTGTTCCTGCTTGCGCTGCTGTGAGCGTTCCATTTTTTCGATAGCCTTTAAAATAGCCTCCATTTTGCGATCTTCCCTGGACAGCTTTGGTTTCTCTTTGGGTGTGGAAGAGGAATTCGGTGTGGCAGAGCTAACGTTTGTGTCATCATTATGCTGCTGATCACCGCTATTATCTTCGGAAAAACTAGTGGTCCGGCCATATTTGGCAGGGGTCTTACGTCCTGGCTGTTGGTGGTTGTCTTTTTGCGGAGATTTATTCTGTTGAGGCGATGAAGTAGTTTCCATTGAAGTATGTAATTCTTGAGAAATTTGAAGCGTTTCTTGCACCTCAGAGGATTGAGGGTTACTGGAATTGGCGGGTGTTACTAAAGTATCTCCCACATTTGTAGCCCCTCCTGTTGTAGCGGCCATAACAAGTTGTGGTCCTTGGGAGTGTTCTGTTATTATTGGGGTGGTTACCGTATGATTTGCCTGTCCGGCACAATTCAAGGACTGCAAGGCCGTTGCTGCAATTGATGCTTCGGGGGATAGATCTTGAGCAATGTGTTGATGGTGTTGCAAAGAATTTGGCAATTGTGGTTGTTGTTTGGTTTGTGGAGATGTTAATTGCGGTACCTGGGTTGGTGGTGTTTGATGTTGCGTTATCAAACACAATTGACCCCCTGTGCCAGTAGCCTGTGGCAATTGGGGTTCGGTTGCCACCAAATGATCCTTCGACATTTCTTGAGGAATCAATACCGCTGCTGCTATCGTCGCCATATTTTGAGGTGGTTGTTGTTGCTGCTGTTGCTGCATTGAGGAAAGTTGTGGTGATTGCAGTGCCACTTGAGGAATAGCTTGCTGGGGCCCAGCAGCCACACTTGCTTGTTGTTCATATTGTTGATGCAGACCCTGCTGCTGTTGCGGCGTCTGCTGCATATCGGCTGTTAGAATCAATGGAGTAGGCAGGGATTGCATGAGTTGTTGTTGCTGCTGCTGTGGCACAACCTGCATTGGCTTCAATTGTGATTGTTGCTGTTGTTGTTGTTGCAGATGTGGGTGAGACTGTTGTATGGGCGAATGCATATGTGGTGTTGGTGATGGTATAGATACAGAAGGCGATGATGATGATGTACATATACCCGAATCCGAATGCATTAAACTTGTCAGCATCGAGGAGGAGTTTGACGATGCATTGCTCAGGTTACTGTTACACGAAGCTGTCAATGGCATGAGACCATTATTGGCTGCCACTGTTAGAGAATTTTTACCTCCCATTATTACCGGACCAACTTTTGTTGTCAACAAATTATTGTTGGGACTGTTAAGACTTAGCGCCACCGTTGGAGTGGGACTACTGTTGTTGATGTTACTTTGCGCCGTGGACAATAACTGATTGCCCACTCCCATGTTGCTATCACCACTTGAGGATGTCGAACGATTACGATTGAGATTTTGCTGATTGGCTTTTCGTTGTTTGGCCGTTTGATTGCCCGAACTGCTGCCACCACCACTGAAGGATAACGATTTTCGTCCCGATTTTGCCGCCGGCGGCAATTGTGGCAGCGGTGGTCCAAATATACAATCCTTGCTAAGGCCACAGGCACATGGCGTACTTGTGGGTTGTATAATCATGGAATTGGACTTTTTATTTAACACTGCGTGTAAATCGTGTGGCTCATGGCGAATTGTAATCTCTGTCGAATTCCTGATGTCCGTTCGCGAGACTATGAATAAATGGATGGTACCCTTTTCGAATAAATGTTGTATTTCAGCATTTGGACGGCATGACCTACGCACAAATCTAGCATCATTGCCATATGTACGAGTGTCGACACATATTTCCGGACCCTTCATTAGCGCCGCTGGTTGCGGCGGACTTAATTGAGCAGGTGTGGTGGTTGTGGTTACACTACCATCTGGATTTATGGTGGTTGTGGTGGTGCTTGCGGGAGATTGACTTGATGCTGGTGACAATGCCGATTCAGCGGCACCTTGCAGCTGATAGAAAAATATGTAACGACCCGGCATTCTGTGTGGTTTATAACTATTAAGCTGGTAATTATTCGGCGGAGGACAATTCATGTTTACCGAAGTGTTTTGAGTTTTATATTGGGTGGTAAGCATGTACTTACCCCTCAACTCACATATCGGGGTATTCGGTGGTAAATCCATGGTACTAACCAAGATTCTGCCACCGGCATGAGGAATTGTCTGGACCTTAGATTCCAGGTTACCATTACTGTACTCCTTGAGTAGGGGATTTTCGGTATTGACAATACTTTGCAAAAGTAATGGCTGTTTGGTAATGGCATGCAGGCGGGCTCTCAATTCCGGGGAATAGTGATTGGTGACGGCCTTTTCATAGTTAGTTTTCCACTGTTCCATGAGGGCGGCATGTTTTTCTGCCGCTGTCATATTTCCACTACCACAGCTGCCATCATGACCGCCACCTCGCTTGCGTTTTGTGGTCTTTTTGCTTTCTTTACGGCCTGATTTCCCACCGCCAACAGCGCCTGATGCCGCCGCAGTGCCGCCAACACCTGATAATTTATCAGATTTTTTCGACTTTTTACCAGATTCCTTTACCTTCTTGAGCATTTTTGCACCTTTCTTTAGAGTGCCACCAAGTTGATTTGTGGCATCATTTAGATTTGTGGTACCCATACCAAAGTTTCCACCACTAGCAGTTCCCAGACGCTGTTGTCCCGCTAAAACATCTGTCATGAGATTTGATGAGGCATTTATGCCACCACTGATTGCAGTACCAGCTGCACCTTGTGTACCAGCGGCGGCGGCAGCAGCCGCTGCTGCCTGGGCCATCAACTGTGATTGTTCTCGTCGTTTTTGCAATTGCAGGGCACGAGCTTGTGCTTTATCCACTTGACGAGGCTGACATAATTCACATAGGTATTCATCGGGTATGTTTTGGCGATCAATGCCCATACAGTCAACATGTTGCCAGGCGCTGTGTGATAGGAAATAATGAGAATTAGTTATGATATGAAAGTTATGGGGGAAATACATCTCCCCTCTGACTATACTTACCAACACTTATCACAACATATCATATAACCATCATCATGGGTTAAATCACATATACAACGGGTAACGGAATCATCTTCCGCTTCGGCTTCAGGAGCTGTTTCAGTTTCCTCGCCGGGATCAATGTCCCCCAAGGCTGGTCTTGAGTTATTACTTATGGCCGAGTAGGCATCATCATCCTGCTGCAGACGGGATACTAAACAAAAACCAAAAAGGAAGAGATTAAAAATTATGAAATTTGCGGACGTTACCCAATCAGAATTGACTTACATTGTGAACTGTACATAGGATAAGCTGGTGTCGATGAGACTCCCATATTACTATTATTGTTGATGTTGTTAGTGTTTACAACCACTGAGCCCGCCGTTGCAGTGGCCACAGCACCTATACCACCCAATGACCACTGTTGTTGCTGACCAATTCCTGTCGAATTCGTTATACTCGTCGATGTGGGTGTCTGCTGAACTGCAAATGTTGTTGGCAATTCCAAAGGCATACGATTGACATAGGTATGATCCAATAATACAGCATGTAATATTTGCAAACGTATATCATGAGTTTCTACCAACAAGGGTCGTATTTCTTCACCAATAATATCGTCATCATTGCTATTGGAGGAGCCACCGGCGCCTGATGCCGCCGCCGCAGCTGTGGACATGGATTTTAAAGCTCCCAGTTGGATTGGGGATTCTAACAAATGTGTAGCCGCAGCTGAGGGTGTTGTTGATGATATCGAAGGTGATCGGGGTGGTAGTGAAGAAGTACTGCTGCTGTTATTGGAGACCACAGTATTTAGAGATGATAAGGATGCCGATGCAGCTAAATTCGTTCCTGTTGTTGCTCCAACACCAACTAAAGCGTGTGGTGAGGACGATGATGATGAGGACAACGGCGACGACGACGACGCCGATGAAACAACATTTGAAGTTGTTGCTAAATTGCTATGACTACCACGCAGGGAATTGTGATTACTATTATTGTGATAATTGTTGTTTTTGTTGGTTTTGGACATTGTTGTTGTTGTTGTGTTGAAGGTGGTTGTGGTGTTGGACATATTGTAATTGGAATATTGGAGAGAGAAAAGAATAGTAACATTAATTAATGAATTGTTGCTGCTAGTTGTACATGAAAATGATGAAGAACAAGAAGGCGAGATGGGAGTAATGGAATAGAGGGGGTTTGGTGTTAAAGGAATAACAAATTCGATTAATGTTGTTGTTGTTTTTGAATTGGACGCCAATGAGTGGGTATGACTTGTGGCTTGTGTTGGAGGAATTGCTGCTGTCACAATGCCACATTTTTCTTGATAATCTTTTAAACTAATTACACACGTTTTTTTTAATGGAATCAAAACTAAACATGCAGCCTAATAGACGTTCGTGAGTGCTAAGGGTATCAAGAATATATATACTTATAAAGGAGGGAATGTAAGTTATACAGAAAAAAAAAACATTTATAGAAGAAAAAAATAGTTTTTTTTTTTTTTTTTTGTCATAAAAGAAAGAACAAAATTTTGAGGTTGTTTTTTTTTTTTTTTAAATTAGTAGTTAATAATAAACCAGGAAGGAAAGGTATGCAGCAAAGAAATCAAGAATGTAAAAAATAAATACATATTTCAAAACAAAAAAAAAAATTAAACAAGTAAAAAATCTGTATATTTGAATACCCTCCACCATTTGGAACAAATTTGGCAATTCTCAAAAACAATAAAATTCTGTTTAAAATCTTAAAAATACCGAGTGTAGCTGTTATATTAGCATCTATATGCAACATGGACCTGCATAGGTAACTTTTGTCATAAGCCATTACAATATTCAAATGCGTAACTTAAAAAAAATCGTTTAATAATGTAGCTAAAATCATCAAAATACCGAATATGGGGGCTATACGAAGACGTGGACCTGCACAGATAATTTTCTGTTTTAGGCTGTAGTATCCATTACGAACTACAAATACCAAATTTGAAGCAATTCCAGTGAATAATGTAGCTAAAATCATCAAAATACCGAATATCGGAAGGGGTCGTTATATGGGGGCTATACCAAAACGTGGACCTACATGGGCCATTTTCAATACCAAAAGTCCTGAAGACATTATATACATTTGAGTAAAATTTTATCAATCTACTTCAATTCGTTCGGAAGCTAAAGTGATTTCCACAGACGGACGGAACGCTAAATCGACATAGAATTTTATGCTGAACAAGAATATATGCACTTTGTGGGGTCTAAAATGTATATTTCGAGGTGTTACACACGGAATGACAAACTTAATATACCCTCCGTACTATGGTGGAGGGTATAAAAACTGAACTTGTGAAACCTCCATCGCCGCCATGGGGAAGAAACAATCGAAAACACAATACTTTCTTAAAATATTGATGGCTCAAACGACTTTTGGTCCGATTGACTTCTGGTAAGATAGGTTATATTGAGATGTACCAAGTCTGAGTGAAATTGTAGATAAATTTCGCGTTTTTTGAGCTTTATGAATGTTCAAAATTTTGACCCTTAGTGGGGGAGGTACCAGATATATTCCATCTTCGCACCAGACCTTGGGTAAATAAAAATATTGTGATGTGTGTAATTTGAAGAGAACCGGATGCTTATTCCTTGAGAGTTCCTTGAGAGTTTTGTTTATTCAAAACGTTTACCCTTTGTGGGGGAGGTACCAGAACAAATGGTCTGATATCTACCACCCTTATAAGAGATCTTGTGTTGATGGAAATATTGAGATGTACCAAGACTGAGTGAAATTGAAGATAAATTTCGCGTTTTATGAGCTTCATGAATATTCAAAATGTTGACTCTTTGTGGGGGAGGTACCAGAAGGAGTGGACCGATATATTCCATCCTCGCCCCAGACCTTGGGTTAATAAAAATATTATGATGTGTGTAATTTGAAGAGAACTGGATGCTTATTTCGGATTTTACGATCGTTATATTTATTCAAAACTTTGACCCTTGTTGGGGGAGGAACCAGAAGGAATGGTCGGATCTCTACTATCTCCATAAGAGATCTTGTATTTATGGAAATATTGAAATGTTCCAAGTTTAAGCGAAAACGGCGATTAATTTCGCGTTTTATAATCTTCATGACTATTCAAAATTTTGACCCTTTTTGTGGGGGAGGTACCAGAAGGAGTGAACCGACATATTCCATCTTCGCACCAAGCTTTGGGATAATAAAAAATATTGTGATGTGTGTAATTTGAAGAGAATTATGAGAATTATAATTATTCATAATTTTAACCCTTTTTGGGAGAGGTACTTGATGGAGTGGATCGATATTGCCCATTTTCGCACCTCATCACTGATGTAAATATTAGGATTTGCAAAGTCGAAGCAAAATCGGATTGTCCTTTCTCTTTCTGTGCAGTAAAATATTTTTTTTTTTTCGAAAATTTTAACCTTTTGTGGGGGAAGTACCAGATCGACACCAAATGCCCTGAAACGGATTTGGTTCAAACAGACCTATGGTCTAAGACCGTTATTTCTATGAGGCACGTTTTGGCCGTATCAAATTATATATACCCTCTCTCTAGCCATATGGCTGAGGGTATAATCATAGCTATGCTTTATTCAAAGTAAGTACTCGATGCTTTTAATTACTTTTTCATAAATTTAATATTTTTAGTCAGATAACTTTTTAAGCACCATGGTGGAGAGCTCTTAAAACGATTTAAATGTTAATAACAAGGGAATTGGACATAGATTCATTCTCAAACAAAAAATATGATTTAGATTTGAACAAAAGATAATAATCAGGAATTGAAAAATTTGAAAATGGTTGTTACAAATAATTAATAAAATGAAGAAATTTTGTACTCACTTGACTTTATAATACTCCGAAGATTTTCGTGAAATTGAGGATTCATGTAGCTTGCGTTCCATTGATTGAGAACGCGAACTGGGTGCACTTTGCGTTGTTACACGTGATGATGATAATGAAGATACAGCAGCAGCTGCTGCTGCTGGTGATCCAACAATACCGGTGGCTGTCATATTTCCCGAATGCGGTGTTATGGTGGCCATACTACCACTATTGGTAATATATGATGTAGTGGAGGATGTTGAGGAGACTGCATACTGATTGGGTGATGCTAATGGATTTTGGGACACCTGCGACGTCTGCTGTTGTTGTTGTTGTTGTTGAGGTGAACCAATTACAGTCGGATACAGGGTGTATTCACGGGGCGATAATAAAATATTCGAATGATTGGTGGTGGCGTTGTTGGAAATATTCTGCATATGATGTGATATTGGCGATGATGACGACGATGCTGCTGCTGTTAACGAGCCTTGTGATTGTGTTAAGGCATTTGGAGAAGTTGTAGAACTATGTTGTTGCTGCTGTTGTTGTGGCGGAGGAAACATATTGCTGCTATTGTTGTTGTTGTTTGTGGGAGATTTCTGATAGACAACAGTTTGATGCTGCTGCTGCAACTGCTGATATCTTTGATTGATGAAGGATTTTTGTGACATACTCTGCAATATACGTGCCGATAGTTCATCGGTCATTTGCGTTCCATTGACCATCATAATATCATCGTTTAATTGCGAAGCATTGGAGGAAGCTGTAGAGGATCCATTGTTACTATTAGATGTCGTTTGCATGCTTCCATGTTGTTGTTGCTGCTGTTGCAAAGAAAAGTTGCTACTTGCTTCCATCAAATTGTCGTAGCTTTGATGATGTTGCTGCTGTTGTTGCTTTATTTGTATTTTTTGTGGTGTTAGAGGCTGCGTCACTTGCTGCTGCTGCGTTTGTTGAATTATGGTGCCTTGGGCATTTACAAACTTAATATTGCTATTGTTGTTGTTGGTGGTGGTGGTGTTGTTGCTACTGTTTGCAGATGATTGATACTGTTGCGGCGTTGTGGAATTTGGTATGGCTGTTTTCTGATGCAACTGTGTACCGGCTGGCAATTGAGCTGCCACATTTGTTGCTCCTGCATATTTGGAATTTAGTTTATTGGATTTTGTTGTAGCCATTGCACCACCACCAATAACCGCCGCTGCTGCTCCTGACGCCGACACTGATGTTTTATGATGATTCAAATAGGTCGGTTGTTGCTGCTGATGCAGAGGGGATTGTTGGCCACCAATTATACCAACATTACCACCACCACCAGCTGCAGCAACACTAGTATTGCCACCAATAGAACTTTGATGAAGCTGTTGTTGCTGCTGCTGCTGCTGTTGTTGTTGGTGGGGCAGTGTTGCTATTGCCACAGCGCCAGCACTGTTTATAATAGCATTGTTGTATTGTTTAACAAATTTCGACTTTCCACTGCCCTTGGTGTGATGCTGCTGCATAGATGAGGAGCCCAGCTGTACATTAGCGGTCGATTGTGTTATAAAAGTTTTGACACCTTGCGCCGATGAGGATCCATGCAAATTTCCCAATAGTTTACTTGATGCCGTATTTGTCAACGACGATGACGACGAGGAGGAGGATGAGGAAGATGTGTTGCTATTGTTCATTCTTAGTGTACCACCTGTAGATTTCTTGATAACATTACTGCTGCCTGTGATACCCAGTGTTGTTTTGGAGCCTGCCACATTATTTGAAGTTAAAAATTTATGTGGTTGTTGCAATACCATTGTCTGAGCTGTGGCAGCGGCGTTGTTGGTCAGTATTGCGCCACCGCTATGGTTGCCCATTAGTCTAGATCCAGGGCCACTGTTGCTGGTTGTGGTTCCCAACAATTGCATATTTCGATTACCCATCATACTAATCTTGGGCTGACTTCCAGTTCCAATCATTCCAGTAGTCTGCTGCATATATTGCATATTTGTGGTTTGTTTCAAGGGTGTGCTCTTAAAACTGCCAAGACTACTAAGATTTCCCGTGGATGCAGAGGATGAGGACATGGTAAATTTTGCTTGTTTGTTGACACATCCACTGCCGCCTGGATTTGCATTGGGTGTGGCGTTATACAAATGTTTGGTATTTACAAAATTGATGGTTTGTCCCCCACCGCCAGATGGAGTTTGAGCCGCCGCCGTTGTCCCCTGTTGTTTGGATAATACGGTTAGATTGCTTAGCAAAACTTTGGATGTGCCTGAGGCGTTAGAAGATGGGGCACTGGAATTCGGTGTAGTACCCCCACCGGCACCACCACCAGCAGCTGTTGTATCAATGATCATATTTCCGGTAGCAGCATCGGTACTGACAATTTTGAAAATTTGTTGTTGTTGTATAACCTCTCCGCTTGCTGATATCATCATGTTGGTGGAAGAGGGGGTGCTGTGATTTTGTTTTGTATGGATTTGAGCCTGCTGCACCTGCTGATGTTGCTGCTGCTGCTGCTTTTCGAGATATTCTTCAGACACTTGTATCATATGGGTTTGGTGTTTGTGTTGCTGCTGGCTCGACGACAGTTGAGTTTGCTGTTGTTTTTGCTGTAAATGTGGGTGTTGCTGTTGTTGTTGTTGTTGTTGTTGTGCTGCAGTCGTTGTATTGTTAGACAAATGAACTTGCTGCACATGTTGTTGTTGTGTTGGCGTATGATGTACAATTTGCTGCTGCTGTTGTTGACTGTTGTTGTTGTTGCTACTGTTATGTAAAGTATGTTGAATTATATGCTGTTGCTGTGGGATTTGCTGTTTATTCGTATGTGGCATGGGCCCGGCTTTAATAGCTGGTATGTGTAAATATTGTGGTTTTGTTGCTTTCGTCGTCGTCGTCGTCAAGGACGCTGAGGAGAAGGTCAAGGTTGACACTGACGTTGTTGTCAATGATAAAGATGATGACGACGTTGTTTTTGTATGCAATCCTCCTTTTCCTTCGTCGTCGTCTTTGCCTCGATCTAATTGTCTAGACCGGATTTGTTGGTGCTGCTGTTGTTGTTGTTTCTGGTATAAAGGACCAGGAGTATTTGACGACGATTGTTGCTGTTGAGACAATAATTGTGAATTGGTATTAGCTTCATAATATTCTAAATATTTTGTTTGGTATTCTTGTTCTGGCAATTGTCGTTGCTGTTGTGCTTGTAAGGCTGTTGTGGTACTAGTATGAGAATGATTGATACGTTGTGGATGATAACTACTATTATGATGAGGGTGATGATGCTTATATTGTGGATGAAGATGATGATGGTGACGATAATTAGTGATGATACTGTTATTTGAGTTAGTAGTACTGGCTCTGGTATTTGAAGCAGTGTTTGGTTTCTCAACTACAATAATACCCGAAGACGGCACGGGCATTATTCTTGTGAAGTATGTATAACGAAACTGTTATAAAATCCTCTTTGTTTTTAGTTAGTATCAAAATTATGCAGAAAGAGGAAGCAGATTTTGAGTTTGCTTTAACTTTACATTAATTTACAAAATGTTGTGTTGTGTCACTTATTTTTTGGGGGCGATCTAGAACGTGATATCCATTAAAAACTTTTTTTTTTTCTTAGTTAAAAACACAAACACACACACTTTGTAAACTAATGCAATTGATTAACGAAAGTTATCGTCAAATAAGTAGCTGTGCTTAAGTAATTCACAGTTTATTTTGCTTACAACAATCAGCATTAGTACATTATGTTCCAGTGACAAAGTTCGTTTTGGTTTTTTTTATTTTGAACAAATCCAGATTTGGATTTGAATTTGCGTTTTTTTTTTCTGTTATAAACAAAATATACTGTTATTCGCACAAATACGGTAAATAAAACAAAACATATCATACCTTTTTCTAACTCCTTGAAAATATCGAAATTTAAATTCCCGTCAAAACTTTGCACGGGATTCTTGCAAGCGTTGTTGCAGCTGTTCTCTTTTATCTCAGCAAAATAGAATTTTTTTTTTTAGTTTTTGAATTTTTTTTTCAGTTTTTTGTTTTATAATTATTTTTTAAGTTTTTTCTTTTCGTCTTATACTGCAATCTCTGTTGTAGTTGTAGTTCTCTGGCCTTTCTTTTCCAAACATATACTTTCTTTATTTATCACTTAACTGTTATCATGATTTTTTGTGGCCCCAGATTTGTAATTATGACATTTCCTTTGTAAATTAATCGTTTGCATATGAATCTTGGCGTAAAAGTCGTGAGGATTGTCGTCGTGACACAAGCCCTGGTATAGCTGCTGTTGTGGTTGGTCCTTTTCCTGTTGCTGCTGCTGCTGTACACAATATAGTGGCGGGCCCCCAAAATCATGGGGGCTTAATTCAAAGCAATAGTCCTTATTTGAAGCTTTTAGTAAATAATTTTTTAGTTGAGTTGATCGTTGAATACACTTGGACAACATTACATTGTTAGCCATCACATCAATCAACATTACTTTGGAATTGAATTTAATTTTAAATTTTATGGATTTTAAAATTTTCCGTTTTGGGCTGCTGGGGCTACTATTACTGCCAGTTATGCTGCCGCTGTTGTTGGTCGCAGAGTATTTTGTATTATAAGCTTCTATTGTGGTAATTATTCGTCGCTTAATACAATAATGTCGTTTACGTTTCTTTGGTTTCCTTTGGAAACGTTTACAACAATTATTGTATGATTCCACGACGATCGTTGTTTGTTTAAACGTTTTCTCACTCGAAATATTTTATGTGTATTGAGGGGGGCTTTCAGGACGACTTTGTGGTATTTATGAGGCGGCCACAACTATTCAATCGCTGTTATAGTTCGTAGCTGTTATTACTCCTGTTTTTATTTTAACAATATTACTGTAATATGTTTAAATTTCGATTGTTATCGTTGTTTTAGTCACAAACTGCAAAGAAAGAAAAAAATAGTTATTAGAAAGATTATAATTAAACAATTGTTTTTAAAACATCAGCTTCAAGCTACCCTAAAGGCATGATCGACAAGATCTTAACTATTGATGCCTAATATGTAAAAATTCCACAACATTTAATCCTTTCCTAGAGCAGAGAGACAAGGCTTCAATAGACCTCATTCTTTGTGTCAATATGTAGATACGGCAATTTGCAGTTACTTGATTTTTACGAAAAACATATTTTATAGCTGTACTAATTTATTTCTTTGAAGCATATAACAGTTTATTAGCAATTAGATAATAATTTTCAATAAACCTTAATGTTTAATGCATTTTTTCTCGGTTAAAAAAATGCCATAACGGCAAAATGGTGTATTACACTATGGCATGTCTGTCAAGGCACCACAAAGTTGCCATATTGTGTTCATTGTGTGCAAAATGTCAAAAGGAATTAAGAAATGGCAATAGAAGGAGAGGGCAGTGAGAGAATAACTATGGTTGCCCGTCAAAAACGAAGTTTGGCATATGCATGCAAGAGGAAAGAAAGAGAAAACGACTAATATGTTGTCGAATGTCAACAAAACACTAGACAAAAGGAAATCACAAATAGCAGCTTAAAGAATAAATAGAAATAACAAAGAGAGAACTAACAAAACATACATAAAAAATTATCGATTCCGGGCAAAGAAATACAACAAAACGTAAATAATAGAAATTTTCCCATCATAACTGAATGAATATGTATTAAAAAGAAGAAAACAGTGACACATACACACAAGAACGCATAATGTCAAAAATAAGAATATGCAATGCAATAGGCGACAGGCGCATACATGGCAAAAAGGAATGGAAATATTTGATCAAATATAAAACGGTATAATACAAGAGAGCTGAGCTAAATAAATGCAAATAATTAAAACCAATTTATAATTCATTCCACATAAACAGAAATTCCTATTTAAAACAACGCAAACTGCCAACACTGCAATATAATGAATGAATACTGTACACACAATGTGTGGTACAATAAATAACAAACATATCAAGAAAATACCAAAATAAGATTACATAACAAAAATACACAAACAACATCAACAACAACACACCAGTCCGCAATACTATAAACCATTAACATCTCCCGTTGTGCTTGCGATTTAGGAGAAGTTGATACAGGGATGATGGCGGTGGTGGTATTTCACAGAGGAATATAATTGAATAAAGCACAAAACATCAAACAAATGAACAGAGCTTAGAAAGAAAAAAAAAACAAAGAGAAGGCAAAATAACAATAATTTGAATTGCTGTTTTTTGCTTTGTTTGTGAAGTAATCATATACACAAAGCTTTAGCCGTAAAATTTGACTTAATGCCGCGCCATATTATGGAACAATTGTAGTAGGTATTAAAACCACAAGGCGAGGAAGGGTAGTAGTTGTACCACCATCATCATCAATTCACAACAGATATCCAAACGTAATAACTCAATAATTACATTAAGGTTTTTTGCTGCTGTCTTATTACACCAAAATAATAGGAAACTTCTGGCTGTTTTTTTTTTCTTCTTTTTATTTTTCCTCTTTTCTTTGTACAAACAACTTATACTATTTTCTTTGATGCCTCTTACTAACTGTATGAACAATACTTGATTTCTGTAGATGGTGGTATGATTCCATTTCCTTCTTCTTTTTTTCCTTCTTCTGATTTACAGCGGCGCAGGAAAAGAAGCAGTACACATTATATACACTAAACAGAAAGACAGTCAATGGATAAAAAGCGCATACTCGATGCAGAAGGCCAGAAAAACGTATCAAAGAACAACAAAACGAAATGTCAAATACTAAGCAATGTGTAAGAACGATCATCAAAACAAGGGAGAACTAAACAATAGAACGTACTCCTCCTTTTTTAATAGTTATCAAGTTGGTGGTTTCCAGACCAAAGTATTGATGCCCAGAACCACAACAACAAAAAATCCAAAATATATTTTTTTCTACGCTTACGTGAAAAATTTCCTCATTACAGCAATAGACGTTTTTTCAAATCTTACACCATTAAAATTTTTCGTATTTTTCAGTATTGCATGTACAGGCACTATACAAGGAAAAATATTCTAATATCAACTTCAAATAGACAATATATTTGGTATTCCTTATGAATTTAAAATGAAGAAGAATGGTTCTTACAATAGTTAATTTTAATGCTTTCATAGCAATCTCCCGAATGTATAGTTATTAGCTGTAGGTCCAAATCCCTCAACACTTCGAGGAGCATTCGTATCGTAATAGTACTACTGCAGCATGTACTGTAGAGTCAAATCAGCTGGAGTTTGCTGCTACCTGTATTAATTATACCATAGCTTTGGAATAGGTTTTAAATTAATTAGGCAAAATTTACTAAAGTCTTACATAAAATATTCCCATTAAGTTATGCATCCAGCTTAATTTGTGGGTGATTGAAATGTTAAATCATTTTCTCCACAGAAGCAAAACTTCAATATTAATTGGCATGCCTAAATATAGCAAAACCTTCCTCTTCTGTTCTCCCAGTGTACCAAGTGGTGTATGGGTATTATCATCACATATCAGCGTATATCAAAGGCTGACAAAGATATCAATTGTTATGACTACCGTGTTGAAGTGTGGATAAAATGCAATGAATAGCTAGCTTGTTAAGTTTTGAATAACAAATCAACTCAAATCTCTAGCTATTGTTAACCACCCTGAATGTAAAGTGCAATGGTTGGTGTGGCAAATGTGTGTGGAGATGGCAAATAAAAAAACTATTGACAGCAACGAGCACAAAGTAAACTGCAGCAGCACCAGGCCCCACGACGACGATGGCAACTTGTACACAATTATTTTTTGTTCCTCATTTTATTTCTTTAGTTTTTATGAAATTTCTCGATTATTCAAAAGGTTGTTAGTTGCTGTCGTCTGGCTGTTGTTGTTGCATGTACGTTTCACCGTGTACATTCGCGCTTTTTGTCTCTTTTTTTTGTTCTGTTCATAGTATTTGATGCGTTGACGTAGTTGGGTTTGCTTTTTCCCTTTTGCACGGTGCTGCATGCATACACATTCTTTACTTATTATATTTATTTGTTTAAACGATGGGCCATGGTTGCAAACAATCATTATCAGCCAGCCGCCAGATTTCTCTAGATGTCAAATAAAATGCACAACGGCCACAAAAGGGGAGTGCGAGAAAGAGGCAGTGAGAGAGAGGGCAAACAAAACAGGAGAAGAGAGGTTATGATGTGTAATGTCGCCCAATTATCCCTTGCATTGTTCTCGGTGTTACCAGATTTTCCGACAATTAATCTCTTAATATGAGTATTAGAATAACACTACGTTCACATAGAGATCATTTATCCAAAGAATTAATCAGTCATACCTAACTTTTTGGGTTTTCTGCTAAAAAGATTTGTTATCAGTGTTTTCTGATTGAATTCTTGTTGCTTAAATTATAAATATCAATTGCAATAAAAAAATAACAAAATGAAGAATATTAATGATGATTTCTGACAAACAGCTAATAATGAATGCATTGTAGAAGGCCGGACAAGCTTCATTGGTTGCGCGAGAATCGGGTGGGAGACGACGCAAGACGTAGATATGTACTTTTAATACAATTTTGTTTGTAATACCATACATGTATGTATGGCATCCAATAGATACACAGATTACTAACACTTTTCCCCATTATCGTTGTAGTCGCCTCCGTCACCGTTTTCAGTAGTTTGCTACTTTTTTTTTGATTTGTTTTGTACTTATTTTTCTTGTTACTTTTTCGCACTCGGTCGGTTTGTCTGTCAGTCTTCTATTATGCACAACACCGTACACACACATATATGCACATATAAGCTTTGGGTTTTTGTACAACATCAGATCTTGGTGTGTGTATAAAGTGCATTTTTGCAATATTTGTCTTTCTCTGTGATTTTGTTGCTTTTTTCGTTTTTGTGATTCTTTCTGTTTCTATTCCAAGTCCTCTTCCTCCCCCTGCTCCAACCATCAACAACCAGGCACTTTTCTTTTACTAGGCTCTATAGTAGTAGTTCGCATTGCAATTAGCAGAGGCAGCGCCAACAATCATTGTAGTTGTATCGTTAGTTTTCTGTATATCGTGTTTGTGTATTTTTCTTTTGTGTTGTTTTTGTTTTCGGACTTGCATGGTTTTGTCGGTGTATGGTGGGGTTTTGGTTCGTGCACCCAAAAAGTGAATGCACTAATTTTGCCTTGGCACTCGTCGTCATCTATTCACAAAACTATGGGCGCGATATCAGAGCACAAGCAACAACAAAATAATGGCAATAATGTCAAAGCAAACTAAAAACCACACAACAATACGTTTGAACGGTTGGTTGCTTAGGTTGGGTGTTTGTGCCATTGTCGTCGTCGTGGACGTGGACGTTGTTGCTGTTGATTAGTTTCAATTTTGTTCGAGGTACATACTTATCATAACCCTGCAAGCATTTGGAAGTGAGTTTCCCACTCCCTCTCTGCGACGCTTCTTGTCTGGTGATAAATAGAAGATAGTTTGTACATTACAATTACGAAACTACTGTTGTCTACTTTCTATCGTCAAGAAATCAAGAAGAAGTGGCGCCAAGGAAAATAAAAGGTGTTGCGTGTGCAGGACACTATTTCGTGAATTCCATCGGATAAAACGGCGATAGTTCATAAATATTTAGGAATTGAACAAAAATAAGACTTTATTCTATCTGAGGATTATATGACACTGTGGTGCAGTGGTAAGCATGCTCTTATTGCTATCTGAACACCCGGGTTCATTTCCCAAGCCGGACATCACATTTTAAAAACGAAAAAATTTACAGGGTGAGATAAAAAACTGCAAACAAAGTCAAGGGCCATAATTTTTATATTTTTTTTAAATTTTATTAAATGAAAGCAAAAAATGTCGGAAATAGCATCAAATTTTAGATGAAGTTTAGATTTCCAGAATATTTTTGCGATAATATTTAGCATTTATTCTTATGCCACGATTGATTAATACGAGCGGAGAGCGATCGTCGGCCATGGCCGGCGCTTGAGTTCTGGTGGCCAACCGAAGGTGCTCACTTTCAGCTGACCTCTTTGGCAAGTAAAAACGATCGTTTGTTTGTTTACAAACTGCTGAACAACGAATGTTTTCTGATCGGAGAAAACAGGTTCTGGAGCAACAATTGTCATTTGAAATTGATATATGGCCATGTCACTATAATCAAGATTCTAACGCATCGATATGTCACAACCATGTTACAATAACAGGAGGTAGAATAAAGTTGCATCTTAAATAGATTTTTCTCTTTTGGTGCAGAGGCTACTCCGTCAAAATAATACATTAAGTTATAGTTAATTGGTGCCCACCAGACCACATGTCAATTAAGTCCTTTAATTTATTCTTAAAAAAAAAACATGTTGAGTATACACAATTGAACAATGACTTGGGGTTTTATTTTTATACATTTCTCTTATTTCGGTTAGTACTAATAGTTGGGGTTGGCATTTGGTCTTGTCCCTAAAGCCAATTGCTTTAAATCAATGAAATTTGTAAACCCAGGCTGTCAAACGTGGGCAATTATAAGAAAACTGATTGATAAACTTGCCCATAGCCGTTATCCAAATAAATGTATATCTCTAATAAAAACATATTATAATATAATAACCGAATAGCCAAAATTATACATTTTCAACGTCAAAAATTATTTTACTCTCCCTCCTTTGCCTAGTTTTTTCATGGTTTAGAAGGTCTGTCTAAGGGGCATTGTAATCTATCAAGGTTTCATACATTCAAACGCAAAAAGTAGGTTTTAGACAAAAGGCTTTTGTTGAAAATCGATAATAATAGCAATTATTTCATATGAAAGCATTTTGTGTATTTAAGTTCTAAGAATGTAGACATTTTGTTAAGCTAGACACAGACGTGAATATTGTAATACACAACACTAACGTCTATACTAGTTAAAAGTCCTTCACTCGTTTCACACAACTATGGAAAATTATTTTTTTAATTAAAACCAATTTTTTTTTTTTTTTTGTAATAATGTCCACATCCGTGTCCAATACAACTGAAATGTGTACATTTTGTCTTTAGGATATCTATATAAATGTATAATTTTTTACATTCTCAGTGCTTATTATTACTTGCGTCATAGCCACACATCATACCCCATTCTTAAGAGTAATATATAATAACATTTTATAGTATAAGTAAGATACGTTCATATTGACTATTCAACTATACCTAAAACACAACAAAGTACGTTCTCAGTACGGAAGGAAATATAATAGTACCTAGCTATAAATGTCATAGGGCAATGTGTGTTTACTTTATGGAAGGTAAATTCTGGCCATTGAACATTGACAAAAATGAATAATGAATATTATCTCATTTTAGATTCAAAACATAAGGTGGAGTTACATAAAAGGGATTTTGTCTGACATAAGCATAAGCCATTACAATATTCAAATGCGAAATTTGTAACAATTCTGGTGAATAATGTCGCTAAAATCATCAAAATACCGAAAATAGGGAGGTACCATTATATGGAGGCTATACGAAGAGGTGGACCTGCATATAAAATGTTTGGGCATAGGTTGTAGTACCCATTATAAATTTCGAATACCAAATTTGAGACAATTTCAATGAATAATGTCGCAAAAATCATCAAAATACCGAATATCGGGAGGTACCATGGGGGCTATACGAAAACGGAGATCTGAACAATTTTCTGTCATACGCTGTAGTAACCATTACGAGCTTTAAATACGAAATTTGTAACAATTCCGGTGAATAATGTCGTTAAAATCATCAAAATGCCGAATATAGGGAGGTACCATTATATGAGGGATATACCAAAACCTGGACATACATGGCCCATTTTCAATACCAATAATCCTGCATACATAATATACATTTGAGTAAAATTTTATTAACCTACTTCATTTCTTTCGGAAGCTAAAGTGATTTCCTCAGACAGACGGAACGCTAAATCGACATAGAATTTCATGCTGATCAAGAATATATATCCTTGGGGGGGTCTAAGGGTATATTTCGAGGTGTTACAAACGGAATGACAAACTTCATATACCCTTCATACTATGGTGGAGGGCATGTCAATAAATGTTAAATGTTCTTTCAAATATAAGTAGATTTTTGTATGTTTTCTTATACGACGTCATTTGGAGGTTATTATAATTTGCGTTTTCCAACAATTTTTACAAATTTAAATAATTTTTCATTCAACATTTTCAATTCCAAAATTGATATGATAGTTCATTGTCTCAGCAGCTGTGTCTATGCGTCTAGCTTCATTCTTCTACCACGGGTGGAGGGTATAAAAAAACCAGCCAGTGGCTTAAGCCAGAAAAAATACACTTTTATTTGGCCAACTTTTAAAAATATTAAAAATATTTATGCAGCAATTTAAACTTAATTCATTCTCCTCTTAATTGTCGTTAGGGGAACTTCAAGTAACGCCATGAGGGCACATCATTTTACAAATCGTATATGTTGCCGTGTAACTTTAAGTTTCTTACTCCCAAGTTATGTTACTCTTTGAGTAAATTCACAATATGTGCTCTCTTTGATATTTGTTCCGTTTATTTACTGACTTCACATTAAAAATGGGATGCATGGCCATGACACTTTACACATGTGATAAATTTGTTGTGTGGCCGGGCCACACATTATCATTGGCATCCAAAAGAAATCTCAAGTTAGATTGTTTTCTAATTGGACAAACGGAAATGAGATGTGATATCAAAGGTATGCGCCATATAAAACAAGGGAAAACGACCAAGATACAAAACTTGTTGCATTCAGCTTTGAAATTTAAAAAAATTTACTGGACGTAACAACATTTCATTTATGTAGGGAGGGGAGGGGGAAATATCAAAGTGTTGGCAGACAAAATAAATGTTGATAAGAACAAATATAAATTGAAAATTCAGGGCCAGACAAGCCCCAAGAAATAAGAAGTCAAGGTTAGTAGTAATGCCATAGTGAGTTTTGTATATTAAAAAAGCAGCTTAAATAGTGGATTGAAAAATGCCAGGCCTATTAATATTAATTTTGAACTATGAGAACACTGTGATTTTTGATAGAAAATAACCAGCAATAAGTTAAAAAACCCCGAAACAATAGTGCAAGAAACTCAATTGGCTATATTGGACGAATGTTGCCACCAATTGCCAAGCATAATAGCACGCACACGCGATGTGTGTATGTGCGTGCGCGGTCAGATTTTAAATCAAACGGTAAACAAGCTGCAATTTGTATTATTAATTTTTTTTTATAGCAATCATCAACGCGCTGATGTTCGGATGAGACGGCGAGCTTGTTACCTAGCTATAAACACTAGCCTACCCCACTAGTAAAATGTTTACAGTTGGCGATAGTGGTCCACATTTTAATCAAATAGAACATTATAATAAAAATCACAAATGTGGGGAGAGAAAGAAAAGCAATAGCAGAAAAATTATTTTACACATAAAGAAAATGAATATACAAATAAACGTATTATCGTTTGTCGTGATCATCTTCTTGGGGCCGGCAATAAATTGATCAGGTCAGCTACTACAGATGCAGCGCAACCGGCACTAAACCATGGCCGCCAGCCGTCATCATGCATGCCTTTTGATGACAAATATTTATGTATGTATTTTGCTGGTGTGATGTGATGCAAACACGCTTGTCTATTTCAATTGTGCTATACCTATATATATTCTTGCATCTTTTATTAATTCGGCTATGCAAACTTTCAATAGCTGTTTTGTTTATCCGTATCAATCTAAAATATATAGTATATTTTTATATTATTTGAGGTTAATATTATACGTATTACTTATTCTATATTATATTATACCTATGTAGGTTCCTGCCCACGAATGTTGCAGGTGTACCATAGAAGGAATTATGTCATTATTTGTCACAACTAAAAAATGGATAAAAAAAAAACATTTTTTTCTTTCAAGCTGTACAAATTTTGGATCTCGGCGATGATTTTGATGTATATTCTTATTTCTGCATATTATTGGTATTCACTACAAGGCAATCAAAAGTACACCACATATTTAGATATCCTATATCTTCTAAAGAAGCCCACCTTTATAATAAAATAATATTTATTTAAAATATAATTACCGATTAGAAGTTCATATCGACTATCACTCGACTCAATTTATCGTAATCAGTGTCCCCTCTACTCACAATTTAATCATATGCAGAGCTTTCTAACTACCTGTAAATCTACTATATTTGCCAATATTTGGCAACCCCCAGTCAAACTAGAAACAAGAAAAAGAAGCAGAAAACGCGACTCGTCGCAGACACACACACACAAACAGAAGAAAAAGTAACCAGTTTTACAAACTTTTGCTTTCGATCAAAAACACACATAAAAAAATTGCACACTACCCATTCTATTCTTTATTTGCTTCTACGAAATATTAAAAAGAGAAAAACATATAAATATTGGACAGAAAGTGCTTGAATATTCACACAAAGCATGCTGCCATCACATTCAACAAAATGAAATAACCATAGGTAGGTTGATGGTATGGCCGTCTGTCTGTCTGTAGGTCTGTCATTCGTCTACCGTTTACACAGCTTAGCTTATTTCTCATCTACATCTAGAATTAAAACGACAGAGATTTGCGCGACAATTGTTGATGGCGGGGGAAATTACTAGATTGTAATATTTATGTTAAGAGAATTGATTTTTTGTTCATGGAATAATCACATAAAGCCCCCTACAAAACAAAAATAAGAAGAGGTTAAATCTTTGATAAGTGTTGGTCTTTTATTTTGCAAAATTTTTCTTTTGGACACAGAGATTCGGCAAAACAGCTGCAAATATAAAAAGCAACGTGTTATTTTATTATTAACTACCAATTTTATATTCATTTCCCAATTTATTTTCCAAATAAATCTCCCATTAAATGTAAAATGTATATAAATTTCATTGTAGAAGAAATTCATTTGCAAAAATGCAACACTGCGCATGTCAGAAAAAAAAGAACTGTAAACACGTTTGCCAACATGTAGATGTGTGAGTATGAAGTAAAGCAAAACAAAGATTAATGTTGCCATATTTTATGAGGCCAGGCAATTGTCAAAATTAGCAGCAATGAACAATATTATCATAATTGAACATTAAAATCAATGCCTATCACTTAAAAAATCAAAAACGAACACACAATTTACGTACACGTTTTAATTTACATTTGCACAACCAACAAAATAAATTCCATACACAAGACAGACGCCATCTTTACGAATGATGTGCACAGGGAAATATTAACAAAAATAGAAAGAGATAGCCGTATAGACAATCCGATAAAAATGGAATTCTTAAAGAGGAAACGAGAAAAATGTGAAAGATGGCCATTGTGTGTGTTCGACAGTGAGTTAAAACGTAGAAGGGAAAAGGCAAATTGCAAGAAATTCGTTTGGCTAATTTCAACATTAAATCGCCATTATTTTTTATGAAAAATAAACCAAAATGTTGCAAAAACCATTTTCGTTGGGGGACTAACAAACAGAGTACATATTTTTTATAACCAATACCTATTTTTTTGCAAACTAAAAACCAAATTTCCCCAACCCCATTTAAGCACAGAAAAAAACGAAGAAGAAGCATACATATTTTTTCAATATGGCGGCCTGAACTTTGACAAGTCAAATTGGGAAACAAAATATAGAAAAACAGAGCAAAAAAGTACATATAGAAAACGAGCAGTGGACAGAATTTGGAAGAATCTCAAGACAAAATTGATGGAAAAACTTTAAAAGGGCTTGTTCCATTAATTCGCTTATTTCTTCAACGAAAAATCCTTTGAAATGAAATGTAAGACCTAACCTCTATTGTTGATGGCTTGCGAAATTGCGCGACAGAACTCAATATTATTTTTCATTTGAGATTTAAAATAACTTACCATTTTCGGTTTGTTTTGGAAATATGTTGGAAATTCAAGCCATTTGTTTTAATTTCATTTAGCAAATGGCATTTGCTAACGTGTTACTCGATTAATTTTACACACAATTTGTTTTTTATTTTGTACAACTTAAGGCGTAATTTCAATCACTTTTTAGCTATATTTTGATTTTCTTCTCTATTTCACTTGTCACTATTCTTTCTCAGTATTTGAGGTTTACTTTTTTTGTGAAAACTATGTTTTCATTTTCCTTAAAAAAATTCATTCACTTTTATCAATAGCCTGCTTATTTTGCATTTCATTATAATTCACTGTAAAAATACATTATTTCTTTAGCGATATTTTAGAATTTTATATTCAAGAGAAAAGAAAGAATTGTTGGCGCGACAAGACGACGAAGGTACGAAATAAATAATGTACGATGATAGATCCATTTGGTTGGTAGTGGAAGTGGGCATTGGATGTTAGTTTCCTTTTTTGCTTCTTTTCATGGCATACACACATCTATTCTACTTTGGCTGGCTGGCATCCAGAGTTGTAATTTAACCTAACTTTTCTGTTGATTCCCTTTTGCAGTAGTGTTATTACTCATAGCTGGCGTTGCCACATTGTGCAAACTGTACATGTTTGACAAGTACGTAAAAAGAAGAAGCACTTACGAATATGTCGACACAGAAGATAACGAAAAAAACAATACCGAGATTTTTTCAGTTATTTGCTTTGCTCCACACATTCGTATTTTTTCTTAGTTTGCTTTCCCCCATAATTCTCTATTAAGTTCACAAAGCTGTGAGGAGGACAGCAGCCATAGCCATCTCTTATGGTTTGCTTCTTCTTTCTACTGCTACTGTCTATCCTTACGTCCGTCAGTTTGTCCCTCTGTCTACTTGCGCTTTTTCTTTGCTTCTATAAACCAATCCAACCATCGTCACAATCTCTCTGCACACACATCGCACAACCAACGAACAAATACAAAGGTATTATGAATGTAAATACATATATTATCATCAATATATATCAGCGTATGTATATACGACAACGACGACATACTATATAAATGTAATTGAGTATATACACAAATGAAATCAAGATTTTTTATATAGAAAATTTAGGGCTTGTATTTGCAAATACTATTGACTGGTAATAGTTAAACTAATGTTAACGGAGAAGAGCACCATTTACGAGCTAACTGCTCCACTAAAAGACTCTCCAAATTGCACTGAATATGCACTTGTTTATTATAGAACTATCAAATACAAAAATTCTTGCCTACGTTTAATATAAGAAGAACATACGTATAAACTACTCATCATCTTCTATTGGGTATTTTCTCTTTCGAGGAAGAGCCCTACCCCCGCGCTCACCTTTCCTAATCAAAATTGTTAATTATACATGTCTCATTTTACAATCTGTCATTATATTATTTCGTTCTATTTCATTGTTAAAGAAATTAAATATATGTGTGTGCTGTTGGTGTTTTTTCTCCCTTCTCTGTGTTCTTTAATTCACTTGTAACAGAAAAACACTAATTATTGGCTTGTATGCCCCCTCCAAATCGCGCACAACACTTCTTCGTTGTTCTTTTGCACAAACACCTTTTAAAATATACTATTTTTTCTATATACACTTTACACCAAACGACGTTTGCTTGCTCGCGCACTCACAAACACAAACTTACAATGTTTATTAGGATTTTATTCCATTTAATTCTTTTTTCCTACTTAATATTTTTTTTATTTTTTCTTTATATTTTTTTGAAAAGTTCACTTTATTTATGTTATTTATTGTTTTTTTTTTCACTTACATTTTTTCCTATTCAATTCGAGGAAAAAAATTCGTGAAGATGTATACAAGTTTTTCTCACGTAGTATGAAATGAAGACTGCAAAAATCAAACACCTCTGGAAATTTTGACTTATTATCACAGGGTGTTTCACAAATGATAGTGTATCCATTAAGGCGTATGTTCAGTGAGCAAAAATCGCAATTGGAGGGGAGTCACATGTCACGATTCCTAAACAACTTTTTTATGTCAAAACTAGCGTTTGACGAGACAAACCAGAGTTGTAATTCTCAGTGCATTTACAGTTTTCAGCATTTATTAAATCAACTGGATTTAAATAGTCAATTTCAATGCATAGACATCAAAGGGATCTAATTTAAACACAGTTGTTAAAGCGATGGGAATTACTGTCAAGCACATATCTTCACAAATTAATGTTTGGCACTTGAACTTAATTTTTTGTTCATTTTCCCTCCCATATTTGTTTGTTAATTCTGGGTCTGGATTCTTAATCTATGAAAATATAAAATAAAAAATATTTTCCTTTATAAAAAATAAAAGACAGTTCTTTTATAGATGGTAATATATCATATATTTATATAAAAATACTGAAAAATGACGAAAATAATTAAAGTTATGCGTATGTGATAGGATGGCTCAAAAAAAGTTGTTTAACTTCAGCACAACTGAAGTCTTATTGTGTTAAATAAACATTCAACAGTTGGTTTTGTTAATTTTACATTTTTTCATAGAATTATGGTAGAATTAAGAAGGTAAAGTGTAATTGCATGACTATGTTTACAATTTTTTTCAAAGTTATTCATTTAACAACATTTCATTGTCAAAAAGTATCCTTTCAAATCCTTTGTAAACACACAAATCAGAGATGGGAACCTATTTTCTATGAAGTAAAATTCGGCAAGGTAAGCTAAAGCAAATGCGGACCTGAAATAACTTTATCTTCTCAATATAACAGTGATAAAATTATTATATTGAGGGAAAACCCACAAGACATGATTGTAATGTTGGGGTTATTCCACATAATTGAGTCCAAAATTGAATGACAATATTATTTTATCCCAAAATTGTACAATTTGTTGTCCATTAATATCCCAAAATTGTTAACATGTTGCCCATTAACGTCGAAAATATACATTTGTTTTGCAACCGAATTTGAAATAAATTTAAATTTTTGTATTTTTTATTTAAAACAATACACAAAATGTGTATATGTGCTAACAGAATAAGGGCACCAGAAAAAAAATTATTTAGGGGGTAGCTTTGTTCTACCTTCTGTAATAGTGCCATGGGGACACCAAAAGAAAAAAAAAATCAATTCAGGAGATAGTTTTGTTCTACCTTCTGTAGTTGAGACAGTGTTGTTGGGAAATAAATCTCTGATCCAAGTCCATTTGTTTTTTGTAATCACCGGGTTACATATAAACATGGCTTATCTATTAGTTCGACCGAGTTTAAGGGTGGAAGTACATAAAAAGCTTGAAGTCATGACTAGGCATATTTTGTGACTATTCATAAAAAGAAAAAATTATTTATTTTCATTTATGTTTTCATAGAATCTATTCAGCAAGCATTAAAGGTAAGGACACATAAAACGCTTTTTGACTGGCTGACTGGTTTTTTACCGGCTGATTTCTTCGTAGAGGAACAAAGGTGTTTTAGGTTGACTTAGTTCGAGTTTGTCCCTACGCTCCTTTGATCTTTTCCAAAGAAGCCAGCCGACGACTTAATCCAGTCAAAAATAGATTTATTTATCCTTCTCTCAAGTCCAGCTAATTTTGATTAATCCAAATAATAGATTGCTTCTAAACGCGGTATTAAACAATAAATCCTGATAATTTGTGTTAATCCGGATAACATTTTGTATGTAAGTACCTTATTTTAGTCATGTACCAATTGAATTATAAATGTCCCTGCAGGCAAAAAATATTCAGGAAGTGACTTAGGTGTCACACCTAAGCGATAGAAATCATCGAAGTTGATATAGCTTTGTAACCGCGGAAATTACAAGCTTCGGGAAGAAATGCGTATACCGCGATGTACGCTTGCATAGGACATTTAATATTTAGTTGAAATACTCACTCATTATTTTTTCGTTTTTGAAATGCGATGTCTGGCATAGGAATCGAACCCAGGTATTCAGAGAGCAAAGCGGGCATGCTTACCACTGCACAACAGTGTCCTAATGTAAAAAGGCTACTACGATAACCGTTTTCTTTCCGGATTTAAATCAGATTTAATTTTATTGAAGAAATAACTCCAATTTCGACGGTAATCAAACGAGAATAATAATTAACATTTGAGAAATAATTGTTTATATTTTTTTACACTTCTTTATATGAATCTTTGACACTAATTTGAAACTTGTAATTCCTTTATTTAACTTTTTTCCCACAAGATTTTATAATATTTATTTAATTTTATTTCTTACTTTTACTGGAGCGCTATTGTTTGTTTCGCGAACACTCAGTCAATTTCTGAAATCAGGTTCTATAACAATTGAAAGTTCTATAACAGACCAAAGCTTTAAAGCCCACAATGTGAACTGAGCGCCATCTATATGTATTAATGAATTGTATATTTTATAACATGTTCACTGAACACATCGCCATCATTATTGTGTGCTATCAATGCAGTGCGAATTGAGAAATAAATAAGTCAAGAAGAAGAAATTATTTCTTTGCTTTCATTGATTTAACTGGTCTCTTTATTTACAGAGGATTCTTTTATATTTCCCCCCCCCCCCCCAATTTTGTGCCCAGATTGTGTGATTTCCTCTAGCAGTGAGATTAAATAATTGATTTAATACTGAAGTAATGATCTGAGATGGAAATTAACACAACAAACAAACCTTGCAAACAACAAACAAGCTGAAACTAGTTCCTGTTGGACCTCCGTGAACAGTTCATTTAGGAACGAATATCATGGAAATAAATCCTATCGCTGTGATTCTGGTCTATATGGACAGTAAGGGCGATCGTTTATTATACCGATACCCCTATGCTGCCGACAAATCACTGAACAACCAAAACTTGTCATATTCTGTAAATAATTCATTACCACATGTTGATAGCAGTGGAAGTCTGACACAAAAGAGTGGGTCCGATGGTCTGCAAAAGAAACGACATCGTTTTGCTTTACAGAACTCCGATGATCTGTTGCAAACTCAACCGTTGAACAGCGCTGGAAATATTGCAATAAGTAAAGCCGGTCAATTACAAGGATTTTCTGATGATGTGTTGGCGCCACTGTTTGCCGTTAAACCCCAGCTATGTAATCAGAAATTCGAACTAAAAGTTAATGATGTTCGGTTTGTTAGCCATCCCACATTGGTGCCAAGGCGTGAACAACAACTTCAGCAGCAACGTTCCAATTTTATTAGTCAACTGACCAATGTCACATCGGTTGTACCGCAACAGCAACAACAACAGCCTCAACAAATGTTGGTAAACATTGTGTTTGCATTGCATGCACAGGCAAGCTATTCCATTGTGAAATGTTATTATGATTTAAGCAAGCGTTTAGGCTTGGCCCTGAAAGTGGAAGAACAAAGAGTGGGATACCTAACCGAAGAAACTGTGTTAATGACACGTACCCATGATGAAGTTTCATCGCAACAATTACCATTGGAAAAGGCTTTCGATTTAATATCAGAAAGATGTACTTTGGCTCAATCATTAAAGTCAATATACCATGATTTGTGTACAACGGGTTTGTTAAATGCCACCATTAACCAAAATCTGACACTGTGTTTTTGTTTACCGGCCAAAGCACACCAGTTGCATAAAAAGGGTAGTATGGTTGATCCTGAAACCATTGATCAATGCCTTAAATCTTTAAAGCCCTACCATGGGATGTTGCTATTGGTTGCTGCTGTCGAACTTTTAGATTGTATACCACCAGCTGCGGCACGAATGCTTTTCCAGTTAATAGAGGTTTATACCCCATTGATGAGCTTGCAAAGCATGGCCTCGGATGCTGATCTAAGCATAGAACATGTCTATAAATTAGTTTCCCATTTAGTATATTGGGCCAAGGCCACAATCATATATCCGCTGTGCGAAACAAATGTCTATGTGATAGCCCCTGATGCGCCTTTACATACCAAATCCCATTTGGTGGAAAAGTTTTCAGCACGTTTTCCTGGGATGTCATTGTTTGAAGTGATTTCAGATTTTTCATTGCCGACAAGTATAGGCCATTTAACTACACCCCTGCAGCAGTCAGCACGCCAAGGTATATTGGCTCAAATGGTTCTATGGATGTTACAACATCATTTACTAATGCAATTGCATACCTATGTACAATTCATGCCCGGCGATGTGGATGATTTGGACAGCGATGAAGACGATGATGATGATGACGACGACGATGTTAATGGAGGTTGTGAAATGGAATCGGCATCGTTGATGGATTTAGCTGGTTCAATGTTGGGGCAGGATGATATATTAATAGCTGGTCGTAGTAGTAACAGTGATGATGATTTGTGAGTATGCCAGATAGATGTATATATGTGTTGACCTTAATATTATTTTCCAATTGCACAGAGTTGCTGGTTCCTTGTTGAGCTTATCAAGCCAGCCCTTACCGGTACCACACACCAGTCGTCGTTCCATTACCGAAGATCGATTTTCTGCAGGTGGATCAACAACTTCGGAAAATATAGCTGCCCAACCCTCATCTAGTCACAAGTCCAATTTTAGGTAATTTTCAAAACATTAGAGAGAAATTATTCCTTCTTACCATTATTGTCCTTTTTTCCAGTATGACTGCTTCCCTGAGCACAGATAACTGCGATAGCATAGATTCCATAGAAGATGAGGAAAAAATCAAGGAACTTTTGCAAGTATTCGATGAGTCCGATCGTCCGGCAATACGACGAATACCAGCCTCAGCCAATCTGGATGATTTATCATTAATGGTTAAGCTTTATGAAGCTGGATACTTTAAAAGCGAACATCATTTGGAAGAGATTATGTATTTTGAAAATCTAAAACGTTCTCAACTTTTACAATTGTTGGATAAATTTCGAGAAGTTTTAATAATCTATGAGACCGAAGACCCAGCAATAGCATCAATGTATAATAATAAAATGCCGGGTGAATGGTAGCGGAAGTGCCGTGGTGAAAATGGAATGAAAGAAAGACTGTGCCATGTGAAGAACACAATTGTTTTTGTGTTGTTGTATACAAATCAAAAGGGTTTTAAGGCTGTAAGCCATACACCCCCATCAATGAATGTTTCTATGACTTCAAGGGCATTTTTGTGTCAGAACCAAAAATATAAACAAGGAATCCTATCAACTAAGGTTATGGCTTTAATTAATCTAACTATACACTTTTTATTAACTATTGAAACTGAACGAGCTATACAAAGATGTAAATGTAAATACGTTATTACGGAATTATTTTTCATACGTATCCTTTCATAAATATTGCAGTAAAACGCACATTATAAATAAAATTGATTTCCTTCGATTGTATATAGTGAACAAATAAATATTTTGTTAAACAAACTACTAAATAAAATGCATTGCGAATGATTTTCTTGAGTCTGTGTATGGGAAACACCTTGACAACTTGAAAAAGAACTACAAACATAATTTTTTTTTCAGTTATTAAATAAAGAGATACACTGTGACAAATTGAATAATAAAAAATGGCGATTGTTGAAGTGTTTTTAGAGACTTCAAGTCCAGAAAATATGGAGTTTTGAAGAGCTTTTAGAGAATTCACATGTACAGAATCGTAGATACTTTAAAGAATTTTTAGAGCATTGAAAAAAATGGATTTTTCAACATTTTGGAGGTTCGCTAAACCCAAGCAAAGCGTCGATTTTTGAAAGAATTTGAAAGTCGAGAAAACTTGGATTTCAAAATTTTTTTAAAGAATTAATAAAATCCAAACAAAAAATATGTAGATTTTTCGGAGATTAAAACCATAAAAGCTTGTATTTTTTAAAGACTTCCTAAAATCTCAAAACCGTGCAACATTTAAAAGAATTTTTAAGATTTCCCTAAATCAAAAACAAAAAACTAGATTTTAGAGACAGACACACTTAGGATCTACAAAAAGTTTTTTTTACGAGTTTTTAGAGACCCCCAAAGCGCAAAAAAATGGGATTTCTGATAGCAATACCGAATATCTGGTGGTACGGTTGTATGAGGGCTATACGAAGACGTGGACCTACACAGACAATTTTCTGTCATAGGCTGTAGTATCCATTACGAACTTCAAATACCAAATTAGAAACAATTCCGCTGAATAACGTCGGTAAAATCATCAAAATATCGAATATTGGGAGGTACCGTTATATAAGGGCTATACGAAGACGTGGACCTGAACAGACAATTTCCTGTTATAGGCTGTAATATCCATTACGAACTTCAAATACCAAATTTGAAACAATTCTAGTGAATAATGTCGCTAAAATCAAAATATCGAACATCGGGAGGTGCTGTTATATGCCACAATTGAGCACCTTGCTGCATATAAAATCGTTAATCTATGTCTGATTTAGATTAGGTTAAAGGCTGCGCGGATAGATAGATAGAAATTATGTTTGATCCAAGAAGAAATTAAAGTGTTGTCATTATCCACTTTAGTCTTCTGTGTAACTCAAGAATAACTGATAGATAGCTAAGTTTCGGAAATGAGAACAAATCGTACAAAATTTCCTTCTCTATAAGCCTATATCTAAAACCGAAAAAAATTGGACAAATATTTTAATATGTCATTTATCACCATAAGTCATAGTAGTGGTGAAAAAACACCTCCTTTTGATGTGCCTCGAGTAGCCGGTCTCCTTGTCTGCTTCAGTGAATGAATATAATGAAGGGACAATACATCCCGATTCTACAGTGCTCTTTCAAATGATCCCAAGTCAGTTGGAAGTTAAGCTGGACTTATTACTTCATTTGCTAGTGCCACTCATGGTTCAATCAGAGAGGTTGTTCAATGCAACTCTGTACCGAAGTTTTATAGTGTCAAATAGGCTTTTAAATATGAAACAATAGGTTTTGTTTATTTTAATTTTTTTTAACAAAATTCTTATATTGAGGAAAACCTCAAACCTGAATGAAATGTTTGGGTTATTCCAAAAATTGAATCAAAAATAATAAGACAATACAGGCTTCTCCCAAAATTGTACAATTTGTTGCCCTTTAACGTCGATCGAATATGCATTTTTCCTGCAACTGAATTTTAAATAATTTTAAATTATTTTATTATTTATTCATATACAAACTGTGTAAATGTTTTGACAGAATATGGGCATCAAAAGAAAAAAATTGTATTCAGGAGATAGCTTTGTTCCAACTTCTCTAATTGTGCCATCATGAGTGAAATCCTGATGTTTTAATTGTTTATTTCTCTCTTTGATTTTTTCTTTCAGAAAATAAAACACAAGGCAATTTTTTAAAATATTTAAAATAATTACGCGTTGTTGTTTTTTATTTTCTTTATATAAGATAATAATTTGTTTGTTGTTGTAATTAATAACTATTATAATGCTTTGTTTACTTAGTAATTACATTAGTTTGTGTTTTATAAAAAAATGGTTTTGTATTTGGAGGGGAGAAGGGGTACATTAATGCTATAAACTTTTTCCATGGAGACAGACAGTGAGAAAGAGTTGTTGTTTTTTTGTTCATTTTGTGTGTGTGTATGTTTGATGCAATCTTTGCTGTAGGGGAAGAGGGGACATTTTACAATCAACCAACATTTTCTTTATAAGAGACATTGTGTTTTTATGTTTAAATATTTGTTGTTTTTTTAGAATTTTTACAATTTTTTTGGATATTTATTTATTTTTTTTCTTTTTTTTTTGGTAGAATAATAAAACTATTTTTTTTAATATAAATGTATGTGTGTATGCATGCTATTGCAAATTGTAAAAACATTTTTTCTATAATAATTTTTATTTTTTTCGCCATTGGGTTTTAGAAATATTTTGGGGGTAGGGTTTTACTGCGGGTGTATAATTTATTTTAATCTTATGCTTTGAATAATTGGGTTTTGTTTTATTTCTTTTTTGTTGTTCTTTTCGACGTTTAAACGTGCCATTTATTTTTTTCCTTTTGCCAGTATTTGCCTTTGCCTTTTTCATTTTAGGACCAAGTTTTCTTTTGTTTCATTTTTGTTGTTCATCTTAATTTAGTTAGATTTTTTCTTTTATTTATTTTAAATTATGTGCAAAAATATTTTGCGTTCGCTCTTCGATTATAAATCACGTTGCATTTGTATTTTCACCATTGCTTTCGTGGAAATTGGCTCCATTTACAATGAACGATGTGCCTAAACCATACAAGTGTCCACAGTATTTGGCATTGTCAATATTATCCTCAAAGAACATCTGTAAAAGAAAAAAAAAAATAAAATAAAGTAAAGTATGTATTTTGTTGTTTCCAATAGTCAGACGTAATCCCATTATTATTTATTAATGGAGACACCCTACAAATGGTCGTTGGACCAACCGATCGATCGATGAACTTTACATTCATTTATGTCTAAGAAGTAGATCAGTGAGTCCCTTAATTTTTTTTTTCAAATATAATTAAAAAACACGATTCCGCCAGTCGTTTTAATGTATTTTAAAAAATATACGGGAAGCTTGAGGATGGCACTCTTCTCGGGTTGATCATGCACGAATCCTGCACATACCAATAAGTCGAAATATACTAGGCGAAGGTAATACAATTAGTGATTACATGTCCATCATTTTCGATTTCAATTATATTGACGTTAAGATACCTAAAAGGCACACCTGTGACGGTGGTGAAACTACTCTTGGCGGCCAGGTTATTTATACATATGGTTCCAAGATGGGTGAAGGCACCGGTATTGGCGTCTTCTGCCCTAACCCAATGATTAAACACAACTGCAGCGTGTGCATTAGCCTAACAGAACCAGTGTGAGGCTACCCTTCTTCTCACTGACGTATGGGAATAGATTAAGCTTTGTTTTATTCCAGAACATAGCAACATTGTGGGAAATGAGATGGCTGATAAATTTGCTCGAGAAGGTTCCCAGTCGATTGATCTACCCATTGATGAGACTATTACAAGGGACAAGATGGATTGAAGCACCGTTTTTCAGGCGGAGATAAAATAACTATGCAATAGCCTAACAGAACGAATGCCAGGCTACTCTTAAGGCTATCAAGTCAAAAGTTTTTAAATCGAGAGCTACTCTTCTCACTGACATATGTGAATTCATTGAGCTTTGTTGGGTTCCAAGACATGGCAACATCGTGCGGAATGAGGTGGCTGATAATTAGCTCAATTCGATTGATCTGCCGATTGATAAGACTGTTAAACCACCACCAATGCTCCAAAAACTCTCTTATCCAAGAAGTTGCAAGGAGATGGGTATCTAAGTTCATTTGGCCGGTAATTCTCAAGATGCTGTTATGTCAGCTGCTCCAAAAACTTTTCAAGATGGAGTAACAGTGGTCCTACTATAAACTATGCGAAGTTTTAAGAAGAAATAGTGGCGATTGAACACATGTGTTATTTTATCCCACAATGGGCATGGGTTTTTTTTTTGGCAGGTGGGAGATAGAAGCTCTAACTTTATTTTCAAATGTAGATTCCATCTTCATCTTCTAGTTTCCCTGGCTAAGAAGCTTGATTTTCTAAATATACTATCTCTCTTTCTCTATAAACTCTTCCTTCTCTTTTTTCGATCTCTCTTCTATCACCAAAAACCACATTTTTACTAAGATGAACCTAGGATGAATACATGGACCAAAAGTCGATTCCCGATTCCCATCTACAAGTTTCCCTGGCTAAGTAGCTCGATCTTCTAACTGTACTCTCTCTCTCTCTAGGATGAACCTAGGCTGAATGAATTGATTAAGGGTCTCCGAGTGAAGCAGATGCCGATTCCCGTGAAGCTTCGCATCCTTAAATCAAACCAAAGCTACTTTAGAAATTTCCCCTTCGCTTGTCTGTAAAGATTCCCTTTCGCTCTTCTAGAAAGACTGTCTTCAACTTGTAAAAACCGCTATAAAAAATGCAGTAACTTTATTTCCTGAAACTCTTCGGTTACCAAAAAGATTTTTTCTTGAAACTAGGAATATTTTACCACGGAGAGACAGGACATTTGAAGTCTATGGCAATATACAGGGTGAGATGAAAAAGCTGTAACCGAATTCAGACTGCTGTCATTTCAAAGCCACTCATCCGACAGCTGTTAAAATTATTCCAGGGACAGCTCATTATATTGTTTACAAGCGTACAAAAGCATTTTGGTTAGAATTTTCCAAAAAAAAAAAAAAAAAATTATTCGTGATGAAATTCAAGCGTGATAGTATGATTTCTTTATATTTGGTTGGAAAACCACAAGTGGCTATCGTTAGAGCACTCCATCATTTAAATGTGAATAAATCTTTTGTGTCTCGTACCACCGCTCGTTACCGCGATACTGGTAGCGTAGCCCGACGTCAAGGAAGTGGACGAAAAAAAAAAAAGCAACATCAGCAGAAATGGTTCGAAAAGTAAAGAAACGACTTGATAGAAAACCGCGTCGCAGTGGCCGAAAAAAGGCTCGTCAGCTGAACATATCGTAATATTCAATTCTGCAAATATTGAAGAATGAGCTTGGGGTATGCTATTGAAATTCCAAAAAGTGCAAGAACTTACACCGCAACTGAAAGAAAATAGACTCAAAATTGCTAAAGAGTTGCTTCGATTGGCCGAAAGTGGTAAACTGCCGAATTTGATTTTCCCCGAAGGGAAAACATTCGTTGTCCAGCAGTTTGTAAACAAAAAAAATGAACGTGTTTTCTTGCCAAAGAGATCGTGTTTACTTGCCACCAGAACTCAAGCGCCGGCCACGGTGATGATTATGGATCGGCCATAACAGCCTATGGTCGCTCTCCGCTCGTATTAATCGACCGTGGCATCAGAATAAATGCCGAATATTATCGAGAAAATATTTTGGAGGGTGTATTAAAGCCTTGGGCACGCAGACCTTGACATTCCAACACGACTCAGCACCATCGCACTCAGCACGCGCCACCCAAGAATGGTTAAAATATGATGTTCCTCGCTTCATTTTCAGCGCACAATGGCCAGCAAAATCTCCGGATACCAATCCGTTGGACTATTGTGTCTGGAGTATTTTGGAAAGCAAGGTTGGCACTAATAAATATCAAAGTGTCGATCACCTCAAGCAAGCGCTTCGCCAGGAATGGGCCAAAATACCATAGAGCAACATTCGGGCAGAGTGTGACGGTTTCATTGGCCGTTTGAAGGCCATAATTAATGGCCAATTTGAACAAATTAAACTTATTCTAAAATGTGATGCTATTTCCGACATTTTTTGCTCTCATTCAATAAAATTAAAAAAAAAAACAAGCCGTTTGAAGGCCATAATTCGTGTCAAAAGTGACCAATTCGAACAAATCCAAACTTATTCTAAAATTTTATGCTATTTTTGACATTTTTTTGCTTTCATTCAATAAAATAAAAAACAACTGTAAAAATCATGGCGTTTGTTGCAGTTTTTTATCTCACCCTGTACACTTGTTCCTATAGAGCCAATGAATTTTTGCAAACAAAAAAACAATGTAACTTCTTGGAAATTACACTTAGGGTAAAGTTTAACAACTAAATTTACGAAATAATCAATATAAATTGTTAATGAAGTTTCATTGGCTCTATACAATTCGGAACATGCTCAGTTTAAAAGAAAGGAACTAAAATATCAATTTGGAAGAAAATATAAACCATAATGTTTTTAAATAAAAATACCAATGGCAATTCAGTGTTTATGTTTTAATAAAAACATTTTCTTTTTAATAGAAAAAAATTCAAATTCAATAAAAAAACAAATTTACAAAAACAAAGGTAACAAAAAGAAATAGAACTCTGGATAACTTCATTAACAATTCATTTAAGAGTTTTTTTGTTTGATTTTTTAAATCTAAAAACTAATTATTATAAGGAACATATATTCATACTTTTCGAGTATTAATATCATTAGTAAAATTTGGGCAATGTAGTTTCATTATTACAAAAGTAAAATTTTAAAATTTCAGCAACTCCCCTGTAGTTGCAAGATAATGAGATAATTCAGTAACACTTTTGTAACAATGAAAACTTGGAAACTCGCTTTGCAAAGTTGATAATATATAAAAAAATCATAATTCATTCAAAAACAATTCAGGGGATAAACTAAACGTCTAAATTCAAATACTTTCAATATGAAAAAAATAGAAATATTGTAGTTTTCCAATGAAAACAAAACTTGAGGAAAGAAAAATACAAATTTAAAAAACAAATGAAAATGAAACATGAAATTATTCACAAATGTAATGGAATTCAATGTTAATTCATGACTAGTAAATGGATGTGTGAGGGTAGGTATTCTTGTGCGCGACATAAGCCAAATATACAATTTAAATATTATTGTTATTAAATTCCACAGCATAATCTAGAAATGTTGAAGTGGGTTCGATTTCAAAATTATTGTTTTCATTATATACCTCACGCATTTTAAAGAAAGCCATTCCCGTTAGCAGGGCATCCGAGCCGGCTTGATGTTGCGGTCCAACACGACGCAATTCCAACTGATCGGCCACTTCCTGGAGGCCGCCTTTAAGATTTTTGCATGATTTCATCAAATACTTAATGTCATAGATGTTGGGGAAATAAATGTGCAGCAAATCGAAAAATTCACTCTCATCTGCGGGCAAATTTTGATCGGTCAACAACTTTAGCAAATAGCCAAAATCATAGCCCGAATGGAAACAAAGCCATTTTATGTTGTCAACCAAAACAATTCCCGAAGACATTAAGAGTTCAGCGAAATCTAGTGGGTCAATGCCATCCTCTTCATGTTTTTTGAATTGTATGCCAGAATTTTGCAATAGGTCAATTGAATCTTGGGCGTACATGTCCTCGCTGTAGGAAAAAAGAAAATCCATTGACTCATTTCAATGATAAAATATTTCATTGACTTACCTTAAATTAAACTTAAAATTGAACTGCCATGTACTGTAGCCGGGTGGGGTTTTACCCTCATCATCCATAAATGTCAAACCCAGCTGGATGATACGCAACAAATCGACATTGCAGCGCAACAATTGATAGTGATAATCGGACGTTGAACGAAATTCACCCACAGGACGTGCCACAACGCCCGGAAATTCCGTATCCATTGCAACGTAGTGATATTTTTGCACAACTTTACGTATGGTACGAAATTCCTCCTCCAGATTGTGTTTCCAGACATCACGTATACCACACTCTTCGTTGCTGGGTATATTGGCATTATGGCCGCCAGAGCCATGACCACCGGCACCACCTACTGCTGAAGGCATTGCCTGTAAAGATGGCGAGAACTTTGTTTATACGATTTTAATGTGTGTAGCAAATTTTGGACTTGGGGATTATTTGTGTTTTTATTTTCAATGTTTTGGTGGGAAAAATAATAATGGTGGGAATGGATTGGATGGAAATGGAACGAATTTATAAAATTTTGGATACTACTGTCTTCGAGGCATTTTGTAAAAATATAAGACAATAACAAGGGGTTAGCATTTGGACTAAGGAAATCTATGCTGGACAATTACTAAAAATAAGGTTTGGTTTTATTGTGAGAGCATCTATTTCAAATCTGCACAGAGGTCTTTTTAGAGGAGTCTTCTAAGATGTGATTATTTTTAAGAATAAGATTTTCTGCATTTAGCGAGAAGACGTTTTGTCATCTACAAGGAATCCATTGACCCTTTATTTCTTGTTTTAATGGAAAAGAATGTTTCCTATGAACAATGCATTTTATGAAGAAGATATTTCAGAATATATTTTTCAGCGAGAAGACGTTTTGTCATCTACAAGTAATTCATTGGCCCTTTATTTCTTGTCTTTTATGAAGAAAAATGAAGGAAGAATGTTTCCTATCAAAAATGCATTTTATGAAGAAGATATTTCAGATATAATGTAGAATATTCGCTTTCCTAACAATAAACAATAAAAATAACAATAAAATTTGATCTTCCGTTAAGTACTTTTGGTTCTGAAATAAGAAGGAGACATTGATCATGTAGGAATACCTAGTTGTTTGCGATCTTCATGTGTAAGCGATGTCCAAGGTAGGTCATAAAGGGATTGCCTTTGTACAATTACAATTTTTATTTGCACAGGCTTTAATTTGACTGATTATTAATGATAGAATTGATTATTAATGAGATGTCGGGTAGCAGAATCATTAATTGATCTATAGAAAGTAATTTTAAGTAGGCTCACAGCAACAGTCGGATTTTTAACACATGTAAATCAGATCTAGTTGTTGTTTTTGTAGCAGTAGTACACGTATGTGTTTGCGTTCTGCTAATCTGGTTCCAGCTCAGATTTAGAAATTTGGCTACTTTAATTGGCTGTAGCCAGAGATCTTCTGGAGTGAGTTGGATAGGTTTGGCTGTGCAATTAAAGAGATGCAACGTATTGTGAGGGCGGGGCAGGCGTCATGCACATCTTCATCATTTCGTGACCAATACGAATTGAGACGATTACATCATCCTGAACGTAATTGCGCCAAAACTACCCTGGTTTATCTAGGCAGCTGACGTTCAACAACTGCTAATAGCATCCGCGACTGCATCGGTATGAATGCTACTCAGACCTGCCTGAAAGGTTTCTTCATCTAGAGGTTCTCTCTTGTAGCGTTGGACCTCCCTCTCTAGATCGTGTACGTCCTTCCTGACACGCTTGGGTGGGAGAGATTTATCCACCATATTATGGTTGGGATGACTCTCACGGTAACACCCAAGCAGGTACTGCAACGAAAGCATATGATAATGCTGAAGTAAGAGAAGGACTTTCGCCTCCTCATGTAGATGTTCCACTGGTGTCATGAGAAGGCACCCTGTCGCAGTTCTCAGGGCAGCGTTTTGGCAGGTCTTGATGTGCTTTCGCTACATAGCACTAGTATTCGCAGACCACACTGGAGCCGCATAGCTGACCACAGACCGACCTATCGCGTTATAAGAGTTCAACAAGGTTTCCTTGTCCGCGCTCCAAGTGCCGGCTAGTGCCTTGTTCCTACTTTTCATCTTGTCGCAGATAGCTGTGGCTTGCGCGGACGAATTGAACATGCGGTCGAATGTGACCCCTAGAATCTTGGGGTAGTTAGTGGTCGGTATTAAATTTCCCTCGACCTGCAAATTTAGATGTTTTATCTTGTCCGCAGACGAAGTGGTAAAGAGTGTGGCCGTTGATTTCGTGCCGGGTATTTTCATATTCCTCGCGTGGAAGTATGCGGCAAGCAAGAAATCAGAACTCAAGCGCCGGTCATGGTAATGGTGTGGGCCGCCATAACAGCCGATGGTCGCTCTCCGCTCGTATTAAGCGACCGTGACATCAGAATCGCGATCCGTGTCGAATATTATCGCGAAAATATTCTGGAGGGCGTATTTAAGCCTTGGGCACGGAAACATTTTGGCCACAGATTTTGGACATTTCAACAGGATTCAGCACCATCGCACTCAGCACGCGCCACCCAAGAATGGTTAAAAAACGAATTTCCTCGCTTCATTTCCAGCGCACATTGGCCACCAAAATCTCAGGATACCAATCCGGACTATTGTGTCTGGAGTATTTTGGAAAGCAAGGTTTGCACTAAAAATACCAAAGGTTCGATCACCTCAAGCAGCGCTTCGTGGGGAATGGGCTAAAATACCGCAGAGCAACATTCGGGCAGTGTGTGACGGTTTCATTGGCCGTTTGAAGGCCATAATTCTTGCCATTGGTGACCAATTCTAAGAAATCTAAACTTATTCTAAAATTTAATGCTATTTCCAAAATTTTTTACTTTCATTCAATAAAATTTTTTTTAAAAAAAAAACATTTAAAAATCTGGCTTTTGACTTTGTTGCAGTTTTTTATCTCACAAAAATATATATTGGTTGATATTCAAATATAAAACAAGCATTCAACAGTTTTAAGAAAAGAATTCGATTTTAAGCAGTTACTTGGTGTAAACATACAAAAACAATACGGAAAAATAGTTGGGGCCATAACGAGTTGTAGGCTTAAAAATTAATAAATGATTTGACCAAGCCAGTAAATAAATATATATTAGATAATGGAAGATGTTTTCGCATTGTTATTATCAAAAAATGAACATTAGATGTTGGATTTATTATCACCCCAAAAAAATTATGGTTTAGCATATAAATTGTCTGAGCAGATCAATTGTGGATTACATTAAAAAACATAACAATACAGAAAAGGCATTAACAAAAACAAAAGTGCAATTCAATAAGTAAAAGTAAAACAATGCAAAATAACAAAAAACGAAAATTAAAATTGAGTCAAAACATAAAATTCCTAAGGATAACAATGAAGAGGGTGGTAAAATAAACAAAAAACGATTTTGTTTCATTTTTTCTTTAATAATTTGCTACTTACATCAATTGTTGCAGATGACTTTGGTGCTGCGTCAGCCACGATTTCTTTCAGAAAATAGTTTCTGTAAACAATTGACCGATCAGTGGCAAAGTGAGATTCTTTGTTTGTTATTTTGTGAATTTTTGTAGCTTATTGTTTGGAAATTAGAATTGATTGCTTGTATTGAGATTTTCTTCTTTATGAATTATCTTTGGCATTCAATTTAGTATTAACAAATTTTTCTTTTGGTATTTTCTTCGTTCACAACACTGTTTCTTTTAGAGTTTTGCAATGCGGCGCAATAAATGCCTGCAAAATATACAAGAAAATGTAAAAAGAGGAGAAAAGGGAAAAACGTATAGTTGAAAACTTTTTTTGGATATTAAAAGTATGTTGTGTGTACATCTGACAACGTGTGAAGAACGAAATTATGAACGAAATAATTGAGAATTTTTTAAAATTATTTTTTTTTTTGGTTATTTTTAAAATATACACATTTGAAATCAACGAAATTGAATGTTTCAAATGAGCCTGAATTCAGACTGCCTACCAGTCAATCTAACCTTATACAATAAAAATACAACAATTTTAATATTTTAAACTGAAACTAAAAAAATATAACATTTAAATTGATCTGCTTAGAAAATTTATTTAAAAAATTTAAAAACTCATTTCCATTTGTAACATTCGAATTTATGAACCATCTTGTAAAAATATTGGTTTTGATACCCTCCACCATACTATGGAGGGTATATTAAGTTTGTCATTCCGATTGTAACACCTCGAAATATACATTTTAGACCCTGCAAAGTATATATATTCTTGATCAGTATAAAATTCTATGTCGATTTAGCGATGTTTGTCCGTCTGCAAAATCACTCTAACTTCCGAACGAAATGAAGTAGGTTGATAAAAATTTACTCAAATATGTATTATGTCTGCAGGACTTTTGGTATTGAAAATGGGCGATGTAGGTCCACGTTTTGGTATAGCCTCCATATAATGGTACCTCCCTTTTTTCGGTATTTTGGTGATTTTAGCGACATTATTTACCGGAATTGTTTCAAATTTCGATTTGAAATTCGTAATGGGTTCTACAGCCTATGACAGAAAATTGTCTGTGCAGGTATAGCCCCCATATTATGCTATCTCTCTTGTTCGGTATTTTGGTGATTTTAGCGACATTATTTACCGGAATTGTTTCAAATTTGGTATTTGAAGTTCGTAATGGGTACTACGGCCCATGACAGAAAATTGTCTGTGCAGGTCCACGTCTTCGTATAGCCCCCATATAACGGTACCTCCACATATTCGTTATTGATGATTTTAGCGATATTATTCACCGTATTTTTTATTCAAGTTTCGAATTTGAATGTTGTAATGGCTAATGACGAAAGTTGCCTACGCAGGTCCACGACGTCGTATAGTACCTAATATAACGACTACATTCGGTATTTTTAAGATTTTAATTGAATTTTTAACGGATTTTATTTTTTTGAAAATTGATGGTGGAGGGTATTCAAAGATCGGTTCGGCCTAACTTACAGCTATTTTACTTGCAAGGGAACAAATTGGATGTGCTGATTTCGATACTGATTTCGTAACGTCTTCTGACATCAAGGCTATGAATAGTATAGCGTTGCAGGCTTTGAAGAAGTCCGAGCCTGCAAATCGAGAAAGGTCGTGAAATCTCAAACGAATGACAGACCGAAGACAAAGTTATCACTGCTACTATGCTCCAGTATAAGGCAGGAGGATGTGTTGAAATTGTGATTATCGAAAAATATGGCAAAAATATACTATGCTCCAGTATAAGGCAGGAGGATGTGTTGAAATTGTGATTATCGAAAAATATGGCAAAGGAACAGACTCTTTACCCAAAAAAACTAAGCCTCTGATTTTCAAGTGCGAAAAGAATTTGGAGTAAATCTGAGAAAGTGGTGCGGTGTCAACTTATAAACCCCACACGCAACAGTGTTTGCTCACAATATAGGAGTGAGGAATGAAAATGACCACGACAGCAGTTTTTCGGAATTTTTTAATTACTCATCTTAAAACTACGAGCCTCCTCAAAAGATAAAGTGTACACAGCCCCACTTATTCTCTATAAATTTTCATTTGGCATTAATTTTCCCACTCTAATAATGTTTTTAGGAAGAAACTTTTTATTCATTTTGCTTCTTTTGAGCTGTAGTTTCTAAATAGCCATGCTTCTGATTTTCTGACTTTTGGTGAAATGATCTTCATATTGATTGCATTGTATTACAATTATTTGAGTTATTGTTTGCTTGGACGCTATATTTTTTCTTGTCTTATTATATTATTATGGCTGGGGAGCCAATGAAGAGAAATTATTTTATAGTTTTAATTTTTTTTTGTATTTAATTATAAGTATTAAATACTCAGGTTTTGCTAGCTATGTAATATGATTTTATGGTCTTAGAGGCCCTGTATTACACAAATGAGTTTGAATAAATAAAAAAAATAAATAAATAAATTAAACAGAGTCTCTTGCCACTGTTTTGGTATATATTTATATAAGCCTTCAAATGATTTATACATTTCGGTTTTGTAAAACTGGATTTTATTTCCAAACTTTCGATTCGAATAACCGTGTATTTCCCCACGTAAAAATTACTTTGCCGTAACCAGGTTAAAAATGTCTACGTGTGATAACACTTTCAGGCCAATCCCTAAACTAAACTTAAGCCCACATAACTTTTAATGTGCCGTTCGCCATCCTATTGGATTGCAGAAGAGCCAAAGGCACAGCCAAAAAGCAACAACATTTGGGGTGCTTTAAATTTAGGGAATTTATTTTTGTTACAAAATGCCGGTCGGAAACAAATAGTTTATTTCGAAGTTGATGCCAGCTTGCGTTGCTCTAAAATAGTATACCTGTGCTATATGGAAGTTAAAGAAGGCCTAATAACTTTGCAGACCTATACTTTGGGCACCAAACAATGACAAATCAATTGGAAAGTGGGCCCTATATGATTATAGTGTGAAAGCGTTTGTTTTTCGAACAATTATATTACTTTAGTTCCATTTTTACTCCCAGCATGTTATATACTTACCCATTTCATATTTTATTTATTTTGGCTGCGATTTTAAGCGCGTTTTGTTGTTACACTAAATTGTTGTTGGGACGACACAAATTGAGTGAGGCTTCTGGCCGCCTTTCAGCCGTGGCAATGACAATACAAATAATTAACTATTTTATTGTATTTCAATTGTTCTCCTGAAATTAGGTATAAAAAAGAATTGTTTTCAATTTAATTTTGTAAAATCAATTTCAGGGCTATTCCGAACCTCGAAATTTCTCCAGTCTTGTGTGCGCTCCCTCCGATTGATTTTTTCCATTGACCAAATGCAAAACAAGAATATTGCTAATCTTCTTCCAATTACTGAGTATTACAAACTATTTTTTACAAAATTTATCAAAAAGATTTACACAAATAGCAAGAATTATATTTTCTTTTTTATTAATAAATACTTTTGATGCGTTAGGGATAGGTAAGTCGACATCCGATTAAACGAATAATCGACTACGAGTACTCAAAGTTCTGAAACTCGAACCCGACTATGAACTTGGGTGAAAACCGAGTACTCGACTATTCATAGTAGATTTCCAATTCCTGCTCAACTTATATGTCCTGGGCCTCAATTCTTGTTCTATGAAAATGTGAAATGAAAATTTTTATAAAGGAAAGAAATGTCAAATGAAAAAATTTATAAAGGAAATATTTTTCATTTCATATTTTCATAGAACAAGAATCCAGCCCCTGGGGCCGGATTCTTGTTCTATGAAAATATGAAATGAAAAATATTTCCTTTATAAAATTTTTATTAGACATTTTTTTTATAAAAGTTTTAATTTCACATTTTCATAAAACAAGAATTGAGGCCCAGTTTAAATTATGACTTGTGGTCTGTTCCAGAACTGCAAGAATGTAAAAGTTTTTACTGTTATAAACGATTTTCCCTTTATGATATCGAAAAAATTGCAAAGCTAGCAGATTCTTGCAGCTTCTGGAACAGGCCTCTAATGTGAGCCGAGTTGGTAGTTAAGGGCTAAGTACATAAGAAGCTTGAAGTCATGGCTAGGCATATTTTGTGACATTTCACAAAGGGATTACAGAGCCGCACTAAAATCCAGCCGTCGTTTTTCATTATAATTTGACATTAATATGCCTAGACATGACTTCAAGCTTCTTATGTACCTAGCCATTTATTGTTGTTGAGTTGTGCTTCTAAAGCGCGCACTTCTATCCTGTTGTTTTGTTGCATAACAGAGCGAATGCGCGCGTGGGAAACCAACGATTTAGACTATACCCAAATTTTAGATGATTTACCATACAAAATCAAATTAAATCTAAATCGAAATATTCTCGCATACAACACTGCATGTCAACTTTGTTCGGGTACCGTTAATTTCAATTTAAAAAATCTGTAACAGAAATATACAAAAACAAATGAAGGCGTAAACTGTGACTTACACGTGAAAATACAACGTTTGCATAGTCAGATTTATTGCGATTGACAAATTATTAAGGTTGACACGGGTAGAGATTTTGTATGTAAACCTAATTTAACTCCAGAATAATATTTATTTAAAAAAAGAAAAAAATTAAATCAACCTCGTTATCGAAAGTACTATGTGTCATCAGTTGTATAATGAAGTACTTTCGATTACCGTAAACATACGGTTATCAGACATCCGTCAGTCTTAACAGGCGTATGTGCGCGAGAGAGAGAGAGAGAGAAACTGTTATTGCTCCGGTCAGAGATTTGACAAGCACTGCGGCACAGTTGTTTTGTTATTGTCGGAGAATTCGCAACATTTGCTCTGGCTACGTTACCAGTTTTCATACGACAACAATTATTAATATACATGAATCCAAGAAAAAGCAAATAAACAAATAAAGTGCAAATAATTTTATTGCCACTAAATGGATCAAAGCATATTTAAAGTGTTATTGTGTTAATAAACCCTGTATTGGGAATAAAAAGTATCCGTATGGTGTTGTTTTCTTTTCTCATTTGTCCACAGCAACAACTATCGATTGCATACAAAAAGTATAAAAAACGGAAAAGTGAGAGTGAGTATTATATTGGCGTGTTATGCATGAAAGTGGTTGTTTGTCACACATACATATGTACTCACATGCCACAAATTAAATAGTTTCCTGTAAAGGAATTTGGGAATTCATATGATGTTGTTATGACCAGTGTTGCCAGGTCCATCAATAAAAAATATATGTGTGGCATAAAATTGACAAATGTACCACATGTGGCAATGCAAAGAAATCAAATGACAAGCTTTTTGTTGTAGTTGTATTACTTTGCCTTATTGGCCGTTAATTTTGTTGTTGTTTTTAATTTAAAATTTCTAGATTGTTTACGTTTTCTCTCTTGTGTTTATAATCTTGCTTATGGCCAAAAGCTACTAAAAACAAGTTTGTTGGAATTTATTAAATGCGTTGAATGAAGAGAAAATGTTTATAAATGGGTCTTTGACCTATCAATAATGATTAGCATTACAAAGTGATATCTAGCATTGATATATATTTTTAATAATTCTTACATTTTATCATGGTAAAATTAAGAAGGTAAATCATACCTATCTCTGCATTTTCAGTAATTTACCTTGTCAAATTTCATTGCATAAAAAATGGGTTTCCATCTCTGATTTGTCTATTAATATTGTATTTATAAATATATATTTTAATAATCAGATGTTGTCAAATGAATAATTTTGAAAAAAAGAAAATTGTAAACATATGTTTGCATGACTTTACCTTCTTGTTTCTACTATGCATTTTATCCTTGATTGAATATATAATGTTGGAATAAAAAATCACCTTCTGTTATGCACACATACTTATATTAATACATTTAAGCACAACAATCTGGTAGCAAATATTAACGGGGTATAAATTTGCCGCACACAAAACGACCACAATTCGAACGTGTTCTAAGATAACCCATTTTAGATTGTTCCTTTATTTCATCACAAGAACAAGATATTTGTAACAGCATGAATATTGTGAAAACAACTTTCAATAGAACAAGCCTATGCCAACGCATTGTTGGTAGACTAACAAAATATTTTAATCTAAAATTTTGTAACAAAACAAACTCCAACAATACCCACAGCAATAGCAGATGTAGACTGAAGACAATATTCCGTTGACAGCAGGGATTTATTTAAGTAACGCAGAAGAGGAACAAACAGTTGGAGGTTTTTGGGGGAATTACCTTTGGCACTGTTGGCTGTGATGAAATCGGTCAAAAGAAAATGAAATCAATTCATTTTTTAATGATAGCAATGTCATCAGATTAGATAAAAGACAATCCATAGCATACGGAATGCGTAAAGGGTGGTTAATTCGGTTTTCTCCATAAAATCAATATTAAATAGATAACTAATTGATAACGCCATATCATAGCAGAAAATATTTTTTCCAACCAAGTTTTTTGTGATTCACTGTATTAGAAGAAAATGTTTAGGAGATTTCCCCATATAAACATGAATATGTTCTAATATGTGAGCAATTGCATCATTGCTGCAACAATGTAGCAAACACTGATACTTGTGAAATATTCTCCAAACATATACCAGAAACACTTTTATTAAAATGTTATAGTATATGACAATATTAAAATAGTATAATATGATGACGTTAGAGCTGCCTTGGATTCTTAAGGTGAGAATACATAAAACTCTTCATCGGCTGGCTTCTTCGGAAAAAAGGCCAAAATCAAACTGAGTCAACCTACAAATTCCTTGATCTTTTCCGAAAAAACAGTCGATGACTTAAGGTGGAAATACATAAAACGCTTAACTGGCTGGCTTAAGTCATCGGCTGGCTTCTTTGGAAATGAACAAAGGAGCCTAGGCCCAAAATCGAACTAAATCAACCTAAAACTCCTTTGTTCATCTACGAAGAAGCCAGCCGATGACTTAAGCCAGCCAAATATGCGCTTTATGTATTTCCAGCCTAAGCCAGACAACCTATCCCAATTTTATTTTATATTTTATGAGAGTGATGGTTATTAGAAAATTTTGAACGTTGATGAGAGCTACCGGAATTAGATGCCTGCCAGTTATTTTACACAGTTTTACGATTGAAGGTATGTTCATGGTAGAATCAAGGAGGTAATGTTATGAATCCATGACATGTTTACAATTGTTATCAAAAATTATTCATTTGACAACATCTCGTTGTCAAAATTTGTCCATTGTACATACACAAATCAGAGATGGGAATCTGTTTTTACGTAGTGAAAATTACAGAAAATGCAGAAATAGGAGTGCTTTTTTGAAATGACTTCAGCATCTTAATTCGACCATGGATACAGGTAGTCGCGTCGACACAGCTGCTGGGACAATGAACTGTCAAACCGATTCTGATATTGAAAATCATGAATGAAAAATTATTGAAATTTGTAAAAACTGTTGAAAAATACATATCATTACAACCTCCGATTTGCGTCGTATAAGAAAACAGATAAAAATCGACTTATTTTTGCACTAATCCACTTAAAAAATGTTGACATATCAATGTTCCCAAGCGTTGATGCATCTACTTATATTCTTCTACCATGCTACCATGGATATGTTATAGTACGTTTACAGCATATCGGATTTAGTAAACGCCGTAGAATTGCCAATACCGCAGCATATGCGTCAAATAAAACCTTATTATAAGGTTAATGTTCATGAAGCTCTAAAGTAAACATGCTATTAGTTCTATAAAAAAATAATTAGAAATCCACGACTGGCTCTTTCGGAGAGAAACCAAGGAGTTATAGGTTGACTTAGTTCGATTTTGGCACTACGTTCCTTTGAAATCCTTTAATGTATTCTCACCTTCTCATTCGCCAAAATCGAACTAAGTCATCATAAAATTTCTTTATCCCTCTATGAAGAAATGAAAAAATACTAATACTGGACATTTTCTAGCAACTCCTTTTGTTTTTTTTTTTTTTGCAAAAATATAAATAACAAGGTCAAAAAAGCAATGATGAAAGACGAGAATTCCTGGATACAAACTGTCTCGTATAAACGCAAGAGGCAAGTTCAAAAGAGAATGATAAATAATGGAGCAAGTGTCTAGTTTAATTTTAAATGAAGAGTTATTAAAATTCGTTAAAATTGTTGAAAAATTCGTATTATAACAACTTCAGATTAGTGTCGTATAGAAAACACATAAAATTATAGATATTTTTGAAAAAAAAAAAAAAAAAAAAAACGTTTTTAATTTTTTGACATATCAATGTTCCCAAGGCATGATGCATGACCCTTAACTATGAAAAAACTACTTAATTCTTCACACAAAATTTCCTGAGCGAACACTCATATTTGTACATTGTTCAAATCAAATCACTCTCAGAACAACGAAAAAATATGTCCCATCCCTAACAAATGAGAGCATTTATCGAAAAAATTAATTATGACATTTAAAAATTGAAAATAGAAAAATTTAATGAAATTTTGAAAAATTTTGGGAAGACTGAAATTTATGAATGAAAACTACAATGTAGAATAGCGTATGTACATTCAAACGAAAGTAAATTTTGTTTTCTCTCTCATCCGAGGTACGCATTTTGTTCACGAGTTGAATCACCACAGAAAACAGGAAACAAAAGAGGAAATATTTTCAAAATGTTTGTATCGGCAGAAAAAGTGTCTCTCCAGCAGAATTTAAAAATAGAAAAATACAAAAATATGTTCAAAATGTCAACATTTACACAAAAAGATGGAGACGTGAATGAAAATTATAAAATTAATGTTATAATAAATCTTTGGGAGAAAAATAATAATTTCTTCTATCCATATTAGTGAGAATTTAATGTATTTTAGTATAAATTCCCATTAAAATCAACAAACAAAATTTTGAAAAAAAGGAATTATTTTACTATGAATTACGAATCGTGCCGTAAGAACGGGTTAATTCGTGTACCTTATTCTGAGAGCGACCAACGTTGTTCGGTTTCCAATGGAAACATGTTATGAAGCGCTTATTTGGCTGGCTTAAGTCATCGGCTGGCTTCTTCGGAAATGAACAAAGGAGCCTAGGGCCAAAATCGAACTATGTCAACCTAAAACTCCTTTGTTCATCTACGAAGAAGCCAGCCGATGACTTAAGCTAGCCAAATGTGCGCTTTATGTATTTCCAGCCTTATTTTATCAAAACATATACACATTTTGTGTATGTATGTGTATTGTTTCGAATAAAAAATACAATAATTTGAAATTACTTCAAATTTGGTTGCAAAATAAATTCACATTTTCGACGAAATGGGTAATAAATTTTGAAATTTTGTGATAAAACTGTATTGTTCTACTATTTAAGAATCAATCTTGTGGAATAACCCCGAAATTCCTTTCTTGTTTCGCGGGTTTTCCCGAATATAAGAATTTTGTAAAAAAAAATAAAAATAAACAAAACCAACTGTTGCATTTTTTAAAATCTTTTTGACACTTTAAGACTCTGTTACAGAGTTGCATTTTTGTTGCATTTGAAGTTGAGCAAACTTTCTTATTGAGCCATGATAACAACCTGAGATTAGCGTCGTATGAAAAATACATATAATAATATACTTATTTTTGAAAAAAAAAAAAAAAAAAAAAAACATTTTATAATTTATGACGTATCAATGTTCCCAAGCGTATTTTTCTACCATGCTCGCAATTGCTAAACCGAATATGGCAACTCTTTTCTAACTAACTCTTTTCATATCTAAAATATTTACGTACGACGAGTGGCATATTTTACAAAAATATAAATAATGTATTATTTTCAGCATTCCTTGGCACGTAAAAACAGTTGCAGTTGCAGTATCTTAGGAAGACTACTTTTATATTTCATTTCTTGGGCTTAAACATATAAAGCTATAGTATTTTTACTCTTCATCTTAAGAAAGCGATCTCGGTGCTGTTAGGTGTTCTGTAATCCTCGAATGATATTTTATTTTAAATCAGTCTTTAAAGATAAAAATAACTAAATAAATAACCCAAAGTAACTAGCGAAAAATATTGCCAAAATGTTGCAGCTTAGCATCATGGCTATGCATATAATGTCAAATTATAAACAAACACGACGGCAGAATTTGAGTGCGGCTCTTTCATTCCTTTATGATATGTCACAAACTATGTCATGCGAAGACTTCAAGCTGTATATGTATACTCACCTTCATAAATCTTTTGTAGATCTTTATGCATAAAATCCAAAAATAGGTCAATTCCAGATATAATAACTAAGGAATATTAATTGCTGTTGCATAGCGAAATAAGAAGGGAAAATACCTTATCATTCAGTAGCCTTCAAGCGATTGATTTTAATCGCAACAATTAAATAATAAACAATAATGATATGAGGTTATTTGTAATTGATTTGAATAACTATTTGGCGATAAGATAGATGAAGTTGAAGACGGTACCACTTCCCTTTGTTTTGGAAATGGTTAATATGAATTCTAAAATAGATTGTTTTCTAAAGTCGTCCAGCAAACATGTCACAGTCGACTCAATTTGCTATGGGTGTATTGTGTGGCATAATGAAACAATTTTTTTTGGACTTCAATTATTCTTAGCGGTTATAAACATGAATCAGCATGTTTGCATTTTCTAAAAAAATAACATTGTTATCTTAGGAAATTTCTGCACGTTTTTATGAAGTGTCAAATTCTGATTAAAAAAATAAAGTATTAAATGTAGGCTAGGGTGTCAGAGGCGCCTATCAAAAATATCAGACAATCGTAACACAAGTGGGATATCTAACGATTGGGAAAATAAAATGCACACAGCAGAGACTAGCGAACATACTGATCCCAGTGTAAAAAATTTCTAATGTAAACCACGACCGGATTTATCTTAAATTCGTTGCAGAGTGAATCCTCCTATCTAAACACGGTTAACCCACTAGATCTATTAAATCATCAATAGTATTAACGCACTATCAGATGTTTACCAAGGTCATTGTCAAATTTATGTTGCTTAGTTCTTCCTTAGATATGGGCGTACAGCTGGCAAGAAATTTTTCATTTATTTCCGACAAAATATGTTGTTATTTTAGAGCCTTTTAGAGGGTATAAAAGTCAAGGATGAATATAATCTAAAACAGAAAACAAAAATATTAGTCTGCTAAGTCATGTCATCCCTTATGACAAGAAAGTAGAGAATCCATATAGAAGGTATTGTGAAGACTTTGGCAACATTTTTCAGCTGGTAATTCTGGGGTTTCGGTTCTTAAAGGCGGACCTAAAGTAAAACGTCACAAGTACTAACATCACCGAAAACGTTTTCTTAAGATGAAGGATTTCAAATCTTACCTTTATATAATTAAGTCCAAAAACAGATAAATAAACTTAGTATTCCTAAGATATGGGACGTACAGGGTGAGATAAAAAACTGCAACAAAGTCAAACGCCATAATTTTTATATTTTTTCTTAAATTTTATTGAGAGAAAAAAATGTCGGAAATAGCATTAAATTTTAGAATAAGTTAAGATTTGTTCGAATTGGTCACCTTTGGCACGAATTATGGCTTTCAAATGGCCAATGAAACCGTCACACGATGGCCGAATGTTGTTCTGGGGTATTTTGGCACATTCCCTGCGAAGCGCTTGCTTGAGGTGGTCGACACTTTCGTGTTTTTTAAGCCAACCTTGCTTTCCAAAATACTCCAGACATAATAGTCCAACGGATTGGTATCCGGAGATTTTGGTGGCCATTGTGCGCTGGAAATGAAGCGAGGAACCTCATTTTGTAACCATTCTTGGGTGGCGCGTGCTGCTTGCGATGGTGCTGAGTCCTGCTGGAATTCCCAAGGTCTGCGGCCAAAATGTTTGCGTGCCCAAGGCTTTAATACACCCTCCAGAATATTTTCGCGATAATCTTCGGCATTTATTATCATGCCACGGTCGATTAATACGAGCGGAGAGCGACCATCAGCTGTTATGGCGGTCCACACCATCACCATGGCCGGCGCTTGAGTTCTGTTGGCCAACCTAAGGTCAGCTGACCTCTTAGGCAAGTAAACACGATCATTTTGTTTGTTTACAAACTGCTGGACAACAAATGTTTTTTCATCGGAGAAAACCAAATTCGGCAGTTCACACTATCAGCTAAGCGAAGCTACTCTTTAGCTCTTTTGAGTCTTTTTTCTTTATGTTGCGGTGTAAGTACTTGCACTTTTTGGAATTTCAATGGCTTTAGCCCGAGCTCATTTCAATATTTGCCGAATGGAATATTGCGATATTTTCAGCTCACGAGCAATTTTTCGGCCACCGCGACGCGGGTTTCGATCAAGTCGCTTCTTTACTTTTCTAACCATTTCTACTGATGTTGCGGTTTTCTTTCGTCCACTTCCTTGATCGCGTCGGGCTACGCTACCAGTATCACGGTAACGAGCGATGGTACGAGACATAAAATATTTATTCACATTTAAATACTGGAGTTCTCTAACGATAGCCACTTGTGGTTTCCCAGCCAAATATAAATAAATCACACTATCACGCTTGAATTCTATCACAAATAACTTTTTTTTTTGGAAAATTCTCTCCAAAATACGTTTGTACGCTTGTAAACAAAATGGCTTAGAAATGACAGCAATCTGAAGTTGGTTGCAGTTTTTTCATCTAACCCTGTATAGTTGGTTTTACGTGATGCCGAAAATAAAAGATTATTTTCTATTTTTGTAAAAACTGCCAATTGTCATACGAAAAAAATTTAGATATGAAAATAGATTTTATTGGAAAAATGACAAGGTCGAGTTCGTCGGAAAAAGGTTGCCACATTCAAATGAGTGAGAGCAAATGAGTACCCCTATTGTTTTGCCATGATGTTTCCCTTAAAATCTCAAGAGGTAGTCTCATAACAAAAACTCGTAGGATGCCTCGTTCCCTTTTTGTTGGAAGTCCTATCCACACCCATACATAAGGGGACCTTGTTGGGTTAAGTCATTTACATCCCGAGCTGTGTTGTTTAGAATGTAACACTTTACCTGGGCTCCAAACCGAAAATACACATTCTAGAACGTGTTTCTCTTTCAAAGCCATTCATTATTTTATTGAAATGCAGCATTTAATATTTAATATTCATACTTTGTAAATTCTTATTCTAAGCAATTCAGCTGGTTCAGATACATTTCCCCACAGTAGCTCATTTAGCTGGCTGTTATTTTGTTTTTCATTTGGTCTTTGATAAGAACATATTTTTTATGGGCATGAATGTACACAAATAATCAAGAATTTCAGAAGGTTGGTGGTATCCAAAATGAAAAGTTACGCTCTCGGTGAGAAATCAACCTCTAAACTCTAAATTGAGTCAGTCAGACGTAAGACTGACGTAGTCAGCCGCAAACTGATCGATAAAATAAAAAACGGCGGAATGTTTAGTCGGATGCCGGTATCGATTCGTAACACACGTGAATGCGGTTCGTTCTGTCTTCTGAACTTCGAACATGACAATTTAAAGTGTCTAGCGTTGTCGATTGATAGTAGTAATTTATTGGCTGTTGTGGTGGAAGAAACATCAACAGAGCCCTCCTCAACTGGCTATAGCCATCAATTAAAACGTGTCATTGGTGTAAACACAGAAAAACAAGAAACAAAACCTCCATTTCTTCTCCAAAGTTTTGAAAGTGGGTAACAAATAAGAACGAATAAACAAATCGAAAACAACAATAATAAAAAACACTTGTGTGTATTAGAACAAATGGCAAAAAATTTAGAGAGAAATTTTTCGTAATAATTTAATCGAGAAGTGTTGATGTCTGATAAACAAAATTCGATGCTTGGTGGAGGAGTGTGATCAAGATTTAGAAGAATTTACTTGAGAAGAGAAAACATTAAATAAATTAAAGGAAATCAATAGAAAGAATTTACGACTCTAGATTTTTAGGGTAAGTAGAGATCCCCATAACAATTTTTCAGAGGAAAATGGTGTCCCTATAAAAATCCACGTTTTGGGGACGACAAGTTCTCCTTCTGAAATATTTTTTAAAACCCATCATCCATTATTTTTAAATCCTGCGTTTTTAGTTTCTTTAAAAATATTTTGTTAGTTCTTCCAAAAATATTCTTAAAAAATGCACGTTATTCTGGGTATATAGTGTCTTCGGCAGAATTTTTATGAAAATATTCAAATCCCCAAAAAAGTATTTTTTAAAAAATCTACGTTTTTGGAAAGGTTCGAAAAATTATTTTTATAAAACCTATGTTTTTGGAAATGTTCAAAAGAAATTTTTAAAAAAATCTGCGTTTTTGAAAATTTTCAAAAATAATTTTTATTTTATAGACATTTTCATAAAATTTATTTTTTTTTGAAATCCTCGTTCATAGAAGTGTTCAAAATTTTTTTTAAAATCCTCGTTTAGGGAAATCTTCAAAAAATATTTTTTAAGAAATCCTCGCTAAGGGAAATCTTCAAAAAATATTTTTTAAAAAATCTACGTCGTGCAAATTTTGAAAAACTATTTTTTAAAAAATCTACCTTTATGGAAATCTTGAAAAACTATTTTTTAAAAAATCTACGTTTATGGAAATCTTCAAAAAATATATTTTTAAAAATCCTCGTTTATGGAAAGCTTAAAAAAATATTTTTTTATATCCTCGTTTATAGAGTGTTAAAAATATATTTTTTTAAAAAATCCACGTTTATGAAAATCTTCAAAAAATATTTTATTAAAAACTCCACGTTTGTGGAAATCATTAAAAAATATTTTTTAAAAAACTGTTATGGAAATTTTCGAAAAAAAATTTAATAAACACATTAGAAAAATTTTCAAAAATTGAATCTTCAAAAACAAATTTTTAAAAAAATCCACGTTTATGGAAATCTTCAAAAACCTTTAAAAGACGCGTTTATGAAAATCTATTTTTTTATAAAATCCACGTTTATGGAAATCTTCAGAAAATATATATATTTTTTGAAAATCCACGTTTATAGATTAAAAAAAATTAAAAATCCTCGTTCATGAATATTTTCAACAAAATTAAAAAAAAAAACACAATGAGTGTACCGCAATGTAAGAACTCGATGGTGCTTTACTTTGGGATGTAGGTTCCGCACCCTATTTAAAAAATACAATTGTGAGAAGGTCATTTTAGTATTGTAGCACGTTTAGACTACTAAATCCATTCGATTTCAAATGTTATCTCCATAGCGTATGCGTCACGTAAATCGTATTTATAAAACCAGTGTTTTTTAACGTATACGCTATGAAATTGTAATTTGAGTACTTTAAGTCTATTTGAATGAATGGGTTAATCTGGACAACATTTTGGTATTTAAACGAACTATTAAAAGTACACAAGCTAATCAGCTGATTTAACGTATGTGACTTCACACTTGATGATATTAATATTAAGGAAGTTCACACTTCAAGATTACGCACACGCAAAGACTGCACGTTCTCAGTTCGTGGCAATGCAAGGCAAAATGCCCATAGAACACTTGGTGATAGAAATATTACATTAAGTCATAGTTCATAGCAGGATAGTTCTGTCATGTGGTTGTTAAGGTGAGAATACATAAAACGCTTTTTTGACTGCCTTAAGTCATCAGTTGGGTACATCGTAGAGGAACAAAGGAGTTGAAGGTAGAAGTTAGATATATATCTTACAGATCTTTGCTGACGCGGCTGAACGAGGCAGTTTAATCCGCTATTATTTAGATGCACCCATGGTAGAAGAATACAGGCAGATTTGTATACGGGATGAGATGAAAAAACTGGAACCAACTTCAGGCTGATGAAATTTCTAAGCCACTCGTCTGACAGCTGTTAAAATTATTCCAGTGACAGCTCATTATATATCTTACAAGCGTACAAAAGCATTTGGGTGAGCATTTTCAAGAAAAAAAGTTATTCGTAATGGAATTCAAGCGTGATTTCTTTATATTTGGTTGGAAAACCACAAGCTGCTATCGTTAGAGCACTCCAGCATTTGTGGCCGAAAAATGGCTCGTGAGCTGAACATATCGCTATATTCCATTCAGCAAATATTGAAAAATGAGCTCGGGTTTAAGCCATTGAAATTTCAAGAAGTGTAAGAACTTACACCGCAACGGAAAGAAAATAGACTCAAAAGAGCTAAAGAGTTGCTTCGCTTGGCCGAAAGTGGTGAACTGCCGAATTTGGTTTTCTCCGATGAGAAAACATTCGTTGTTCAGCAGTTGGTAAACAAACAAAATGATCGTGTTTACTTGCCAAAGAGTTCAGATGAAAATGGGCACCTTAGGTTGGCCAACAGAACTTAAGCGCCGGCCATGGTGATGGTGTGGGCCGCCATAACAGCCGATGGTTGTTCTCCGTTCGTATTAATCGACAGTGGCTTCAGAGTAAATGCCGAATATTATCGCGAAAATATTCTGGAGGGTGTATTAAAGCCTTGGGTACGCAAACATTTTGGCCGCAGACCTTTTAAAGTTAGAATTTTAATTTTGTTAATAAATTTCCCTTATCTCCCATATAAAGTGATAATTGTATCAGCTTAAAGTAAATATAAAATTAAAATTGCAATTCATTGATTGCTTGAAAATAACGATAGGGAAATAGTAATTTAAAATAATGACCTACAATAGTGCGGCAATTTTAAGTTATTTTCAATTGATTTCGCTATTATTTTGTAATATATCGTTGACTGGGGTGTAATGTAAACCACAGCAATATAAAGCTGTTTTAAGTCTGGGCAAATATATATTTTTTTATTAACGAAATGATGCATTTGCTGCCTCTGCTTTTTAGAACACTGCAACAATGCAGCACCATAAATACCCATAATTCTACCAACTATTGTTCGCTATTCAATAATAATAAAAAAATTCTAACTATGCGCTGGCATTAATTGAATAAAATTGTTTATTTTGTTTTTTTCCTATTGTTGTCTATTTTCAGCTACACAATGAAATCCAGAGAATTGGCATATCGTTTATTGCCCGGCCTCAAATGGCTGAAGGGCTATACGGGACAAGATGCATTGTCTGATTTGATTGCTGGCATAACAGTGGGATTGACAGTGTTGCCACAGGGTTTGGCCTATGCCACGTTGGCTGGCTTGGAACCCCAAGTAAGTCTTTATGGTTAATTTGAATTGAATAAAATTTCTCATTTAATTTCTTTTAGTATGGTTTATATTCCGCCTTTGTGGGTGGCATAATTTATGCCTTCATTGGCAGTTGCCGCCAAGTGACAATTGGTCCGACCGCCCTATTGGCATTGATGACAAGTCGCCATACTGGATTTGGTTTGAATTCAGGTCCAGCTTATGCCATTTTACTATGTTTGATATCAGGTATTGTTGAAATGCTGATGGCCGTTTTGAGATTGGGTAAGTGTAGTTAAAAAGTTATATTTAACTTTTTGGTTTAGTGATTGAAAGATAAGGACGAATGGAGCACAAATATAGACTTAAGGTGAGAATACATTAAACGCTTTTTTGACTGGCGTAAGTCATCGGCTGGCTTCTTCAGGAAAGAACAAAGGAGCGTAGGGCCAAAATAGAACTAGGTTAACCTAAAACTCCTTTCTTTAAAGACATTGAAGTATAAAGATGGGACAACACAGAGGCAAAATATGGCAACCCTGTGAAAATACCTCTGTTGTCATGATATCATAAAAACATAGTTACCAATGTTAACTGATTTAAACCGCTAAGGCTATATACAATTAATTGAGAAGGTCTATGGAATAGTATTTTTTATGTACCCTCACCTTTAAGGTTGTAATACATAAAACGCTTATTTCACTGGCTTAAGTCATCGGCTGACTTCTTCGGAAAATAACAAAGGAGCGTAGGTCCAAAATCGAACTAGATCGACCTTAAACTAATTTCTTCCCCTACGAAGAAGCCAGCCGATGACTTAAGCCAGTCAAAACAGCGAGCGTTTTATATATTCTCACCTCTATTCTTATTTTCCACAGTCCCTACTACAAGTCTGATTGTGTTTAAATCAGGCTTCCCAAATTCTCGTTCGATTTTGTTCAAAGAGTGAAATTCGCTCGAATTCGAGCTAGTGCACTTGTGGGAGCAGAAAAAAACGAGTACAATCAATTTTTCGATGTCGCTCGAATATGAGTAAGCATATTTTCCTCGTTTCCCTAAATCGAGCTGATTCAAATCTTTCCGAGCATTCCTTTAGTTTTTATTATACCGTTGTTTATTTTTCTGCACAAGGTCAAAAAGACTGTGACCTTTTATACCCTACACTATATGGAGGTAAGGGTATTATGTTTTTGTCTTTGTAACATGGGGAAGCGAGATAGACCCATAGTTACTTCTGAGCATCTCCATAGAATCACTTTCTGAGTCGATTTATGCATGTCGGTCTGTCTGTCCATGTATTCTTGTGAACAAAATGCAGCTCGCATTTACTATCCAATTAAGACGCAATTTTCCAAATAATATTTGTTTGGTCCAAGGACGAATCCTATTGAAATTGGTGAGAATAGGTTCAAATTAAGATATAGATCCTATACATATCTTCCACCGATTTCGAGTTAATTGTGCATAAAATGGCCAATTTCAGCTCAAATGACTTGAAGATTGGCACCACCGACCGAATTCAGTCTAGTAGCAAGTACTTGAAATTTGGTGTAAATCGGTTCAGATATTGCTATATATATGTTTCATCCGATTTTGTGTTTAAGTCCCCATGTAATATGTACTCCACAATAATGATATTTGGTACCAGATATCAGATACAACCCAGAAATACCTCTGCCAAATTGTATCAAAATTCGTTCAGATTTGGATATAGCTCCCAAATATATATCTTTATCCGATTTCATGTTTATTGTGAATATGCATCCCATATAATAGTTCCCTCTGAAACCCAATAATATTTGCTCTAAAGCCAATTGTTGATAAGTGGTATGATCTACTTCAAATGAATTCTTTTTTTACAAGAGCTCTACTAAGTATGCATAGTGGTGGTCGTATAGTCGGTCCGTCTGACTTTTGAATTTTCCTTACTGGTTATGTATAAGTTGTCATTTCTATTCACTTCTGCATTTCGCAAGACCTTCTTCAACTGGGTTTTAAAGAGAACACACGAAAGGCTAGAATCCAGTTTGGTATTGACCATCAAGAAGCATTCTCTGGGCATTTTGCAGCTTTTGAATGGCAAAATACCAAAGTGTAATCATGAAGTGTGAACATCCTTAATATTAATATCATCATCTGTGAAGTGACTTAAGGCTGGCTTCTTCGGAAATGAACAAAGGAGCCTAGGGCCAAAATTGGACTAAGTCAACCTAAAACTCCTTTGTTCATCTACGAAGAAGCCAGCAGATGACTTAAGCCGGCCAAATATGCGCCTTATGTATTTCCACCCTTACTGCACATCATCCGATTAAATTGTGTACATTTAAGGCTAATTTTCACTGCTGGGTATTAAAGAGGACACACGAAAAGGTGAAATCTTGTTTGGTATTGACCTGCAGCTTTATAATCAACAAAAATATACAATGTTTCCATCAGCAAACATTCTATGGGCATTTTGCAGCCTTTGCGAGTCAAAAGAGCAAAGTATAATCTTAAAGTGTGAACATCCTTAATATTAATATCATCATCTGTGAAGTGTCTTACTGTACATCACCCAATTAAATGTTGTACTTTTAAAGCTTATTTTCATTGGATTATTTAATCAAAAACTGGATTAAGTACCGATATATTTGCTTACAAGTATGATGGCTTCAAAAAAGTTTCCAAAAACAAAGGTATTCGAAACTTCAAAAAAATTAAAAAGAACATGTTATGAATGTGGAGGAAAAAAATTGAAAAAAATGCAAATCTAGTTGATTCTAAAAAGTTATGGAACAGAGCAAAAATACACATTTGCTCTGTTCCAGTACCTGCAAGAATTACTAGATTTGCAATTTTCTTCGATATCATAAAGGGAAATTGGTTATCGTAGTAAAAACTTTTATATTCTTGCAGTTCTGTAAAATACCTATTTGCGCTAATTTTTACAGTTCTCTTTTGAACTCGTCTCTTGCATTTATAAAAGACATTTTTTCAGAAATTTTTATAATTACGATTAGTGTCTTTGTGAGAGCGAGCGATTATTTATATTCTATCTAACCCTCTCTCCTACAAACAAAGACTTTCCAACTGTAAATTCGGACTAAGATTTTTTTTCCCCTGGAACGAAAATATTGAAACAATACGAAAGCTATTTTGAAAAAAAAACGAACTTGGACGTGACGTATTCTAACCACATTCATTGTATTTGTTTTATTCACCTTATTAGAAATGTATTTATGCGCATTTTTTAAACAATTAAATATCAATTAATTCTCTATATATATTTCTAATTAGATATCTATTTGAATTATTTTATGACAAATTAAAACATATTTATTTGCATTGTAATTGCAACAATATATTTTCATACAATTGTGTAGAAACGTAAATATCATTTGAGATTTGAATCGATTCCAAAGTTCTAAAAGTTTGTTTGATTTAATTAAATGGATTGTAAACATTTTTTTAATTGCTTCAGATATTTTGTTATTTATTTGAAATTTCAAATGATATTATACAAACAAAAAATTTGTGAGAGAGAGAAAAAAAACCAACAAAATAACCTAGTTTAACACATTTCTTGTTAGAAAATAATCTAGGTCTTGAATATGTAAATAAGGGAACTAATTAATAAAAACGTACCAAATAACAGGTATGTTACCAATTGTGACCATTTGTGTCAATACACGTGATTGGGTTTAACCCATTTCCCGTTTGGCTGTCTGGCAGATTAATTTCACAAACTAATAGTATGTTTATATAGGAGTTTTTTGTCGGTTTAACTTCCTATCTCTTTATGATGTTTCATGTAATAAATTTTAAACTTACTGGGTTTATTTAATTTGACTAATTGCGAACGTGACTTGGGATAACATTTGGTGGTACCTCCTTCACATATTTGATAGGTCGTAGTATTACTCACTAAGGTTATATTAATCCTTACTTACAGTGCCAAATCGATTTAACTGTTGTCCATAAATTAGCCACATCGTCACCTTTATTCGTCCATTTCCCTTAAACAATCAGTGTAGCCACAATGTCAATTCCCTAACTTTCAGTTGATAAGAGTTACATGTGCTGGGAAATTTACACTCATTTCGGGACATTAACCCAGTTTTATAGCTACTAGCCTGGTAGCTACGACGATGTCTTCGTAAATCGCATTGTTTGTATATAGGCAAAAGGAAACTAGATCGACCCATAGTTCCATTTCGTGATCTGTATAGAATCACATTCTCAGTCGATTTATGCATGTCCGTCGGTCCGTCTGTCTTCCCATGTAATTTTGTAAACAAAGTAGAGGTCGCATATATTGCCCTATCCTGATAAAATTTTGTACAAGTCATTTGTTTGACCCAAGGACGAATCATATTGAGATAATCGATCAAAATTTAAATATAGCTCCCATATATATCTTCGTCCGATTTGCCTTTTATTGTGCACCAAACGTCTAATATCAGCCCAAATCATGGTAGAAATACCAGGCGAAAATTACAACAAAGCAACTTTTTTTGGAAACTTGATATGTCAAAGTTGTAGTCAGGGCGAATTGTTTTGAAGTACAAAATTTGGGGCAAATTGTTTTTCCAATCAAAATATTGAATCAAAAATGTTCAAAATTGTTGTTTTTTCTATTATAAAAGCAAATATTCAAAACTTCCAACATCGATTGAAAGTAATGCTGAAGCCGCTGCATCTTGGTTTGATTATAGCACGTTCAATACAACATTTTTGAAAATCACAGAGACTGGAAATGGAGTGATCGTAGTCTCCAGCGCGCCAACGAAGGACATTTGCGATAATAGATGTCCAATCGTTGTTATCTCTTCATCATCCTTACACAGCATGCAGTCTTGGTAACATTGGCAACGTTGATTTCATATTCAACAGCGATAATGTTCTTTACAAGAAAATATACGGAAAATTAGTTTTGATGCTTTAAAATTAGGTTTTGTGGTGGTTCTGGGGTGTACCCTTTTTTCTTTTGCTGCATCGTCAGCTTTCTCGCTGTAGTGACATGCTACCTAAAAGGTACTTTAGGGTATATTTACTCCTCAGGCTTACTTAAGATTTGTATCAAAGATTGCAGAAGATACAGGGGGCTGAGTCTACTGTAAGTCCACGCATATTATTTGCTCAGCTATGAAATGTATAGCAGACAGGTTTTGTTCCCCAAACCAATCCAATATGCTTAGGAATCATTCACCTTTCACTGTTGAAGCCCTATAGTGTATAACATAGTTGAAAATCCGTACAAATAAGATGATGAAATTTCATGTATCGGTTTATCTCCTATATGAAATTGATTCCCTGTTTCACTTATTCAAAAATATCCACGAATTTTAGATCTCCATATTACCTATGCCTACCATTAGTTGAATATACACTTTTTCCCTCATACTCTATAAAAACGTAAAATCTCGATTTTCTATCAATAGCATTGTTAAAGTTTGAAATCATGCAACAATTTTCTTATGTGTAAACGAAGGCGAATTCAAATTACAACAATTTTTTGACATATCAAATTGATACCAGCTGGCCTGAAAGGGTTACCTTGTAATTCTACCATGGCCCAAATAGTATTGAATTTTGTAATTACCCAACATACCAAAATGGCTTGAGAATAATATTACAATAAGCTTATGAACATAAGCCTTAAGCTTGAGAAAATCTTGAGAAAACATTGAAAAATGTTTGTGTAACAAGTATAGAATAATCGAAACGGAACCCTTATTTATAAGCTTATACTTGAAATTGTAGAATAAGCTTACAAAAATAATATTATAATAAGCTTATTTTTGTAATAGTATATAATATTATTATATTTTAAATTTTTAATCATTTTTCACATTTTTTCCTTGATGGACATCCCAGTAGTCACTGCCTCATGTGGCCTTGATACCCTGACGCTTTCTTCTCCCTTATTTGAACTTCTGCATCTCTTCCACTAAGACTACACATCTATTGAATTCCTTCAACTTTTTTGATGCTTCCAATCTGAAATGGGATTGGAATAATTTATGTGAAAGTTTCCCGGATTTATTATTCATGCATACCTTAAGGGTTCGGTCCAGAAATGGGTCCTAAATTCGCGTGATTTTGTTTTCTGCCAAAGAAAATAATTTCTTGCTGACAATTTTCACAAAAAATCAAAACTAATTTGTCAACAAGGGACAGATTTGAGAAATGTTTGTGGAACATAAGTGTTTCTCAAGCATTGTTGAAAAATTATATTTTTATAATATTGTTCTCAAGCTGCATTGTATTTTTGGTATGTTGGGTACGACCAATTGGCACCTAAAGACAAGTATGTCGAATTTGATGAAAATCGGTTCAGATATAGCTAAAGCTCCCATATACAGGGTGAGATAAAAAATGCAACAAAGTTAAACGCCATAATTTTTACTTTTTTTAAATTTTATTAAATGAAAGCAAACAATGTCGGAAATAGCTTCAAATTTTAGAATAAATTTAGATTTGTTCGAATTTTTTACCTTTGGAACGAATTATGGCCTTCAAACGGCCGATGAAACTGTAACACGCTGCCCGAATGTTGCTCTGCGGTATTTTGGCTCATTCCCTGCGAACCGCTTGTTTGAGGTGATCGATACTTTGGTATTTTTTAGTGCCAACCTTGCATTCCAAAGTACTCCAGACACAATAGTCCAACGGATTGGTAGCCAGAGATTTTGGTGGCCATTATGCGCTGGAAATGAAGCGAGGAACCTCATTTTGTAACCACTCGTAGGTGGCGCGTGATGAGTGCGATGGTGCTGAGTCCTGGTGGAATGTCCAAGGTCCAAAGCTTTAATACACCCTCCAGAATATTTTCGCCATAATATTCGGCAATTATTCTGATGCCACGGTCGATTAATAGGAGTGGAGAGCGACCATCGACTGTTATGGCGGCCCACACCAACACCATGGCTGGCGCTTGAGTTCTGGTGGCCAACCGAAGGTGCACATTTTCTACTGACCTCTTCTGCAAGTAAACCCGATCCACGATCATTTTGTTTGTTTACAAACTGCTGGACAACGAATGTTTTTTCATCGGAGAAACCCAAATTCGGCAGTTCATCACTTTCGGCCAAGCGGAACAACTTTTTAGCTCTTTTGAGTCTATCTTCTTTCTGTTGAGGTGTAAGTTCTTGCACTTTTTGGAATTTCAATGGCTTTACCCCGAGACCATTTTTTAATACTTGCCGAATGGAATATTGCGATATGTTCAGCTCACGAGCCATTTTTCGGCCACTGTGACGCGGATTTCTATCAAGTAGCTTCTTTACTTTTCGAATCATTTCTGCTGTGACGTCGGGCTTCGCTGTCAGTATCACTGTAACGGGCGAAGGTACGACACACAAAAGATTCACAGCCAGTTCCACGATATCGAAAGAACACGTTCGCACAACTTTTACACGACAAACAGCTGATTTCCGTTCCACTAAAATCTATCAGAACGAAAATTTGCACGAAAATCAAAGCGAACGAAAACGTAAGCATTTCAGTGTAATTTTGCGTTCCACTATCTTTTTTCTTTCGTACGCATGCGAACACAAATGTCAAAATCAGTCACTTGTGTGTTTGCTATCGTATAATAACAATTAAGGAAAATTGTTTTAACATAAACATTGCTTGATTGAAAATGGAAACAAAAATGTAAGTAAAAATAATAAATGCAATTTAATATGTGAACAACAAATATATATATTTTTTATTTTCTCAATTCCAGCACGAAAAAATCATCAACTACACAGCTGCGGGCACTAGTTGAGTAAATGGAGGAGAATCCTGTGTTCGCCAGAGGAATGCCAATTTTTGGAAGCAGCAGAAGAAGTTTTAAATCGGGGCGGATTTGGGTAGTTCTGCAACCGGGCACCCACTTCTCTTCCATCATATCCAAAAGAGCCCGAAAACTTCCTTCGACACACGAAAGTTGGCCACAAACCTAGAAAAAATCATTTTTTATTATTTCAAAAATGTAAAAATACAATCATACTTACTGGTTGTTAGGTACTTCAAATAAATTCGAAGCATCTCTTAAATTCCTCCGTGGCACATTTCGAACCTCCTCCATAAAAAATAGGGCTACGGAAATATTCTTTTTTTTATTTTCTAAGAGCACAAATAGTTTGAACACAATCACTAGAAATTTTATTTCGTTTGTTTATTTACAATTTGTTTGTTTACAACTGAAATGTCAGTTGAGACAGAGCCACTGCTGCTTTTTCGCGTTTAAATTAGACATTTGACGCTTTTTTTTTGCTTTATTTCGCGATTAATTTTTCCAAAAAAATATTTAGCAACACTGAATCACGTAAGGCTATGCGAAAGAAAGAACGAAAGATAGTGGAACGCATTCTTATACGAAAGTGAGTGAGTAGCCTTCGTTCGCACAAATTTTCTTTCGAGATCGTGGAACAGGCTGTCATTCACATTTAAATGCTGGAGTGCTCTAACGATAGCCACTTGTGGTTTTCCAGACAAATCTAAAGAAACGCTTGAATTCCATCACGAATAACTTTTTTTCAGGAAAATGTTTCGTTTTCTAAAATATTCATTTATTACGTTTTCTAGGTATAATACCTTCCTGCTTTAACTTATCTTTATTGTTGCAAATTTCTTGGCATACTTTCAGGCGCATTGGTTGACTTGATATCTTTGCCCGTTACAGTGGGTTTCACATCAGCCACCGCAGTTATTATTGGAACATCACAAATCAAGGTGAGCAAAAAAAAATCAAGGAGAATGGTTACAAGGAACTAGAGATTATAAGAAACTATTGCAAATAAAATAATGTACAGAGTACAAAAATCATTTCGATGTATGTTGCACATAATTTGAAGACCTCGTTCATTACGACTTTCTTAAAAATGTTGCTCCTTATAGTCATTTTCATATACCATTAATATTTTTTAATATTAACATAATTATATTTTTTTTTAGGGTCTCTTGGGCTTGCGTGGTGGTTCCGGTTCCGGTTTTATAAACACCATGAAATCTGTGTTTCTCAATTTAGATAAAATTCGTATTGGGGATTTTAGTTTAGGTGTTACTGCCATTATTATTCTGTTGCTATTAAGGGTAAGTAGATATTTGGAAACGGTTTTTTGTGGAAATCATTTGATAATAAATAATGCGTTTCCATTTCAGAAACTGAAAGACTTAAAACTTCAAAATTCCAACAAATTCCTGAAAAGTTTCCTCTGGATTGTGGCCACCGGACGTAATGCTCTGGTGGTTTTAATAAGCAGTACCATAGCCTATTACACATGTCAGAACAAGGATGCATGTCCACTGATCTTAACGGGTAAAGTGAAAAGTGGTTTACCCGAATTTCAATTGCCACAATTTAAAACAACAATTCTAAATGCAAATGGGACAGAAACTGCACAAAATTATTCGGCAATGTTGGAAGAGTTGGGTCCTTCAATGATTATTTTACCCATAATTGCGGTATTGGGTAATGTGGCAATATCAAAGGCTTTTGGCGGAGCTGGAATTTCGCCAACACGTGAACTTGTGGCATTGTCATTGAGTAATATATGTGGTTCGTTCTTCTCCTCAATACCTGTGACGGGGTCTTTCTCGCGTAGTGCCGTAAATCATGCCAGTGGTGTTAGAACACCAATTGGTGGATTTTATACCAGTGCATTGGTACTATTGGCATTGGGTTTATTGACACCATATTTCCAGTATATTCCCAAGGCCTCACTGAGTGCTGTGATTATTTCGGCGGTTATATTTATGATTGAGTTTGAGGTTGGTAGAAAAGGGTAAATTGCTCTCACTCTTGGAAATAATAATGAAAACCTTATTTATCTTCAGGTCATCAAACCATTGTGGCGTTGCAGTCGCCGTGAACTCTTACCCGGGGCCATTACATTTGTGGTAAGCTTGGCAGTGGGTGTGGAGATTGGCCTTCTTTTGGGCGTGGGAGCTGATGTTGCATTTTTGGTATATCGTGTGGCCCGTCCCGTACTAACAGTTAACAAATTGAGTGTAAGTGGAAACATAATCTTGGTAATATTCAAAATATCTAATGAAGTTCGCTCAACTTACAGACCACCCATGGCATTTCTTATATTTTGATAAGGCCCAAACACAGCTCTTTATATTTTCCTGCAATTGAATGGGTGCGCACCGGAATTTCTAAGGCATTGGAAACTCATGGTTCGGCACCTGTAATTTTGGATTGCTCAAATGTTCATGGTTTGTAATCATTGTGAGAAGTTCCTTGAAGAAAAAAAATCATCGATTTGTTCTTGTCTTGTAGATTTTGATTTCACCGCTGGCCGTGGTATTGGCGCTCTCAACAAGGAATTGATACGCATGAATATTCCTTTGTTCCTGCTCAAAGCCTCCAAGGAGATCATTGTCATTCTAAAGGAATCAACAAATGCCGATATACCTACACTGGAACAGCCTGATGATTTGGAGACTGTGCTGGAACAGAGTAAGTGAAAGATGATGTTTAAAAAAAACAATTCAATAAAAATATTCATGGCGGTCATAAAAAGTATTTCAAACTTTTACGATTTGAGCTTTGTTAGCCCTTTTGAAAGAAAATTCGAAAATTTGAGAATATCATTAGAAGTCTTTTGGTAATTTAATTTAATCCACGTTTAGGTCTGCTGTATTTTGATATGTATAAGGGCTGTGCCAAAAGGTTTACCCATATTAAAAATTTTTGTAGCGTTTCTACATAATAAGAACCCAAAATCCCAATCTCTGGCGCAAAACATGGCCAAAACGTAAAAAATACTCGAAATCGGAGTTATCCTTACATGGGGGCTACTCCCTACAATAGACCGATATGTAGCATTTTCTGTACCAATAAAATTGAATGTGATTCAAAGATCTTTATCATATTTCAAAGCTCTATACAAAATGTTGCGAAATATATCTCAAACTATAGGAGTTCCTCTGTGTATAGTCAAAACAAAATAAAGGCCTTAGCAACAACAGGCTTGGCCCTAAGAACCTGAAACTCTTTTGAGGTTTTGATCTACAAACGAAATCTATTAAGTCCACTTGCAAGTTTCCACAACCGAGATTGGCTATTGCACAGTGAAATTATATGCAAATTTTCAGCAAATCGGTAAAGGTGCTAAATTTTTCAGAAATGACAAAAATGAATGGTATTTTTTCATGGTACATATTGAATATACAAAATCCTTTTGTTCAGCGACTTACAATGAAATTTGATCTAGAATAATTCTTTCTTTGACACTTTATTCAAAAAATGAAGTATAAATGCAGATTTTGATCTGGATTAAAAAGTGTTAAATTAATAGCCAAAAATAGCAAACGGATAATCATTTGTAGTGAATGAATTTCGAATGTAACTATCATAACAAATATTGTATATAGATGTAGGGTTTATTCTGAGATTTATAGGGAAATTTTGTATAGAACATTTCTTCCTTTGACACCTTTTCCCTACAACGAAATTTCATGTCATATACAGGTATCTATTATAACAAAGTCGATTAGAAATTCTTAAAAAAATAGGAAATATTCTCGAGACTTTTTTGGGAACATTAATGCAAAATTTCTTTGATATGCAGTGGAAATATAGATTTCTTTTCTTTTGTAACTTATAGTGAAATTTGATGAAGAATATTTTTGTCTTTTATTTATTTCTTCCAAAATGATGCTTTGTAGGAAGATTTTTGGAATCTACGGATTTAACCCTAAAATACGCTTTGGGAACATTGAAGCAAATATTTTTTGATATGCAGTGGAAATATAGACTTCTTATCTTTGGCGACTTGTAGTTAAATTTGATGCAAAATGTTTTTGTCTTTGATGTCATCCTTCTAGAACGATGATTTGTATGAGATTCTTGTATAAAATCACATAGAGTTCGGCCTTAACCCCAAAATATGCTTTGGGATCATTGACACAAATATTTGTTTGATATGAAGTGGAAATATAGATTTCTTTTCTTTGGTGACTTATAGTGAAATTTGATGAAGAATATTTTTGTCTTTTACTTATTTCTTCTAAAAAGATGCTTTGTAGGAGATTTTTGTAATCTACGGATTTAACCCTAAAATATGCTTTGGGAACATTGATGCAAATATTTTTTGATATGCAGTGGAAATATAGACTTCTTTTCTTTGGCGACTTATAGTTAAATTTGATGCAAAATGTTGTTGTCTTTGATGTCATCCTTCTAAAACAATGCTTTGTATGAGATTTTTGCATAGACTTATATAAAGTACGAATTTAGTTCGGGAACATTGATGCGAATATTTTTTCGATACGCAGGGGAAATAGAGGTTTCTTGTCTTTGGTGACCTATAATGAAATTTGATAAAGAATATTTTTGTCTCTTACTTAATTCTTCTAAAATGGTGCCTTGTATGACTTTCAAACCGATGCTTTGTAGGAGATAACCCTAAAATTTGCTTTGGGAATATTGATGGAAATATTTGTTTGATATGCAGTGGAAGTATAGATTTCTTTTCTTTGACGACCCTTAGTGAAATTTGAGAAAGAATATTTTTGTCTCTTACTTAATTCTTCTAAAATGGTGCTTTGTAGGAGATTTTTCATAAACTCACATAATGTACCGATTTAACCATAAAATGTGTTCTTAATATATATGAATTAACGTTTAGGTAAGATTTAGACTTCTGAGGTCTTCTAGGGCCAATAGCGGAATATGAATAATAATTTTGTAGGAAATGTTGACTTCCCCCGATTCCGTTTAAAGGGTGAACTATATTTTCCAAAAAGAAATAAAGAGACCCCCCTTTGTTAACTCGTTAACATTTTCGACCAAATTAACACTCGTTATTTATATGCAATATTACCTAAGATAATTTACACCTAAAATCAACGGATTCCAAGCTATTTTAATTCGAAAATTTCAAACAATTTGGAAGAGCTTGCCACGCTTTTAAAATTTTCGACTATCTGTTATTTCTTTAAATTAATTTTATTTAATTTTTGTTTTCAGGTCCCGACTACGAACCATATCTACAGGTGATGGTGCCCTTGGTAGCTAATCCAAATCACGGCAATGCAGATAATGAGCATGACAAAAAGAATTGAATTTATCATACCGCCCTATCTCAAAAACCAAATTAGGTTTAATATTCCACAGATTCCAAACCCTATCATGTCAACCCACAATGAGACTAAATGCTGTTCTAAGTATTTCCATTTTTTTTATTAAATGCAATTATCTCCTATACAAGATGCATAAGTAAACAATTTACATATTAGAATTTTTGTATGTATTACTAAAGACCCCAAATAAGTGTTTTCGAAAGAAAACCGCATATAATTTTTAACTTTTTGCACAAACTTTTTTTATTTTTCTCCTTTTTTTGTTTTCAAATCTTTGCTTAGTTTAAAGTAAAAATTCTCTTGTTTATATATAAGTAATAATAATATCCCATAATATAAAATATAATAAATTGTATGCATGAAAAACTCGTGTATTATTATATAACCATAAAAAAACATTATTCTGTTTTTAAAAAATAAAAAAAGGTTTTTGTTTTTTATATATTCGAACTAAATGTGAAACGTAAACTTTATAATTATATTAATGATAATAATAATAATGAAACTATTAAAGTGTGTGTGTATATATAAACAAGTATATATATATAAAATACAATAGAATAATTTATTATAAATATTAATTTAAACCAAATTTTTTAGCAAATAAAACAAAAATTAAAAAGAACTCACAAATAAATACAAAAGTAAAAAAAAACATGTGGTTGATTTAAACAATTTAATTACCAATAAGTTTAATAAGTAAATCAATGTAACTGCCATGTATATATGTATTTTAAATTCTAATTCGCATGTCGTTAAGTTGGATAGAAACGAACCTCAATCCTGTCTCTCATTTTCTAAATTTTACAAATTATTTATCTCTTTTACTGAGATTCAAAGGCACCTCCCGTTTTATTGTGTGTGTGTGTGTATGTAAGGCTCTCTGAATTTATAAATCCGTTATCTCTTGTTGAGATTCAAAGGCACCTCCATCGTTTAAGGCCGCCGATGTACCGCTGGCATTGCTTACTTCGTAACCAGACGAAGTGGACGAGGAAGTCTGTTGATTACGTCCCTCGTTTGTTATGCGCTGCAGCAGTTCAGCCTGTATACGTTTGAGCACTTCTATGACCTCATTTAACACGCCACTTTGGGCCGCCTTTTGCATGGCCTCATTGGCATCGGCTAGGGCTTCATTCAAATCACCATGTTCCATGCGTGCCTTGGCCCGGGCATAATAACCTTCATAGCTGCTGGGTTTTTGCGCAATAGCCTGCGAAGCCAAATCTATTGATTCATCAAGTTCCTGGAATGAGAGAAGAAAGAAAAAAATATTAGTACAAAATATTGAACAAAAAGAAGGGGTTGAGGAGTATGATTGCTAACCGCTGGATTCAAAAGGTTTCTATTCTTGATTTATGTTAAATTCATACTTAATCGGTTCATATCCCGTATTCTGGTCAGAGTTGCTAATCGAAAAGCCCTAGAGGTAAAACCTAATAAAAATCAAGATTACAGGCAAATTTCAAATCGATTTGTGTGAAACGCGATATTTTGAGTGATAATTCAAAATATATTTTTTTACAAAAAATTATCAACAAAGATCCATAATTTCGAATAGACAACCCCCCCCCCCCACGGGACCAATCATCCAGTTTGAAAAAAAACTCTATATATATCATGATGGAATTATTAAAAATGGTTCGGAATATCAAAAATATAGATTTTTAGGCTTAACTCTAGTTTAGTAAAAACTCTTTAATTTGTTCGAAATCTTTTTCCAGGGGTAGGTATTTTTACTTTGACCCCGGGAAACTATTTTTTTCTTGGGGGACTCCAGATTTTTGACTCGAAAGTCCGGGTTCAAGACCCCGACTAGACCCAATTACCCGATATAGACAATATAGGTATCGTTGGGAAGCTTAAATTTAGAAAAACTTTAATTCGCGCAGAAGAGAATTTCTCTGGACCGGAAAAAGATATTAATACAAATTGTAGCATTTTGGAAAGGTAAGAGTGTCAGCTACAATTTGGCATCAGCTTTGTTGACCCACAGAATGGGGCCTCTTCTGACTTTTTGGGAGTTTTATAAAAAATCCGACTCCAAATAAAACGTCAACGGTCGTTATTTTCATAAGCTTTTAAACGATACCTGTATTGTCTATCGGGTAAGTGGATCCGGGTCCATCCCGGGTCGTAAACCCGGAACTTCGGGTCAAAAATCTGGTTTCCTGGTTACGTCCTCCAAGAAATAAATGATTTCCCGGAATCAGGGTAAGAATACCTACCTCTGGAAAAAAATCGAAGAGTTTTTACTAAACTAGAGTTATTCCGATTTGGGACTTTGAACTAACACGACTTGACTTTTTCTTTTTTTTTCGATTATTTGGATTTCTAATATAATAGGGACTCTCATCAAGGGATTTTGTTAGGGTTTAGAATTGTATTTCCACAACAAAAACACAAAAAACAATCCCTTTTTAAAATTTATTGCACTTGGTCAATGAATAGGGATACGTCAGTCGACATTCGACCAATCGTCTTTAAGCGTTACAGCGTTCCCTAAAATTCAACGTAGCGTACACAAACCAACTTCCCCACTATGGTCAAATGTTTTATACGTCCGTATTACCCAAATACGCCCGATCCATATATTTAAATCTTTCAACTAGCAATAATACCCATCAAAAAGTTAAACAATCGATATTATCATCTGTTTAGCAGAAATAAACTTTAAAAAATCTGAACTCGAAATCAATTTTAGTCGAAAAAGAAAAATTTGGAAGATCAAAAAATCAACTTCTGTTCAAGGCAAAAATAGTAAAATTTATAATACGATCTTTATAACCCTATTTTTGGATTTGGGGTTTCCAACGATTTCTTTAAAAGTTACATATTTCATTACAAGGATTTTGTTGAGAGGTTTCTTTGGCTAATGGTCAAAATCCTTACAAACCCTAATCCTTACTAACCCAAATTCCATAGTTCCCAAAACAATCGATTATAACCTCACTTTTTTAAGTAATTTGCAAAACTAATTTTTTTTCTCTACTCACATTTAGTTTCCTCTTGCATCTGGATAAATTCAACAATAGATTCGTTCTCAGCTGGGCAAAAACGGCGCTGCGCTCAAGAAGCGTTTCCAAATTGGAGATTTTCCTCAGGGCATATTGATAGCGGTGGGCAGCTTCGTGGAAACGATTTTTCCGATACAGCACATTGCCATCTTCGAGTAGTTTATTCAGTAAGACCACCAGAATTTCCGGTTTACCCATGGCCATGCTCCATGTGGTCGGGCCCAGTTTGGCACCCTTGCGCAAAAACACCTGCACCACCTGGATATTGCGGCAAGCGATAGCCCGATCCAATGGTCGCATACCATTGATGTCAACATGTTCTATGTGTGCACCCTGATCCATTAAATACTGGACCAAATGCGCGGAGCCTTGATAGGCGGCCAAATCGAGACCTGTTCGACCATTATTATCGGCATGATTTTTATTGCAACCCTTGTCTATCAGGATTTTGGCTGCCGTCTGGCGTCCTCTAAGGCAGGCCCATGACAGGGCTGTGAAACCTTCATGATCTTGGGTCTCTAAACTGGCGCCGCGTTCAATGAGCATTTCAAGTATTTCCAAATGGCCCTCTTCAGCCGCAATCATGAGGGCGGTTTTTCTTGCCGAAGTCACAGGTTCGTCGAGATCAGCACCATTTTGTAGGAGTTTATCGGCCACAGCCCAATGACCCTCTTTGACGGAAAGGCCAAGAGCAGTGAAACCCTGTTTATTGTGTAGATCAATGTTGGCTCCACGTGTCAGTAACACCTCAACAGTGTTCAAGCAGCCATTGCGGGCCGCCGAGGTCAAGGCCAACTCTCCAGAACAAGGTTCAATGGTATTCACATCAATATCTTCCATATCCAGCAGGTCTTCCAGAATTGTAATGTGATCCTGGGAGGCGGCCGCAATCAGGGACTGATGTATGGCAGTGGGCAGATTGACATCATTGGAATCGGGTCGGGGAGTCCAATCACAGGCCAGCAGATATTTCACAACATTGAGGCGTCCCATGCGGGCCGCTTGAACTAAGGCACAGCGTTGGGTGGTATCACATTGACCCAAACTGCTGCCGGCGGCCACCAGGAGACGCACCACATCACAGTGACCCCTCATGGCAGCCAAAATTAGGGGTGTACAACCCTGGCTGTTGGTCAGACCCACATCGGCCCCAAATTCCAGCAGCAAACTAACCATGGGCACAATACCTTCATAGGCTGCTATGCAAAGAATGGTTGCATCGCCCATAAATTCCGTGCGATAATGGGGAGAAGCTCCAGCCAGCAGAATAAGGCGGGACACCTTCAAATTCGGACTGTAGACATTGCGCAAGGAACCCAAGGCCGCCGAGACATTATCGGACACGGTGGAGACCCAATACGATTGCATATCCCTTGGCGATTGTGGACCCTGATTGTTGCGATAAATGTGCGCCTTCAGCATGTGATGGCCCAATTCCAGCGTTTGTTCCGCATCCAGCGGAGCCTGCAACCTTGACAAACGGAATGCAATTGCTGCATGACCCAAACGAAAATCACACAGAAATTTCGTTGATTCTCCTTCGTCACGGCGAATCAGCCATTCCCGGAAGGAGGAATGGAAGAACATATACGTGTTGTCGATACGCTTGATCAGGAAGCCGTCGAGCAACTTGAATCTCTGCAAGAATTCATCCCAAGGCATAACTTCATCGGTTTTCATGGCGCATACGGTGTAATAGATCTCGTTCAGCGTCAATGGATAGAGGGCAGCCAGGCAAACGTTCAAAATCGGCGAAGCCTTTTCAAAACTACAGGCCGTCGGGAAACGCAGATTAAAATGCAGCAGAAAGATTTGAGCCAATGAAATGGGCAGCACTTTGTAACTCGTGGACTTGATGACCAGTTGGCCCTTTTCAATCAGATCCAAGATTAGTTTGGCATATAACATGGATCCCTTTGTCAGCGTCTGGAGGTGGCCAATGAATTTCAATTGTCCGGTGTTGTGATCCTTGACTACAGCCACATTTTTCTGAATTTCCATGGAGTTGTTTACCCGAAAAGTGATATAGTCCAGCATATCCTTTTGCAGTAGATCATTGGATGCCCAACTATCCAAGGTCATTTTGGTGTAGGACAGTCCTTTGACAAATTCTAACATTTGGGTGCGCACCGTGGCCACCACCTTTAGCCAGGAGGGGAAGTATTGAGTCATTTTGGCAAGAAATGTGGCAATGGTGTGGCCATGATCCGGGCGATGATATTCCGCCTCACACAGGGCATCCACCAGGATAATGCAAGTTTTGGCAGGTATTTTTCCAGCCCTCTTAAGGACGGTCAGGGGCTCTAAAATGGCCATTCGCATGACCCGTTCGGCATCGGCAATACATTCCTTGACACTTAGGATATCCTGTAAATGGGTTTCATTGAGTAGATATTCCCGATAGGCGGCCAATTGGGGAGCCTGGCACAGCTGGGCAGCCAGAGAGTGAACAAAGTCGGGTACCAAACAGGTTAGATTGGCATCGGCCTGGCAAAAATGATAGCCCACCACATAGGAGGCCAAGGAGCGAAGACGATCGGTAACCGAGCTGATTTGGTAATAGATACCATCCGGGTCACTGTCCGCACTAGTGGCGGCGGCATTGCGTCGCCCAAAACAAGAATATTCCACCAATTGTAGAATAAAAGCCGTCTTTCCGGTGCCTGGATTGCCATTTATCAAAACTCCTGGAGTCTCTGTGGCTGTCAGAGTATTGGCCAGTTCTCGAATGAGCCACTGGCGCCCAATAAATGGTGGATCCGGCTCCTGCAAGGGTACCTCAAAGAACAACGGCTTCAGGGGCAATTGTATGGCAGGAGGCGTTTGTTGTTGTTGCTGTAAAGCTGCAGGTTTATAAATGGCATTCCGTTTGCTATTCCCGCCCAATTGGGCTGAGCGGGCCGAACGTCTGGCTACCGATTTACGTGGTTTTAGGGGTAATATTTCATAACCATTGCTGTCGGTGAGGGAGCACGATTTCATTTTACCACTTAAGCTGTAGGTGTCATCTTTGGTGGCCACCGATAGCTGGCTGCCACCATAATGATCGACGGAAAGGCCAGAGCTGCCGGTGGCCAAGGTCTGTTCGGGGCTAATGTTGTGCGATGAGCCGCTGCTGCTGGTGGTGGTGTTGATGGTATTGCTGGCATTGCCGTTTTGATCATGATCCAGTAGCAGACCCAAACGGGCACGTAGCTGGTCTTTTTGTTTTTCCGCCTCCGAGCCCAGATGATCGCTGGCTGTAAAGAGAGAAGAGAGAGGAAAATAGGATGTTAAAAATAAGTTGAAGGTATTGAAAAAACAAATGAAAACGTTCAGAAAGACATGCAAATAAAAATCTTAAGGTCAGACACGTCGGTTTTATCCTGGAGATGTGCCATTTCAAGGATAAAATGGGAGATGAATCCATTCCCTCTCTCTTTTCTTGGTCCCAAAATAGCACATCGCCCTATTGAAACTGGTTGTGTCTGTGCTCCGAGCATGAAAACTTAAAACCATAAAAGGGAGTCCAAGAAAAATGTCTAACATTTGGCATTGATCTCAGGTCTCCACACAAAGAAGGCGGGCTTTGAAGAACAATAACAAAAAATCATGCAAAAACAACAACGACAACAAAAATGAATTATGTTAACTGAAGTGCAGTAGTAGTAGTATTAAGATGTCCTGCCTGTAAATTGATTTAGACCGCCTTCCGATGAATTCGAATTTACGCCCACAAAAAATATTAGACAAACAACAATAACAAAAAATCATGCAAAAACAACAACGACAACAAAAATGAATTATGTTAACTGAAGTGCAGTAGTAGTAGTATTAAGATGTCCTGCCTGTAAATTGATTTAGACCGCCTTCCGATGAATTCGAATTTACGCTCCACAGCGATTTGATCTTGCCCAACACCAGCGATGACAGGTGCCCAGCATACACCGATGTTCCAGCCAAACTTAAACGATTCAAACGATTTTCACTGCCAGTCGTTGATTCCGATGATGAGGTCAATTTACTGCTTACATTTTTGCGGCGTCTTCGTGTCACAGCCGAATCAGAACATGTTGAGGTATTCAAGGCATTCGTTTCTTTACCTAAAGTGGGAGAGTGATGGAGAAAAATGAGGTGTAATGAAAGGTGGGTGCATTCAGGGGGAAGTGTGATAAGTGCAATATATGTGAGAAATGAGAAAGTGTGTAGGTGTGTTAGCTTAGGTCTAAAAGTGAGGTTAGGTTATATTTACATTTGCATTAAAGCTAGGTTATGTTGAAGCATTGTGGATAATTTTTTTGTGATCCCAAAGCTGAAGTTGTTGCACACAAGCATATAGCGTAAGAATGATGAAGCAGGGGGTGTGAAAGTGAGGGCACAGGGGATATGTCCATTAAAAAACATCATTTTATGTACGTCTCTTAAAAGGGATATGTAGGTCGACTTTCGATTAAGCATTAAATTAAGGATTAGTAAAAGTCTAAATCGATAAATTTTCCAAAAAAGTGATATTTTTTATAAAAAAACTTGATCTTGACAGTTCCATAAGTCGATTTTCGATTAGTCGACTTTAGGAAATAAAAACTCTAAAGTGAAATTCTATACTTTTTTCTAAGAGGAAAACATTTAATTTATAGGCATATGTTAGACGACTTTCGATTAGTCAAAATTAAAGAATCAAAATGTCGATAGCGAGAATTTTACACACAAAAAAATATGTATGAGTGATATGAGTCCTAATAGGGGTACGTAAGTCGAGTTCCAATTGGTAAACGTTTGGTATTAAATTGAGGTCAATTCCTGATAACTATCCGTAAGTCGACGTTCAATCGACTTCCGATTAGCCAACTTTTGGTATTTAATTGAGGTTAAGTAAAAATTAATGTCAACAAATTTCCCAGAAAGAAAATATTTGATGAACGATTCCTGACAGGGATCCGTCGGTCGACGTTCGTTTAATTGACTTTCGGAATTGAAAAGTCGAAATCGATAAAATTTCCAAATGCACAAATCCAATTACGGATACGTAAGTCGACTTCAGATTAGCCAACTTTTGGTATTAAATTGAGGTTTGGTATTAAATTGAGGTTAAAAATTAATGTCAACAAATTTCCCAAAAAGAAAGGTTTGATGAACGATTCCTGACAGGCATCCCTAAGTCTACGTTCGAGTGATTGACTTTTGGAATAGCAAAGTCGAAGTCGATAAAATTCCCAAATAAGAAAGCATTTCATGCACAAATCCGTTCCCTACGTAAGTCGACTTTTGATTGGCCTAATTTTGGTATAGAAAAGTTTTTGACAGTCGACTTTTCGAAATGTGTCTTAAAGTGAATTGAAAGTATGAGCAAAGGTGTTGAGAGGATAAAAAATAGAAACATACTTGTACTCAGTAATTCTGTTCTTTATCCTTGGACAACTTGAAGTTGGCTACAGAAGTCTTTAGCATTTTCTTTAATTTTATTTTCTTTGCATGCAAACAAACAAACCCTTTCCAGGTTTTTAATAAGAAAATTGACAAGAAAATATCTCATACATATTTGTACCTATGACCACAGACTGATTAATCAATTTGTGATTTCAAGATAATATAGTTTTTTTTTTTTGTCAAGAAAACCTTTCTTCGTTCATTTTTTTCATTTATTCATAAATTTACTGAACTTTTTGGTAAGTAGACAACATCCTGTAAAAGTCCTAAAAATTATTGACCAAAAAATTGAATACCAGGAGTGGACATTATAATTTTTGCAACTGGAAAAAGTCGACTTCAAATTTTTAATACATAAAGTCGATTGATCGATGAGTCGAAAGTCGACTTATATATCCCTACTCTATTTACTGTAGTCTGCCAATGTCTCACAGAGTTGATTTTCGACCATTACTTGTTGATTTCGAATTAACATAGTTTTTGTCAAGAAAACCTTTCTTAATTCATTTTTTTATTTATTCATTCATTTACTGATCTTTTTGGTAACTAGACAACATCCTGTAAAAGTCCTAAAAATTATTGAAAAAAATCGAATAACATGTGTGGACTTTGTCATTTTTGCAACTGGGAAAATTCGATTTCAAGATGAGTTGAAAGTCGACTTAGGTACCCCTACACTGTTTACAGTATTCTCCCAATGTCCCATATAGTTGATTTTCACTCAATGCTTATTGATTTCGAGACAATATCGTTTTTGTGAAGAAAACCTTTTTATTTTTTTTTTCTTTTTGGTAAGTAGACATCTACTAAAAAAGTCCTAAAAATTATTGAAAAAAAAAAGAATCTATGATCTTAAAACCGAATACCAACTGATAAAAGTTTTGCAACTGGTAAAAGTCGACTTCAAATTTTTAATACATAAAGTCGAATGATCGATGAGTCGAAAGTCAACTTAGGTATCCCTACTCTGTTTACGGTATTCTCCCAATGTCCCACAGAGTTGATTTTCACTCAATACCGCTTAATTGAGGTTAAACATCATTGCTATCCCCTACTGCTGGTCAGAGTCATAGTGCCTCGCCAAGCTGTCTTTAAGCTCATAAAAATGTCAATTGTTTGACTTGTTTACTTTGATAAAACAGGTGTTGAGGTCACCTGCCCGAGAGGTCATGTCAATCAAACTCCAACTCCTTTATAAACAAATTGAGCTCTCCTAGGCAAGAATAATAAATATTTTCTTTAATCTTGACATAATCACAAGGTACTCAACACAAAATACTGTTCTGAGAATACGCTCTCTGCAGCATCATTTTGCAAAAATAAAAAATTGAAGACCAAGAAGAAAGTTGTTAAGCTCTATGCACAAAAATAGTATTTTTTCCAGAGTTCGTTGGAAGTTGTCTTGCCTTGTGGCACAACGAAAATTTGTTCAACCAAACCGCAACTCCATAATTTTTTAAATGTTTCCTCTTGTTGGAAAAAAAGACTAACGAAGATGACAAAGCGATTTGCATATGGATGATTTAGTTGCATAGTTGTGTGGAGAAAAGCGACAAACTTATCTATCTGATGTTTGGGTACTGTGGTCTTCATGGGATTTATAGATTTTTGGGAATAATTTTTGGACAACATATTTTCTCGAGGTACTTTTCGAAAATCACCAGAGGGGATTATTTAGAAGTTTGACCCCTCCACTTTGTTTGCTGTGCAGAATAAGGACGACACCCAGACATCAATATTGTGACATTCTTCGAACAAATTGTAATTGCATACTTTTAGGAAGCTTCATTTATCGAACAGCTGATTGGGTCTCAAATTGATGTTTTAAGCTTTTTAAGGGCACAAAACCCCTTATTCGTAACCATTCCTTAAGAAACTAAACCCTAATATCCCCAAAAATATAGTTCACCATACCACTGTGAGTTTTGTTTCTTTTTTTTTGTTCCAACCTCAAATTCATATTTCTGGATTGGATGCAAAATGCATTTCTTTCTCTCTTCTGTTTCTTTTTATTTTTTTGAATAGCTAAAAAATCACATTTGAACCTTACCTTCGGATAATATCGAGGATGTATCAATGGGACAGCCACTGCCAACACCACCATTCGAAGCGGTACGACGATGACCAACCACACCGCTGACACCGTTAGTTAAGGCATTGCGCAAATTTTTGTGATTGAAAAAGCGACGGCGTGTCGGTGGTGTGGCAAATGATGAGGCATGAATTTCGCCATAGTTGCCGTTGTTGTTGCTGTGGTGGTGACCATGCAGACTGCTGCTGCCCGTCGAACTGATGGACGATGATGTACCATTGTGGCTGGTGTTGTTGCTGCCAACATTGTGATGAAGATTGTTATTGCTGTTGCTGGTGCTGCTGCTGTGAATATCAACGGTAACGGTATGTTTTGTATTCAATGCTGGATTATTTGAATTTGCCGCTGCTGCCGAAGCCTTGGGTAATTTACCAATACTGGAATAACGATGATATTCAGGTGATATAGACTCCTGGCGGTTATGCTGCAAAGAAAAAAGGAGAGAATTTAATATACACACATTTCAAATAGGGAATATCTTAATACCAAAAGGAAAAAGGCTTAGAAATTTGAGCGGAAAAAATTAATATAAAAATTATGTTGTGGTTATGGAAAACCTCAAACAATTGTCCATTCATTGAAACGGACCAAACGACCGACCGATCGACGGTCTTGTATTATCAATGATGAAAGTCTTGGCGTTTATTACAGCATCGTTTTTTTTTGGAATATTATTATTTGGAAATTGGCAAAGTTTGTGGTAAAATACACGGAGAGAAAATCTTTAAAATATTAAAAAAAACTACTAAAGTTAAAAAAATAGAGTCAACCGAGGGATTTTCCGGAGATTTTAAGGAAATCCACGTAATTTTGGACACTTTTTCATGGTAGAAGAATATTGATATGTCAAAAAATTTAAATGTCTTTTCAAATAAAAGTAGATGTTTATATGTTTTCTTATACGACGTCATTCGGATGTTATTACCCGTTTTTCAACATTTTTTACAAATTTAAATAACTTTTCATTTAAAATTCCGAAATTGGTTTAACAGTTCATTGTCCCAGCAGCTGTGTCGATGCATCATCGATTAGTCAAAAGTCGACTAACGTAGCCCTACTCTCCACTATGATAGTTTGTTGATATGTTGAACATTGCTGTGTTGCATCTAATGCCATGTTCCAATTGCAATTTGAACACGTATTAACGTGTTCATACGACGCGTTTCGTATATAATAGTAATAGGTTCTGTTTTTATACTGCTACCTGATTTTTATGGGCATTTGAGCGAATACATATAAATTACGAACTGATATGAACAACAGAGATAATTGTTTTTTTTTTTTTTTCAGAGAGTTGTTGATTATTTTCAGTGAACATAGATTTGACACATTTAGACTCTAGAAGTTAGTAGAACTAACTTTCTGGTTGTGCTGTTAGTCGAAAAACGCATAGAGAACGAATCATATGAACTTGGTGTAAAGGTGAGAATACATAAAACGCTTTTTTGACGGGCAATTTTCAAAACAAAAATAAATAAAATCTATTAAAAATTCTGTTAAAATCTGAAAAATACCGAATATCGAGGTACCATAATATAGGGGGTTAAACGAAAACGTGGACCTGCAAAGACAATTTTCTGTCATAGGCTGTAATATCCATTACGAACTTCAAATACGAAATTTGAAACAATTCCGGTGAATAATGTCGCTAAAATCATCAAAACACCGGAAATAGGGAGGTACCATAATATGGGGTGCTATATTAAAATTGGACCTGCACAGAAAATTTTCTGTCATAGGCAATTTTTTATCATTACGAACTTCAAATACCTAATTTGAAACAATTCCGCTGAATAATGTTGCTCAAAATTATCAAAATACCGATTATCGGAAGGTACTATTGTATGAGGGCTATACGAAGACGTGGACCTGCACAGACAATTTTCTGTCATAGGCGGTAGTATCCATTAAGAACTTCAAGCACCAAATTTAAAACATTTCCGGAGAATAATGCCCCTTAAATCACCAAAATACCGGAAATAGGGAGGTACCATTATATGGGGGCTATACCAAAACCCATTTTCAATACAAAAAGTCTTGCAGACATAATATACATTTGAGTTAAATTGTATCAACCTACGTTCGGAAACTAGAGTGATTTCCATAGACGGACGTCACTAAATCGACATAGAATTTTATGCTGATCAAGAATATATATACTTTGTGGGGTCTAAAATGTATATTTCGAGGTGTTACAAACGGAATGATAAACTTAATATACCCTCCATACTGTGGTGGAGGGTATAAAATGGGTATACAATAATCAGGACAATTGTATATTATTTGTCAAAATTACAAATTCCAAAATTTAATCCTATATATTTTGAAAAGTTTTAGGTACATCTGTGTTAGATTTCCCTAAAATTTGTAACAATTGTTACTGGAAGTCAGTTCGAGAAAGAATTTTTGACACTTCTTTTACTGAAAGTTCTTGCCCGAAACATCTCTTCTGGCAATCACTTGAAACCCTTCACTTACCGGTAATTTATATTTTTGGTCAGGCCAATTTAACACAGTTTTAGTTTTAAAATCCCAATCATTTTAACTTTTTTCGTATTTCCCTTTTTTATGCCGGACATATGGTTTTGTTTTGACAAATCAGCTGATTGATTGCAAGTTTTTGTGGGGATTCCGTCTTTTTACTTTTCGCAGTTTTCTTGCAAAAGAGAATAAAATTATGTTACTCTCGCAGAAAGAATTTGCCGGTGAGAAGTAAAGAGACAGGAGAAGTATAGAGACAACGCCATGTTCTTGCATTTTTCTCTGTGTACTATCTTCATTGCAAAAAGAGGTAATGATGTTGAATAAAAACAAAAACTCACATCGAAAGCCATAACCAAAACAAAACAGCCAAACAAAATAACTGTGGCAAATCGTTCGGCCACAAACATTGGCCGGGTTCCAAAGTTCAAGTTTATTCGAAGAAAAAAAAAAAATAAATAAACACATTCAAACCGCCCCGAGTTCAAAGAAAAAAGAAAGAAGGGGAAGACAACCATAACAAACACATCCACAGTCTTAATAAGAAAGCAAAGAAAAGTAAGGTTAAAGTAACGGCTCAACGAGAAAAAAAACATCCATCTCATATTGATTAGTCATATGTATTCCAACAAGAAATATATTTTGTTACTTGGCTTGAGTCCATAGCTTGTTTACCGGCTAGCACTTGTATTTATACTTAAATTTAAAGTTTTGCGGGTCAAAAACTTAAAGCCGAAATACTGTGTGTTTTGAAAGACAAAATGAAAGAGGACAAGAAAACAAAAGAACAATTTTTATATTTTCAAATCATGGTCCATAATCAGGGACAAGCAGCTAGCCAGCCAGCCAGTCAGTCGGACAAAAAAAAAAAAACTGCGAACTTATAATGAAATTCATAAAAAAAGGCCAGCAAGAAAGTCAGACGACAACAAACGTCAGAGAGATTGTCTGCGTGATATGAACACATATGTTGCTCCAATGTTTTAGGTTTGGAATTAAAAAGTTGTCGTCATTTGTGGGGAGTGATTTCATCCTAAAAGAATCACAGTTGTTTCTTTCAGCGTTAAATTTAAAATGTACATTTATAGAGAAAAAAAATCCGAGGACTTGAATATTACTATAAAAAATAGTTATTAAAAGAAATAGTCAGTTATTATTAAGAAGTTAAGGTGGTGATACATAAGCAGTTTGACACCATGGCTTGGCATATTAATGACAAATTATAGGGGGTAAAGGCGGCAGAATTCAAGTGCGGCTCTGAATTCGGCAGAATTCAAGTGCGGCTCTGACATCCCTTTAGAGTATGTCACAACATATGCCATGCAAAGACTTCAAGCTGATTATGTACCTACACCTTTATATCTTGAAAATGATTTTAGTCGGACGAATGTTTCCTCTGATGTCTGTTCAACTCTTTTTCACTATCTAGGTTCTTCAAGAGCAACGACTCCAAAGACTCTAAAACATATTCCTTACATATGTCATGTAAAATTTTTTCATATGTAGAAGTTGCACATATCGTGTGATACATGGACGACATTTCAGTTGTGAAATAAATGAGTAAAGTACATACCATGGTAGAAGAATACAGGTAGATGCATTAACGCTTGGGAACATATATATGTCCAAGGTTTTTAAAATGTTTTTTATATCCTCCACTTTGGAGAGGAGGGTACATTAAATTCGTCATTCCGCTTGTAACACATCTGAATATTCGTCACAGACGCCATAAAGTATATTTATTCATGATCAGCATAAAATTCTATGTCGATTTAACGATGTCTGTCCGTCTGTCTATTGAAATCACGATACAGTCCACATTATTTGGCGTAGAGCTTCAAAGTTCGGCAGAAAAATCTGTATTGTGTCTAGGATGGTTGGTATTGAAAATGAGACATATCGGTCCACATTTTTGTATAGCCCCCATAGAACGGTACCTCCCGATATTCGGCATTTTGATGATTTTTGCCACATTTTCCCATGAATTTGTCTAAAAATTTGTATTTGTGGCTTGTAATGGGTTCTAGCTCCAGTGTCAAAACATTAAAAATCTAGGTCCACGTTTTTGTATAGCCGCGATATAACGGTACCTCCCGATATTCGGTATTTTGATGATTTTTGCAACATTTTCCCACGGATTTGTTTAAAAATTGGAATTTGTGGTTTGCAATGGGTTCTAGCTCCGGTGGCAAAACATTGCAAATCTAGGTTCACGTTTTTGTATAGCCGCCATAGAACGGTACCTCCCGATATTCGGCATTTTGATGATTTTTGCAACATTTTTTCCACGAATTTGTTTAAAAATTGGTATTTGTAGGTCATAATGGGTTCTAGCTCCGGTGGCGGAACATAGCATATATAGATCCACGTTTTTGTTTATCCCCTTATAACGATACCTCCCGATATACGCTCACTTTTCCAAAGATTTGTATTTGTAGGTCATAATGGGCAGAACATTAAATATCTAGGTCCACGTTTTTTGTAGTGTACATATAACGATTTTTTCGGATATTCGGTATTTTGACGATTTAAGCCACATTTTCTAATAGAGTTGTGTGATTGGTGTTTGTACTTCACAATGGGTTCCACAACCGGCGTCAAAAAATAGTTACATTTATCCACAAACTTATGTCATATTTTGTATTTAAGACTCACAATAGCCTAATATTGTTGTAGTATAAATTTCCTATATTTATTATTATGGCCCCATATAAGGGCTCCAACCATTCTCCTACCGATCTTATTGGAGTTTGTAGGTTAAAGTGGAACACATTTGAATCCAGATGTTTTTGCATAAAAATGGTTTCTTTATCCAATGGTGGAGGGTATTAGAATTTCGGCCTGGCCGAACTCAATTTCCTTTTACTTTTTCAAAAATAAGTCGATTTTTTTAGAAGTTTTCTTGCAATCGAAGGTTGACATTATATGAATTTTTCAACAATTTTCACAAAT